TATTTTTGTATTCAAGTAAGACCTTACCAACAGATGGCCATTAAGTCAAAAATCCCTGGGAGTGCAACCTCCAGCAAAATACAAGCACATCAGACTCCCTTTCATAATTGGCAATGAGTGGAGAGGTAAATGTGTACAACTAAACATTTATTATTGGTGAAAGTTTTGTAACTATTTGTTGCAAATCAGTAAATGTGTTTTGTCCTCACGAACTTCCGTAGAAGGAAACATGGCATTCAATATGGCGTTGCCCGGAGACTGAGACCCGCTCCCATGTATTTTAGAAGAGATTTTTATGGTTATATGTTATGGAACTGCCAATATTTGTCAACAACTGGGCATATTTTAATTCATTTACAACACTTGGATGGATATTTCCAGAGATTAATGGTAAAAACTATCCGTTGTCACTTTAAAGTGGACTGTTTGTTCCTAATTTATTGTTAGCATTGTTAGCTCAGCATTAGCCTCTAGCCTGCTTCACCCAATATCAACAAGATGATACAGTGACTTCTTATGTGTAAAAGAAAAAAACTCTGGATCCCTCTGGTTTACTGACTTCAGTTCTTTAAACAACTTTATGGCATTTTGCCGGCTGGTGTCGAATTACAAAATATTGCTGCATCAGCATTAGCTTGCTGCAGATTTTTCACAGATGAACAGTAACTACAGTAACTAACTAAGGAGAAATACTGACAATCCCCCCTGCCTGCTGAAAAGGAAATATGTTTCAATGTAACCTTCCTTACACATGATTGAGACATTAGACTGTTTTGGGATTATTTCACAGTAGAACTCTTACATATTGTACTTTTAGAAATTAACTCCTGATTTTTTTTTGTAATCTCGCAGCTCACGGATGTATCGCACTAAGACTTTGTTTCCACTTTTGTATTTATGACAAAAAGTTATGCTTCTCATTCATTAATGCGCTCCTCTAGCTGACAAAACAGAGCTAAAACACGTTATTTTACAATTATTATGCTCATGTTATGTTATGTTTTCATATATTTATATTTTAAAGATCTACTTGTCTACAAGAAAGGTCACTAGCTCTGCATCAGCCAAGGTATGTCCTCAAATGCCCAAGCACACTCTGTGATTGACATTTGTACATAAGCGATAGTCTAATGCTTTTTGGGAGGACTGACCGGCGCTCAGTTCATATTGCATGGAGCTCTATGGGATGGGGGGCGGTCTTAGCAGAAAAAAAAATACATGTATTGCCTATATTATATCACAGACAATCGCTTTTACATATTTTTTAAAAATCATACATAATTCCTGAAAAGGGAAAACTCCGTATTGCAGCTTTAAGGTCATTTTCCTATTGGATATTTCCAGCAAAGAGCAGAATCCATGGTTCCATTCTATCTATTACAGCAAGTCATCCTAGTCCATATACAGCAAAACAGCTCCAGACCATCATACTACCATCACCGTCATCACAATCGTCATGATATTCTTTTATCAGAAATGCAGAGTTAGTTTTACAACAAATATAGAAACTTTCAAAACCTCCTCCCACTTCTCCCAATAGTCTGGGGGATCATCAAGGTGGTTTTTAGGGAAATGCGTGACGAACCTTTGAGTATCTAGCTATTTTGCATTTGGAACTCCAGGAAATATTATTGTTGCTCAGTCTTTCTTAATGTTGAATCATGAACTCTGACCATAACCTCACATTAATGACACCTGCTGTGTTTTAAATGCTCTGTTTTTTGTTTGTTTGTTTGTTTGTTTGTTTGTTTTTGAATATATGTAGAAGGGGCCTGATGTGTTGCTATTTGAGTTCTTTTAGCCCAATTCAAATTGTCCTACTGTTTAATTCTACAGGTCTGACAGTAATCAGGCACCGGAGTAGCTAGTGAAACTGAACTCAGCTTTCCAAATATTGTTAAACCCAGTTATTTCATAATTTACTAATAGGCCCTATGTTGCCTTTAACACTAATAAATAAAACTTGAAAACTGCATTTTGTATTTACTCCGACTACATTTGTCTGCTATTGGATTGCGTTTGCTGATGTGAAACATTTGTGTAACAACAAAGGAATAACAGAAGTTTGTGAAGAGGCAACAAACGTTTTCGTAGCGATAAACACGAGCTGAGATCTAATTAGTTGGTTTCTTTTGGCAAACAGAACAAAACACATTTTGCTTTATTGTGTTTGTATAAGAACTTATAACTTTCTTCCAGACAATATAAAAATATTTCAGCGTTATATAACTTTTTTATGGTTAATGTTCATAGCCAAGTTAGCTAAACAACCTGTATCAAACTGACACCTTATGTCCTACTGTGAAGCTAATTTATCATATTCTGTTAATGTGTGATATTTAACAGTGCTGAACTTTAACAAGCTGTGTTTGCTTTTCCTTTTATATCCACACAGTCATCATGTCTAAAAAGAGGTTAGTTCTTTTGCTTGTTTTTAAAATATAAATGAGTCAGTTAAAGTAATAAAGACACTGCTGTCCATCCAGTGTTATTTTATTAGGTCATTTTAACTAATTACGAACGTGTGAGCTATAAGTAGTAAACATTCTGACTTGTCAAATAACTTGTTCAGGAGCTGTTGCTGTTATTTATCATTACAAAAAAAAATGTAAAGGTTGCATATCATGAAAAAACAACTTTTTGGAGCATTTTGTTGTAATTTCCTTGTGAGAAATACCCTAACCCTTTTTGGCTGCATTCATGCATTTTCCTGTCTCAGCTGCAATTTGGTCCATGTAAAGATTTTTCCTGCAAACTGAATAAATTAGTCCACTTGCGTCTAGTCTCGGTTCTGAAACCTGGATATTGTAGCGTGATGAATTGTCCATTTCTGACCTAAAAGGCCCTGCTCTGTTTTGCTCTGCTCAAAGCAAAACCAGAAGTTTCTGACACAGAACTAATCTGCATGAGATATTGCTCAAGGTCTCATGCTCTTCTTCTAAACTGTTTCTTATTTTCCAGCTCAAGAGAATCAAACAAAGTGTTAGTCCAATGATAAAATGTGAACCAATCTGTGAAATGACAATGTTTGTGATCAGTAGTATTTTAATAAGTAATATAACTTTAAACTAGCTGCACTGGACATTCTCATCCACATAATGCTTAAAGTCACATGACACATTTCCTTTTTCTGATCCAATCAGAACCTTCCAGATCTGACGCAAGGCGTGGTTTTGTTGGTGCTTGGCAAATCCCCTCTGGTTGTCCTTTTTTGATTCGACCGTAAATCAAAACATCCAAATTATAAAACTATGCCCACGTCATCTTAACCTCAGTTCAAAGCGTTCTAGAGAAGTTATCGGAGTGGCCAATCCATAAACTTTCCTTTTCAGCCGAAAGAACCTAACGACAAGCTGGATTAAATCTGTTGCATGTTCCACCTGCTGCAACGGTTCCTTTCAGAAAGCTGAACCATCACGACCCCTTTTTGGGTCTTGCTAGATGTCAATGAAACTGTTGTGACCTGGAAGTATCTCACCACTGGTCTGGTCGGCAGCCGCTGCTTTTCTACCGGCTTTGGTGCCAGAGGAGGTCAAGCTAGACCTCGACATTCCTGATCTAACGGGGACTTCCGCCAAGGGTATGCAGACCGGCAGAATGGCGTCTCAATGTGTGTTATAAATCTCCAAACCAAAGCTTAGAGCGAAACATCATCTTCACTCCCACCAGAACTAATCGTTTCTCTGGATTTGCTGGTTCTGACATATTTCGCACATACACCATCCTCAGTCTTACTTCACCGTAGTTACACCATACACCTAGTGTTTAAAGTTAGTCTTGTTTAATTTGTTTAGTAATAAATCTTTAAACTTTTAAACCTGACTCGCTCTCTTTCCTTGAAGTTAATACGAAGTGCTGCTCAAGCTCTGCAATAAAAAGATCCGATCTTCTGGTTAAATTTACTCAAAGATCCATTAAGGTGACATTTCATACCTCGTGATATTTCACATTTTATGGTTTCTAATTAAAGGTAAGAACATCTTCTCTACAATATTCTGTGGATATTCTGACAAATTATTTCTGCATTGGGGACAAAACACCGCCATAAAAACCATGCGTCCTGTACAAAGATGCATGCAATGGGGGCAGCACAGGATATGTGTGTGGACTGGGGTGGACTGGCCTATCTGGCATTCTGGCACTGTCCCGGTGGGCCGCTTAGCCAAGTGGGCTGCATGCCCAGCTTGGGCACCACTCCACAGTTGGTGATCTGCAGAACATTAGCTACATGGTAACCCAAAGCTAATGAGTTTTTCTCTGCGTTTTTAGCGAGAAAAATGCGGTAATGCATAACGAATCTTCTTATTGAGGAAATTGTCAATTTTATTTTACAAATGACCTCCTAAAAAAATGAAATAATACACAATGTGTAGAGCTTGGAATCTGAAAATGTGCAGTGCTAACTAGTTAAATAACTTGACTGTATGATAATATCAAAATGCTGTAGATGATGAGGATAAAGATTCCAGCTGTCCCTATGCAATGACACTGAAAATATTGGGCGGCAGTGGCACAGGAGTTAAGTGCTAGCCCCATTTTCGGAGGGTAGCTGGTTCAAGCCCTGCGCAGTCTGTCGCTGTTGTTGTGTCTTTGGACAAGACACTTAACCCACCTTGCCTGCTGGTGTTAGTCGGTGGCGCCTGCGTATGGTGGACCCACCTCTATCAGTGTGCCCCAGTGCAGCTACAATGTAGCACACTGTCAATGGCTGATTGTGTTGTAAAGTGCCTTTGGGGGTGCAGGACTCTACCTGCTATATGCAGGAGACAGATTCTTGAAAGGATGGGTGAAAAAACTCTGTTTTCCTGTTCATATCTGATCTATTTTTTTATGGGAACAGCCACAAAAGCTGGTCTTTGTAACATGTCAAAAACAAATACTTTGCTAAGAATGGCTTTCAGATATAACCGGCTCAAGGTATGATCTGAGCTTGTAGTATTTCCACCTGTCAGGTAAATAGTGTCAGGGAAAGAACCTGGATGCTTGTGTAGCAGACTCACCACTGCAAACCTTGGTAATGGCCTTAGGCATGTTTCCATTGGACAGCTCTCTGTAGGGAACCTGCAGAGTAGTGTCAAGGCTGCTGAAGCCCTCCTTCAGAGAGTGCTCTTTATAGTATTCTACCAAGTCCTGTGTAAAACCAGCAAAAAAGACAAAACACAACCATCACACCTTACACCTTTTAAGGCAATCACTTTATACTGTGTACAGATATAAAGACATGACTTTCAATACACTTAAGGAGGTTAAATGGAAAGGAGTAGCTAGTTTAATGTTGATAGAAGAACCTGAGAATTGTGAGAAACATTCACTCACCAGGCACTTCATTTAGTGTTAAATTAACAAGGGAACAACTCAATGGATTTAGCACCATGTCACCAAGATCAAATCAGCACTAACTGATTTCTTAAACACGATAATGAGTTCACCGGACTCCAACAGCCTCCTGAGTCACCGAATTTCAGTCTGGTCCAAAATCTTAAGGATGTGGCTGAATGAGATTGAGAAATCACATCACAGCTGACAAATCTGCAGGAACTATGTTACTATGCTAACACTTTTGTTAACTGTGAAGAATTAAGGCACTTCTAAAGGAAATCTACTTGATGTCCTACTTGATGCTAGGATGTACCTAAGAAGGAGGCCAATGATACGGCGTACATTTTAGGACACCCTCAGGTCTCAGGTGTCAGACATCAGACTATTAACCTTCAAAGACCTGCCATTGAACAGGTTCGCCAGAACTCATATTTACATTTTTACATGCTGTGGTGCCATTTTTTGGAGTATTTCAACTTTCTATACATCAATGCAACCCTTACATTCTAAATTTTAATTATATAAATGTAACATGTTCATAGCAACAAAATGTTTTACTAAACATTGCTATTATCTATCCAGAATTTGAAAATCGTTTTTTACACATATTTTTCATTATACAGAAAGGCCACAACTTTATCCCTCAAAAATGTCAATGGAAAAAAAGTTTCACACAATCCTTTCAAACAACCACTAATTTATTTGAAGTGCTTCCATAAAATAGCTTCTGAGATACACTCATTTATATAAACTGTAACAAAAATGAAAACATAAATAATAATAATCTGCAGGAGTCTAACAGTAGTGTTGAATATTTGTAGCTAATCTTTCAGTAGTATATGGTTTTCCTTTTCTCTCACTAATAATAATAACAATAATAAAAAATAATGCTTTAATATATACGTGAGGAAACTGAAAGTGAAACTTAACCCCTCCTTTCCACCGGAGCCGTCAGCAGCACGTTACTGCAGCAGCACGTCTTGCTCGCGTATGCTGCTGCTTGGCCCTTCCCACGAGACGCGAAGTAGCAGGGGAGCAGCTGTCACTGACAGAGCACGAAGTCATGCGATACTAGCAAAATCACGCGTGACTTCATCAGTAAACACAACAACAAGCAGGAGAAAACTACAACATGGCTCACATAACTCACCATCTTGCCCCAAAACCGCAGATACGTCACTCCATGCGTTATCCTTCTTGACGTTGTCTTTATAAAAACTGTGACTGGGATCAAACAGGATTGGGTACTTCTCCACTTCAGTAACCAAACTTTTGTCGTCCATTATGGAAAAACAAAGGAGACCGCTAGCTAGGTGATAACTGATTTTTTAAAGTAAAGCAACCGGAAGGCAGTACGTTTCTTTATTCTGAAAATCTCAGGAAGCTTCGTTCTGTTTCCGCGTCCGATTTCCTGTCTTTCCTTCCCCAAAAATGTCGAACTTGACCCGTTTCAGAGGCGTAGCGCGTAGAAAATAGAACCGGCACATAAGGGCTGTGACATGCTGCTCCTGAGACCCGGCTGACTCGCACTGCTGACGGCTCTGGTGGAAAAGGTTCTGTCAACCACAGCGGTTCCCATTAGCAGCTATGACGTGCTGCTGCAGTAAAGTGCTGCTGACGGCTCCGTCACAGCTCCGGTGGAAGGGAGGGGTAAGTATCCTCCGGTGTTGAAATGGCGTCAACAGCTTCGAGGAGGGAAGATGTACCTTTTGGCAGGTCCGTGAGTCATCAAAACGATCGTAGTATTGTGTGTGTCGGAAGATTGTAGTGGGAGTGTGATGTGTGTAGGATGTGTTTGCCTAAACGTATTATTGAAAAAAAGCACAAGAAAAAGCCGAAAGACTGGGATTTCAAAGAACTACAATTCGTGGGAAAATGGCGTCAAAGCAGGTGATTGGGTGAGTGATAATCATGCGACAGTTCATGTTGACACGAGCGTCTGTGTCTAAATGAAAACGCTTTTCTTATTTGCGCATTTTGGTTGTTTTTTTGCAAACTCATTAGCGGAAATACGCAGTGTTCTGGGACAGGTTCAGTGTGTGAGATTTAAGTTTAACTCCTCCTGTTTAATATGCGAAAAAAAAATTGTCCTATTTTATATAGTTTCAGTTCTACAAGCATTTGAACACAGATATGAAAATGGGAGCGCCGGCGCTCCCGCCGGTCTTAACGGGTTAAAGAAAAAAGCCTCAGGTTTCATTCAAAAATCCATTAGACATCTGAATAAATACTTCTAGTCAAAAAGGTCTCAGGAAAAAGCCAGTGGACAAAAAGGAATCAGGAAAAATAGCTTCAGAAAAATAAAGTTTTCCTAAGGAGTTTTTGTTTGACAACTTTTTTCCTAAAGCTGTCTTTCCTGAGACCTTTGTGACTGACACTCAGAAGCCTGATGGGTTTTTGAATGAAGCCTGAGGCTTTTCCCTCCATGGTTTGAAGTTTGACACCTGAGGATGTCCTAAAATCCACAATCAGGGTCTTTTCCCATTTCATTTCAACTGTCAGTACTTGAAACAAGCTTGCAAGCTACAAGTGTTTATTAACAGAATTTGTATTTCTATAAATAATATTTGCATTTTAAAAGAGAACTGCAACAGTTGTGTCAAAACAATTTAAATAATTTATTCTGCTGCAGTCAGTGGAGCAGAAAAAATGTCCCCACAAAGTCACATCCTTTACCAGTACAGTCTTGAACAGCCGACTCTCTGCGACGTAGAAGCATCCATCCTTGGTCAGAATCTTAATGTGCTTGACTTTGTCGTTGAACCTGTGGAGGATGAATATGACATGAGCTGCTAATCAACAATGCATGTTTACACAGCGATGGTGTCTATGGTGAATTCTCAAAGAGGTCTGCATGAACTGACTGTTGGCTGTCATCCGGAAAAACACCTTTGTTAAACTAAAAAGAATGATTACCACTGGCATTTCTTTGTTATTGTTACTGCTGTTATAAACCAATAGGTTTTCAGTCTAACATTGATTTTTTAATTTAGATGAGTTGTAGGAAGAAAAAAAAACAACACAAATCTGGTTAATTGGCCCTTTCGTAGCATTTTGACCTATTGTCAACTTTTTAAGTCAGGCAGATAAAGGTAGATATTGCAAAAATGAAACTAGAAAAAAGTTCAGTTGGGTATACAGGTTACCTCCCATTGCAAAAATGTCCCTTAAGGGATAAGTAAAGTACACATCTACAGATTAAAAAGGGCAGAAGTGCACATAAATTATTACCCATGTGTAGATGGTTGGAGACAGTTAAACATTGTAAATCTCCTAGTGCACTGCATAAAAGATGAGAAGAACACAGTCATGTTGCAAATTTCCTAATACATTATAAATATATGGGGAGAAATACAATGTGTGCTGAGTTATACACATTATAATGTACAGGGACTCCCTTACTCCTATATAATCCCAAGGCTGCAAACAAATAAAAACACATGGAAACTGACCGCTTGCAGTGTTTGACATTAGACAGTTTAGTTGATTAGTAGGAGCTCTCTGTATAAAGCCACATTATCTCAAACAGCCATCCTGATAAGGATCTTAAGCACTGAGACAGGCAATTAGGATTGGAGTGTTCAGAAACTGGCCCCGCAGATCAAAGCAGTGAATGAGTTATGGTATAAGCCCACTGAAATAAACCCGCTGAAATAGTGTGTCACGAACTAAACAGTCTTAACATCCCAACACCATCTCAGAGTGCTTCTTGCATCTGTGTAATCTGCTGCAAACACCATGCCAGATCACAAGGACTCAATGAGTGTTTACGTTTATTTAGGTTTTTTGGGGAAAAAATATTTTATGTCACTTGAAAGATATTCTGTATTAAACAAAGTTGCTTTTTGAGAGAGGAATAAAGCAGTGTCTAATATGCAGATAACGCCAGTTTTTATTGAAGATTCATGTGAAGAACGTTGTATCCGCTATTCTAGTGTGACAAGTAACCAGAAAGCATCATCAAGCTCTCAAGAAAACTGTGAGGTTGGGGACAAAAAAGTAAAGACCCATTAACGAGGGTGATGGGGCCACGGTGGCAGAGGAGTTAAGTGTCCACCCTATAACTGTAGGGTTGCAGGTTTGAGCCCTGTCTGTCATAGTCGTTGAGTCCTTGGGCAAGACGCCTAAGGGGGCCAGTGGTGCCAGTGAATCTATTTTCTGCCAGTGCACCCCAGGGCAGCTGTGGCTACAAAGTAGTTCGTCACCTGTATGTGTGGGTTAATGACTGGTTGGGTTGTAAAGTGCCTTGGGGGTTTGTAGAAGCCATGGTGCTTTATCAAATTCAGACCATTTACCAACCTTCCATGCCAGACTGAACTAAAAATCACCACAAGTTGGAAAATGGTAAAGAAAGAAAGAAAACTTTTATATAGCGCCTCTCACGATAAAAATCACAAGGCGCTTCACAAAAACAAAACAATTTATATATAAAAAAGATGTTTTTTTAATGATTAAAAAATGTTTCAAATGACAAAAAAATAAAAATTAATTTAAACATGTAAGGAAAGAGCAAGAGGAAAGTAATAGGAAAGAAGGAAATGGGTGGATCCCGGGAAAGGCGGAATAGGTAGAAAGAGCAGACTAAGTAGAGGGTGGTGATGAAGGTCACCAAAGCCAGCTTGAACAGGTGAGTTTAGCTGCTTTTTAAAGGAGACCACTGAGTCCACTGATCTCAGGCTGGGAGGGGGGCGGAGGGGGGGGGTTCCAGAATCTGGTGATGTTATACTCATTTAGGTTTATTCTTGGTATAAACATTATGGGATATCTCATGCACTATGACTTGGACAAAGACTGCACTGTTTGCATGTGTTGTAAATGACTGAGCTATTGTGGTTTTTATCTGTACAATTGACTCATCATTTGTCATTTTTGTATTTGAAAAGGTTGGTTAGGTGTGGTGGCCATTTTGAAAAGGGTTGGCTCTTAAAACTTTTGTAGGGAATCACCAAATAAGCTAGGCTTTGAACGAAAACATGGTCACAGAACACTCATCCCTCCCCTCGGGTATCTTCTCTCAGACACTTCTGCTGGAACCAGAAACCCACATTGCCAGAGGAAACGAGAAAGTGCTAAACACCAGTCATTGTTTTGTAGGTCCAAATGTCTTTTGTTGTCTGTGATTTCAATTGGTGTTTTTCTTTTTGGGACTCTGGTATTTTTTCCTACATTTGAAATGGTAGCGGTCGGCTTTTTCTCCTTATCTGATATTATTGAGCGGAGCGGCGCTGCTAATTTTCTCCACTCGTGTAGTGTTTGTGTTTCCAACATGTCTACTCAAATTGACTCATTCATTGGAAAGTAAACTGTCAATACAATGAATGTATGATTTTACAATACCATGCCTTATCCTGCGAGTAGAGGCCACTGCCAATAGGAATAATGTTTTTGTAAAGGAAGCTGTAATGATGTTTAGGCAGATCAAAGTAACATATAACACCTACATAAATCCCAGGATTTCTCAGCAGGGCGTTGTTCATAGGATCACATTTGCTGTCTTCCCATATAGCATCCTATACCACTAAACATTCTCAAGCTTTCCACATCAGATCAGCCTTCTATGTTCCATTGCTCGATCCACATCAGACTCTCACTTGTCCATTACAGACGCTTTCAGGGATGAATACAGCTCAGCAAGAGCGCTTTGACTGGTACACAGCCATGCAGTCCAATAAGCACCAAGCTGTGGGGCGCTGTGTGATCTGACACCTTTCTATCAGAGCCAATATAAAGGTTTTCACCAGTTTAATGGGTCTCTAATGGGATTGGCGGGATTTCACCACCTTCACACCTGGAACATATTCGTGAACATTGGGACCAGAGCTGATCCTGTAGCAATGTTCACTGATCATCTGTCATCAGATGCATGTAACTCACAAGAAATCCTTAAATTGGCCCATTTTTCCTGGTTCTTACAAATCAACTTTCTCGACTCATTATTTTTTACTTGCAGCGTAATACAAAATTTCTTGTGAGATATATGTGTAATAACTTGATTATTTGGTAATCAGGATATTTTGTGTTTTCTCTTACTCATAAATATGCAATGTATTTTCATAATTAATATGCACTGAAGCATTGAATGCATTTCATTTTGTTATTAGACAATTTAATTGTTCTACAGAAATGAGTTGAAAATAGAAAATCCATGTGATTATTTCATGATTGTTTGAGAGTTAAAATCCAGGTAATTAATTTCTGGCTAATTCATGATTTTGGAGGGTACTTGCGAGAAGTGGGTCAAGGAGAGAACGAGAGGAGAGTGGGAGGTGTGAGTTTGGAGCTGTAACATCCAGCAATGGTCAGTTTTCACCAACGGATTGACCTACATGTCACCGGTCATCTGCTGACATAAATTCCATTCTCTAAAGTGGATTTTACATCCTAGCTTCCAACAAACCCAGAAGAATACTGCAGCCTTGTTGACATTTTAGGAGGAACAAGATGTCAGGCCGTGTCCCAAGCAAAGCCTTCTGATAACACTGCAGGATTGCTCACTCTCTGAATAAAGTGACTATTTTTCAGCTCATATGAGTTAATCAATCGTGAAATGAATGAGCAAATGTTATATGAATAATAATAATGTCTTGATTAATCTGTGCTGAAATTAATAAAGTTGATTAATCTGTGCTTGAATTACTGAAGTTTGAAATGAATGGTATTATTACATTGAAAGATTTATATATTTGATGGTCAGTAATGTTTGATATGACAAGTGAATCATTATCTACACTCAGACACGAGGTTCATTAGAGATGAATTAAAGTTAAGTTAGACGTCATTCAATTCAATTCAAATTCAATTCAAAAATACTTTATTAATCCCAGAGGGAAATTAGAGTTTCAGTAAACACAATTATGAGATCAGACATACATACATAGACACATGACAAGAATTGGTGACTGTGGTCATTCGCAACTCGAGTCGCGCTACCGTAATAGGTCAAGAGGGTTTATATGAGGATAGAGTCAGGGGGAGGGGAAAAAAGGGCACTTCTGAGTTACCCTCAACAGAGAGGGTAGCTTTCCTATGCAAAACCCCCCCCCCCACCTCAGACAGATATGCATACAGACTTCAGACATTACACAACATAAGTGTCCACTAGGTGGGGAGGTAGGGTTAGGACTCTCCTCACTTCAGTGTGTGCAGCCGCATGGAGCAGCGCTCATCACCTCTGTTTGGACAGGGGAGGGAGATAATGGGTTTAAGGGCACATTGACTCCTAGATACGGTTCCACGGCCTTCACCGGTCACAGTCCCACCCAGGCTGGGATAGGGAGAAAGAGTTTCCATAGCGACGGCAGCATTCCACATTTCTTCTGGGGGAGTTCACACTTCAGCCTCACAGGCTCCAAGGGCACCAGATTCAGATAAGAATTGTTTTGGGGACAGACAGAGATAATTTCCTCTCTGCCTTAGAGTTCTGTTGGTTTTCAACCCCTCTAGATCCAATAATGGCGTAATTAATTCACAATTCAATACTTTATTTCACTCAAAGTTTAAATATACAAACTTCAAATCAGAATATAAGCATTCAAGTGAAATAGGGGGAGGAAGAAGAAAAAATCTTATATGACCTACCCCCTTTAACTAAGACAAGATAAATAACAAAAAGTGCAAAATAGCCTTATACACAAAAAATAAACCGCTCTCTTACTTCCACAAATAATATCACTACTAAAACATTAATCCTCCATCCTCAACTTACCAAATCATACGATTTTAGCATTTTATCTTTATACATTTTTTTGAATTGATCAGTAGTTGTACATTTTTTTAATTCATCATCCAGGTTATTCCATAATTTCACACCATATACTGAAATACACATTTGCTTTAATGTAGTACGAACAAATATCCTTTTAAACTCTGGTTTCTTTCTACTCTTATCATTTTTTGGGATTAAAACAAAGAACCTTTGTAGATTAGTTGGCAGCAAATTATTTCTAGCCTTAAACATAATTAGTAAAATTTTCAAGTTAACTAAGTCTTTGAATTTCATAATTTTAGATAGAACAAAATATTTGTTAGTATGTTCTCTTGGATTTGCTTTATATAGAATTCGCAAAACTTTCTTCTGTAACAGAAACAAAGGATTAGTGTTTGTTTTATATGTATTGCCCCAAACCTCAATACAGTAAGTTAAGTATGGTAAGATAAATGAGTAATATAATGTCTGAAGCGTTGAAATTTCTAGAAAACCTTTGACTTTGTTTAAAATTCCAATACTTTTGGATATTTTTTGTTTTATATATTTTATATGGGATTTCCAAGTAAGTTTATGGTCCAAGAGAACGACAATTCACAATTCAATACTTTATTTCACTCAAAATCTATCCCAATCTGTGCTGATCCATCAACTCTCTCCTTGATGGAATCCACCTTCTGTGCGAGAGCCTGAATCTCAGCCAAAGTTCCAAGCTTATGACTCATCTCGACAATTATATGAGTTTGTGCGTTCACAGCATGATGCATTCCATCCCTGAGCTCCGGGATTGAGCCAATATTCCTCGAAAGCTCATTAAATTTCCGGTAAGCCAGGTAACCGCTCAGGCCAAACAGCAGGAATCCCGACACCAAAACGACGAATATCCAGACATCTTCAGAATCCTCTACAGACACTTGAGAGAGGCAGATCAGGTTCCACTGTTTCCAGGAGTCCATGATATACCCAGCTGGCTCTGTCCCAGAGGGGCATCCGGGAGCCCGTTCTCCCGTTCTCATCGTTGAAAACATTTTGTCAATCGCGTTGAGACCAACTGACCAGATCCATTTTTAATAAATTCCAGTTTCCAGAAAAGATGCAGAAAGCGCCGTGCACACAAAGACAGGACAAAGAGCCTTGGGATGAGGAGGGAGAGGAGAAAAAAGCGTCTGTACTCTCCAAGAGCCGGAAGAAGAAAAAAAATGACACAGATATTTTCTTAGCCACAAATCAGAGCATCCTGTATCTGAAAGAAGGCGTGATGTTCTGAGGTTTGATTGTTAACACCCCTTAACATGGCACGTCCCGGTTGGCCAAGAAATCAATGTGAGAATATTAAAACAGAGCTCACTTGACGGTGAGTCAGTTCTAGAGAAAGCTATGGACGGGCCATCCGGAGCGAACCCTCTTTGACCCAGAGCATTTTCGACAAGCTGTCAAAAGCCCTGCTACACTCTGAAGCTGACACAGCAAACGGTTCCTGCAGAACAAAGCTGATACAGTTCCGACTCCTTAAGAGTCCTTCTAGACACAAACTAGTTCCAACCTGTGTGCCTGGCGACATCTCTGGACTGGAGAAGTCGGTACTGCGGCCAATCTACTGGACCTGGTTGCCCAGAGGTCCTCCGACCTCCTTGACCTCTGGATCCGCGAAGAGGGTCTCCAAAAAGGGTGAGGTAGAACACAGTAAGATTGCGTCTGATGCCATTTTGATAAGAATCAACTCCGTAGTTTAATGCAAACCAAATTCCTTTTATGTTTATGTTTGTTTATTTATTTGGCAGACGCATTTATCCAAAGCGACTTACAATTTATAACCTATAGAGCATGTTGTAATCTGTGGGGGAAACCGGAGTACCCGGAGAAAACCCACGCATGCATGGGGAGAACTCCACACAGAAAGGCCACAGCTGAGTTTCGAACCTGCAACCATCGTACCTTTTCACACCCAGAACTCAAGTTCTTCTAGATACAAGGTTCTGATAAAAAAAACACCATGAAATCACCATACATCACATCCCATCCTCTTAGATTCATCCATCGCAGTAGCCTTGGTTAACTTGTCAAGTTTTTATTTGTTTAGAAAATAAATTTATTATCTTTTATAAACCTGACTCTGTCTAAATTGAGACAAAGTGTGTTTGTTCCCTGGACAAAGCAAATAATCCTAGAATCTTCTGATTAAACATCCAAAGACCAAGCAGGTTGATACTCTATATTTATATAGAATATCACAGCTTATTGGTCATAAGTAAAGGTAGAATATTAAGCTTAAAAGCAACAACATTTACCCTCTACAGAGCTATCAAAGACAGAGTCAGAGGAGCTAAGCTAAGCTAAAGCTAGTGCTGCAGCCATCAGAGGGTTTGCCCTGGGGACAGCTGAACGGGAGGATCCAGCCACTCACCTGCATCATGGGACGAGAGCCAGAGAAGTTGGGACTAGGCGTTGTGTTTTTCTTGTGGTTGTGCGGACCACGAAATACTTTAGACTGGTAGTATTAATGTTTCCATTAAGGGATACAAGCTCCAACGCGCGCCACCGAACTTAAAGATAAGCTTGCATAGAATATTAAGAGTGCACACTAAAAAATTATTATTTTGGAACTGGGTATTTTTGTGTTCATTATTTGCTTTTGATTAATATAGAAACTTAAAATGCATTTTATTGTTAGTGTGTCATTTCTTTATTCAGTTGTGCATATAAAAATAGTATTTTACCACATATTGTTGTTTTGCCTTGGGAAACCTCTCAGGAATCAAAGTTAACCTTCTAAACTCAGTTTCTATTGACCCTTTGCACGTGACATCACGCCACTCATGTGACCGCCCTCTTCGCCATGATGGACGGCAAAAAGACAGTGTACACCCGTTGAAACTCCAGTGAAGGTAGTCAAAACAAGCCAGTTTGCAGCCTTTTATGGCTTTTATTTAGTTGATTTGACACTAAAATGTTTTTAGCTTGTTGCGTGGTTGGCTGCACTAACAGACAAGGACGTAAACTCAACTTGTTTTGTTTGTTTTTAATAACTTTGATGGAGACTGAGGACGGAGATGAACTGCAGCGATCAATCAAGCGGACTAGCAGCCCTCAGATTTACAGCAAACATATTTTTACCGGGTAAGATTAACGTTCATCTATTTCACGAGGAAGACAGGGACAGGGATAAATGTGATGTGTTTTATACAAGTTATTGATAATCCTGATGGGTGGGTATTTCACCACGGAGGATGCGCGCCGTCCACTGTAGTGTAAAGCGAGATAATTATTAATATTAAAGCTCCGATGTATAATTACGTGTTAAAATTACGTTATTTATTTATATGAGCGTCGGCGTTCAGAGATCTTCTCATTCCGGTGTGAGAGCAGCAGCTGAACCCGGTAACACCACCAGCAACAGAAGCTGGTAGGGATCCAGACTTTTTAAAAATCAGCTTTTGTGTGAAGTGAAACGCTGTTTACATCATAAAGTTGTAAATCCAGAGGGGTGAATTTAGGCAAAGTCAGCAACATGTTTACATCGGTGAATAGCTGCAGAGAGAACGTAAGCTAACGTTGGTAAGCTAGCTAACATACCGCTCTCTATGAGCCCCTGCTAGATGCGCTACTTCTTCTGATAACTGAACTGGGCATGAACTAGTTGAAGGAATGCTGGAAGAGTTTTGTTTTGGTTTTGATCGCAAAAACAATTTCAAGCTCTACTTTTCCCTTTGTTTAGTACTCGTGCCGCTCACTGTTTACATGCTTTTGCCGTCCAGCATGGTGGACCCACGTGATTAGGTGACGTGAGTGCAAAGGGTCAATACATTGGAATGTCTCTTTTGCCACAAACGTAACTAGAGATTAGAGGGAACCTATGCCCAGTAGCTAATACCATATTATATTGAGCTGGGTGGTGAAATGGCAGTGTGTCACAAGCAGAGTCACTGCTTTGCAAGTCACAAGTAAGTCACAAGTCTTTCCAGTCAAGTCTCGAGTCGAGCCCAAGTCAAAGACAACCAAGTTCAAGTCGAGTCCAAAGTCAATGATGTGGAAGTCCAAGTCAAGTCCAAGTCCTTAACTTTGAATTTTAAAGTTACAATCAAGTCATCTGTCGAACTTCAATTTAATGACAATGATAATAAATACATTCCAGAAATAAAGCTTCTTAAAATTTAATTTTTTGCTCAAACAAGCAGAAAGTGCAACTGAAACTGATTATAAACAAAGTGCTGCTGCATTTAGCAGTAAATCAAACCCAGAACGAAGAATGATTTATGATTTTTGTCCATGTCATGCCTCTTTTGTACTAAAATATCAAATATGCAAGTCATCATCAAGTCAACAGATGCAAGTTGATTCAAGTTGCAAGTCACCAAGTCGTAAGTCTTTATAGATTTTATCAAGTCAAGTCAGAAGTCATTAAAATAATGACTTGAGTCCAAGTCATGTGACTCGAGTCCACACCTCTGTGAAATGATTACATATGAATAAATGCTGAATTTTACTCTGTGTTTTGCGTATTGTGCTTGTTGTGAGTTATGTAGTGACATATAGAAGCCATCGTGTTACCTACTTTATACTGATGGCGTATTCGTTGAGCTCTTTACTCCTGTGTCGAACCAGATACGTGCTGTTGTCTCTGTCCATCAGCTCCAACTCTGCCTGGTACCTCTCCATCAGCCCTGCAAACCTGAACCATACATGAATAACTACAGCACTTACACTGTAATCAGTCATTCTGAATATGCTGATGAGTACACTGTCAATAAAATGGTGCGGGTGATCACACGCCATTTCCGCACACACACACACACACACACACTTACCAAAGGTATGCAGAATAATCGGCAGGTTTTGGAACCTGGCAGAGAAAAAAACTGTGGTTATTTTGTGTTTTGATACAGTCAATATAAAGGGGTGGGTGGTCATTAGTGGTAATGTGATATTCAAGCCACTTTTAATGGTTAAAACAAGTCTACAGCAAGAAAAAAGGCAATTCCCAGCACTACATCTCCTTGGCAAGACATCAATAGTAGTCATTATCTGCTGAATGCATTGTAATCACACTAAATTTTGCCTTATTGATTTGGAAAACCATAAACACTTACACATGGGTAAGGCCTCACAGCATCACTTGGAAAGAAGCCAATCTTGCTTGTCGCCAGATTTTTGCCCTGCAAAGGCAACCGCTCGTTAATCACATTATTTGTCTGGGTGCAACCACAATTCTTTCTGCCTCTCTTTGCCTGCATCCTCCCTTTTCCTCTTCCCCTCCCACTCTCACTCCAATAAATCCTCAGCAATTAGCACACAACAAGCAGTGCATCTAATTTGCAGGCCAAGTTAATTATGGTTCAAACACTGCCGGCAGTTAGACTTGTACTGCATCAAAACAAGAGCCTCGTTTAACACTAAATAATGGATCTTATTCTGGTCTTTTAATATCCAAACAGTGTGAGCTCTGGCTGATGCTCAGGACTCACTACTGCTTTTTAGGAAACCTGCCTGGAGCAAATTCAAGCTTTATATGCAAACTGTTAATTCCTTAAACAAATATTTAAAAGAAAATCTTTAGTCTTTTTCTAATTAAGCCATATTGGTAAAACTAATCACACTGGCTTGAATATGAAGTAGTTTTTTTGGTGTTCTAATTCCCAGCATTAAGGTTGGCATGAGTTTACAGATCTGAGTTTGGGGTCAATCGGCAGTCCATTCGAGTGAACCTGTGAGGACGAGAAGTGGTGACAGCGAGTGAAAGTCTTCCTGCCTCGTTTGTTTTTCTCCTCACTCCTCTTTATTAAAATGCTTTTTGGGGCCATGCAAGCTCTGGCAGTAACTAGATTGGAAAGCGAATCTTTACCCATCTCTATGATGCATTCTGAGTAATAACATTTCATCAAAGGTTTTTAGAGAGCCCTTCCCTATTTGTTATGCTTTCGATAAGCGTATGATAAAGATTAAACTTATTACTCTGCTGGCATAAACAGGCAGCAGCCAGAGGATCAAATGAAATTACAGTGATTGATTGTATTGTTCTGCCAGGGGGATGGGGGATAATTGCCTTCTGGGTAACAGGGGATATGAATTCTCAATGTTCTGTAATTCCATCCTCCGGTGCCACTGGGGAAGCGGGAGATTAAAGGCACCCTGTGGAGTTTTCTTTGTAAACAAACAGGGTTTTCTTAAGAGTCAGTGTTTCTCCCCAAATCATATTGTGTGTAACTATAAGACCTCAGAAACCTGTTGGAACACTGTCATTTATTGACTGCTCAAAAACAAAACTTCATTCATTAAATTGTTCTTCACCTTTTTATAGTGTATTCAACATTTACTGCTCTTTACTGCCACCAGCTGTCGATATACATATTTGACAGTAGTAATAGCGCAAGTGTTGATGATGCATGGCTATTCTGTAAGAATAGTCTAAACAGTTGTGTGCATGCTTTCACGATACTGTGTGTCCAAGTGCATTTTCCATGTTAATCCAAGGTCGTGTCACAGAGGAAACCAGATCCAGGAGGGAAATCCTCTCCCTAGCGACGCTCTCCAATCTGACCAGTAAAGATTAAAAATCTCTCCAACAAATACCAATCTGCCCTGAGGCCTATTCCCAGTGGGACATACATGGAAAACCACCAGAATGAGGCCCCCAGACATCCTAATCCCAAACCACCTCATGAAATTCTTTTTGATGCAAAGGAGGGATAGATGATGTAGCTTCTCACTCTTTCTAAGGAAGAGTCTGTCCATCATTCAAAGGAATCCCATTCCGTCTTTTTGTTTCAATGATCTTGTTCTTTTAGTTATGATCCAAACTTCCAGGGGGGTGGAACATCAACGGACCAATAAATCAAGAGCTTTGCCTTTCAGTGCAGCTCTGTGACACTATCTAAGACACTACTGCAGACAAAGTCCTGATGCACTGGTCCATCTCCTGCTCCATCCTACTGCCACTCATAAACAAGAAAGCCAAGTTGTTTGACTTACCTGGTCCTCACACTCAGCTATAGGTCATGGCTTGTCTTATGTAGGACTTTAGCCTGACAAGCCATGTGAATATATAATCTGGCCATGGCTCATAGACAGAGCTCCGTTGTGGGGCGCAATCTGTGGTTGTCTTTCAAACTGTACTCACCACCATGGATGTTAGTTAACTGGTTAGTCTACCATACTCCGTAGAAGAAGACCCAAATACATAATTTTTCTAAATAATACCTAAATCTACTCTTTACTCCAAAGTTGATGCCAAAGCTGTTTCAAACTTTGCCATCTTTGCTGTTTCGCTCCATCACAGCACTGGTGCTAATCCCGCCCACCAAATTGATAGAGCGCTGTGATTGGCAAGACATAAAACTGCTCAGGTCAATGGTAGACCACCTAAGGCTACAATGGAGCATGGCTAGACCGGCCTGCAGAGCAAAACCCTTTTCCTTCTGCTACTGTCTGTCTGGATTTCTAGGCTAGTAGAATTTATTTTTATACATTAAATGGAGCTTTTGAGTAATTCACATTGCAATGCAAACACATTTTAAGCTATTGATGTCGGAAAATTTGATGTTGTGATAATTGTTTTTATTTTCTAAGTTGTCTTGTAATTTATTCACTAAGATTTAAACCACAGCTATTATTTAGCTTCCACATAAAACGTTTAACTTGTAAAAATTTGAAGGAAAACATGCATGAGACGATTAAACACATCTGTGTCTGGTTTTTAACTCTAGTAAAATGTCTGTGTTTCTGAATAGCTGTTTGCTTTCTGCTAAGGATCAAACAAAGTTAAAGTCATCATCGTACTGATGAAATTATTTATCCAACCCATCCGCTGGGGGAGCGGTGAGCTGCAGACACAGCGGACCTTGAACTATTTGGTTGTTTAACCCCCAATCCAACCCTGTAATGCAGATTGTCAAGCAGAGAGGCACTGGGTCCCATTTTTAAGGTCTTCTTCATGACCTGACTGTGGATTTGAACCCATGATCTCCCAGTCTCAGGGTGGACACTCACACCACTAGGCCACTGAGCTGGTAGAGCCCAAAGTTTACACCAAAGGCATCCTCTCCAGTTAAAGACTGATAAGTTTTAAACACCATGTCTGTTTTTTCTGCTAAATCTAAATAATATGTTCCTATGTAAAGATTGTTCTGTAATGTTTGTTTTGTGCATTGGCACAAAAGATGGATGCGATCAAGGAGCGAGTGGACGAATCGGCATGGATTGGGATAGATTAATTTACGCCATTGTTGGATTTTGAGAGATTGAGGACCAGAGGAACTTTAAGACAGAGAAGAAATTGTCTCTATCTGGCCCCAAAACAATTTCTTATCTGAATCTGGTGCACTTGAGCCTGTGAGGCTGAAATGAATACCCCCCAGAAGAAATGTGGAATGCTACCGTCGCCATGGCAACTCTGTCTCCCTATCCCAGCCTGGGCAGGACTGCGAGCTGTGAAAACCGCTGAATCGTTCCAGGAGTCACTGTGCCCTCTAAACTCAACGACCTCCTCCCCCTGTCCAGACTGAGGTGACGAGCGCTGCTTATCGTGGCTGCATTCACTGACGTGTGGAGAGTCCCCAACCCTACCACCCCACCTAGTGGACATTTATGTTGTGTTATGTTTGAAATCTGTTGCATTTCTGTCTGAGGTGTTTATTGCATAGCAAAGCTGCCCTCCCTGTGGAGGGTACTCTGAAATGCCTTTTTTTACTCCACCTGACCCAGTCCTCATGTAAACCCTCTGATCTCTATTAAGGTAGCGTGACTCGGGTTGCGAATGACCACAGTCACCAATTCTTGTCATGTGTCTTTGCCTATGTATGTCTGATCTCAGAATTGTGTGTACTGAAACTCTAATTTCCCTCTGGGATTAATAAAGTATCTTTGCATTTGAATTGAATTGAATTGAACACTACAGTTTTACATTTTGAGGCACTAACTAACCAACAAAACTTCAACATTTTTGCAAGCTGTGCTGTTTGAGCAGCACTTTCATGCTTACACAAGATAGTTTTTATCACACACACACACACACACACACACACACACACACACACACACACACACTCACACACACACACACACACACACACACACACACACACACACACACGTGTGAGCCCTGGTGGAACAATGTAGGGTCCTGTTTATCAAAACACAGCTGTACATCTGGCTTTTAGTTAAGCTGTTTACAGTATCATTATGCTGCAGGCATGAATACACATGTGTCAATACATTATTCCTCTGGCTATCCTCTCCCAGCATGCATTGTTACCATGGCAACGAGCAACACAGTGCCATCGGGTCTGGTGCATGACATTCTGGTCATCGTTCAACTGGCTTACAAGAAGTCTCCTGGCATTCCTGTCCTCACCCTCCACCTTGTGCTGTGTCACAACATAAAGAAACACGGAACACTGGAAATTGGGGTAACTGCCCTCTCCCGGCTGTGCCGTTGGCAAAGTTAGCAGTCTGATTGGAGCTGCACCAGAAGGAGGATGAGGCGTTAATACCACCATAAAGCTGAGTTTGAAACAGCAAGGTAGGCTTCTGGAAAACCCAAGACAACGTTATCCTTTAAAAAATAGATGAGGTCAAACACCCTGGCATTGTAAGCGGGTTGCTAAATGTGCCAGAGTGTGAGGCTGTCCACCACCATTATAGCATCCACCAGAGGCTTAAGTGTTTGGTGTCAATAATCAACCAACACTGTGAATTACTTAAATCCTCTGATGTTGGTTCTGGTTCAGAAAAAAGAGTTAAAGACAGAACAGTTACACCGTCTAAAGGGAAACCGAAGTCCAACGGCAGTGACACAGATCGGTGAGCTAGTGAATACCAATACTCCACAATAGGCATGTTTCCAATAGGTTGATTTTACAGGAACTTCATGGCTTGTCTCCACTTCAGCTGGCTGAAAAGAAAATTTTCCAGGCCATTTTCAGAAACCAGCAGAGCACCTGAGCTGGGTTAGATACTTGGAATTGCCCAGTTGAAACGCTGAGCAAAACTTTTGGTAAATCTTGCTGATTTGGTTGTAACTGAGTAGGAAATTACATCAGCATATGCTGCCCCAAAGCATTTGTAAAAATTTGAAGAATTACTGGTGAAGCAGAATGGGAGTAAGAGAAAAAAAAAGCTGTGTTCACAAATTTGTATGGAGACTCAACAGCTGAGAGGACCGAGTCATCAAAATTTCCTGGAACTCCTATAGTAGAAACCCGGCTAATGTGGGACATGAGCCACTTCTTAGTGGAGAAGAAAATATGCAACACTGAGTCAAACTGGTGACTCTGCAAAGACTTTGCGTGAATCGCAGTCGCAGAAGTGGACATAAAACAAAAATGAGCTGAATGATACACACCTGCCACCAGGAGCTTTGCAGATCAGCAAACATCAACTCAATGACATCCCCTGCATGAATGCTCAGCGGGGGCCCACACTGGGGACTGGGGATGCCGCTGTAGTCTTTGATCACAATCATCCTCGGCAGACCTGGCAGACAAAGGACACGAACATAAACATTCTCTGCATTTAACCAAGACCCATGTTAACAATTGCATAAAACATGTCAGACACAAGAGCATTTTTATGTGGTCCGCAAGATAAATATCAAAAATATATTAAAACTGACCCGCTGGCCGATTTTACCTCAAAGACTACAACTCCCACAACGCTTTGCGGCATTAGCGCGGAGCCGAAGCACCCCCTCCTTCGTGTTTTTTCCAGCGTCTGCTGCCAGTGTCTGCAGCTCCGCTGTCTCGGACAAACTAAACACTCCTCTCACTCAGCGCCGGGTTTACTCAGCTATTTGCCGACGTTGAAGCCAAGAAACTGAGATTTTAACTGCTCAGTAATGTGTTCACTACTAAAAGAGAAAGTTTTCGAACTAACTTCCCGACATTGCTGATATAACTCCAGCGAGCAGCGACACGCTCAAATCAGCATGACTGTGTGGCTGCTGTAGTTTTTATTTTTCCTCCCCGACACACAACAACGTGGTCAAGCTGCTCAGACATATTCAGCAGCACAAACCTATTTGCGTATTTGATGTCATCTAATGTTGTCATTATTATGATGAAAATGAACAAAACAACAGGAGTCTCCTCCTCAGCTCAGAGCTCAACCCCATGATGCAGGTATCTGAGAGAGAGAGAGAGAGAGAGAGAGAGAGAGAGAGAGAGAGAGAGAGAGAGAGAGAGAGAGAGAGAGAGAGAGAGAGAGAGAGAGAGAGAGAGAGAGAGAGAGAGAGAGAGAGAGAGAGAGAGAGAGAGAGAGAGAGAGAGAGAGAGAGAGAGAGAGAGAGAGAGAGAGAGAGAGAGAGAGAGAGAGAGAGAGAGAGAGAGAGAGAGAGATTTTTTTGTCTCTGCGATGGACTGGCTCTCTGTCCAGGGTGTACCCCGTCTGATTGCCCATTGACTGCTGGAGATAGGCACCAGCCCCCCCGCGACCCTACGTGGACAAGCGGATTCAGAAAATGGATGGATGGATAAAATTATATATTTATTTTGTTGTTGGCCCGTTAGAAAATATTTAACCTACAGTAAAACAGAGTAGGAAGTGATGCCACTAGCAGCGTCTGAAGAAGTTTGCAGCCGCGAACAAAACTGTCAGCAAGGTAAAAAGAAACCTTTCCTGTGTTTTAAAAAAGAACCAACAGTGTATTTAGGAAATGCAAAGGCTGCAGATAGATGAATAGAATATAAAATCCCTTTATTGTTCCTCAGTGGGGAAAGCTAGATGTCACAGCAGCGATGACACTCATTAGAGGAGAAAAAAAGGAGAATAAAAATAAGAAAAATGAATAAATAACAAGAAAACATAAATCCTGAATAGATTTTAAAAATGCTGAATATACCACAAGTAATGAATACCACTGATGTGTTTTATTTAAAATTGACTTGCTTGTGTGTAATTTGATTATTCCACATTCAGGGTTAAGAAAAAAGATAATTTCTATAGCGCCTCTCAAGATAAAAATCACGAGGCCCTTCACAAAAACAAAAAATGTAAAAATATAAAAAATAATTTAGAAAATGGTTAAAAATATATTTAAAATGAGCAAAAAATAGACAATTGTGATTAAAAAATGTAAAGAAAGAGAGAGTGAATAGGAAAGAAGGAAAATGGTGGATCCTGAGGAAGGTAGAATAGGTAGGGGGAGCAGAACAAGGAGAGGATGATGAAGGTCATACAAATGCCAGCTTGAACAAGTGTCTTCAGCTGCTTTTTAAAGGAGACCACTGAGTCCACCGATCTCAGGCTCAGGGGGAGAGAGTTCCAGAGTCTGGGGGCCACAGCAGCAAATGATCTGTCATTTTTGGTCTTTAGCCTGGTGCGCTGCACAACCAGTAGGCTTTGATCACTGGACCTAAGGGACCTGCTGGGGGTGTAAGGACTGAGAAGGTCACCAATGTAAGATGGTGCTTGTCCATGTATGGCCCTATAGACCAGAACCAGCGGGATCTTGAAATGAACCCTGAAGTTGACTGGCAGCCAGTGAAGCTGGAGGAGAAGCGGGGTGATGTGGGTGTATTTGGAGGACTTGGTCAGAAGCCGAGCACAGGCCTTCTGAACCACCTGTAGACGGTTCAGGGAGGTTCTGCTCAGACACGTGAAAAGAGAGTTACAGTGTCTAAGCGTGAGGAGATGAAGGTGTGGATAACTGTCTCAAGTTCAGAGCAGGACAGAATGGGACTCAGCTTAGCAATGTTCCTGAGATAGAAGAAGGAAGAACGAACAAGAGAACTGACATGAGAATGCAGAAAGAGAGCTGGGTCAAAGGTCACACCAAGATTTCTGACGGAGGGTTTGGTGTGAGAAGCAAGCTGACCAAGAGAGTCTCTGACTTTGGGAACCAGCTTGTCTGGGGCACAGATGAGGATCTCAGTCTTATCTTCATTCAGCTGTAGAAAGCTCCCAGCCATCCAGGTTTTGATAGAGTCTAAGCAGGTGTGTAACAGCTGCAGCTTAGACATCTCATGGGGCTTAAAGAAGATGTACAGTTGGATGTCATCTGTGTAGATGGTAGAAGATTCCTTTGAAGGAGCTCAGGATGTGCTGAAGAGGAAGCAGATAGAGGAGGAAGAGCAGAGGCCCTAGCACAGAACCTTGTGGGACACCATGAGTAATAGAGGTGGTGGAGGACCTAAACTTGGAGACGGCCACAGAAAAGGAACACTCAGAGAGATAAGAAGAGAACCACTCCAGAGCAGATCCTGATAGGCCTACCCAGTCTCTCAGCCTCTCCAGTAGCAGGTGATGGTCAACAGTGTCAAAGGCTGCAGTCAGGTCCAGCAGGACCAGAACAGAACAGTCCCCTGTATCACTGTGAGTCAGAAGGTCATTGGAGACCCTAAGAAGAGCTGTTTCAGTAGAATGAGCTCTACAAAAACCTGACTGGAAGCTATCATAGATGTTATGTTCATCAAGAGCAGCTGTGAGTTGTTTAGCCACAACCTTTTCCAAGATCTTGGAGATGAACCGAAGTTTAGAGATGGGTCTGAAGCTGCTATGGAGAGAGGGGTCGAGACTCGTTTTTTTAAGAAGCGGGTGGATTACAGCGTTCTTAAAGTAAGTAGGGACCTGACCAGAAACCAGAGAAGCATTAATTATAGAGAGCACGCTGGGACCGATGGACTGAAAAGACTTTTAAACAAAGATGAGGGTAAGATGTCGAGGGGGCATTCAGAGGTCTTCGTAGAGTTAACTAGTTTGGTTATCTCAGGCAAAGAAACAGGAGCAAAGCTATCTAGGATGATGGGCCTGGTTGGAGTTGGGAGAGGCAGCGATAAGGCTGAAGGAGAGATGCTAGATCTAACTTTATTGACTTTGTCCAAAAAAGAAAGACAAAAAGTTCTCACAGTCTGTAACAGAGTGGATGGGGCTGTAGGAGTGGCAGGAGAGACAATACTGCTGATGGTGTTAAACAGCACCTTAGGGTTCCCTTTGCTCTGGGACACCAGGTTGGAAAAATAGGCAACCCTCGCATCTCTGACTGCAGAGTTAAAGGATGCCAGAAGATCCTTTAGGTGCAGCAGATGGATGTGGAGATGGGTTTTCTTCCACAAACGCTCAATTTTTCTGCATTGGCGCTTCAGGCTGCGAAGGCTGTCATTAAACCAGGGAGTAGGGTTCACTGCAGGAACTGATCTGGTTCTGACAGGACAGATGTTGTCCAGAATGGAGAGGCAGTGCTCATTAAACTGAGAAGTTAATGAATCTGGGTCGTTATCAGAAGAACAGGGTGGATTAAAAGCAGCAGAAAAATTGCTATCTGTGCTCTCATTAAGAAAACGAGAACTAACCATACGGCGAGCAGGAGGTGGGGATGCAGAAACTGACAAGTTAAAGAAAATGCAATGGTGATCTGAAATATAAACGTCCTCAGGACAAACACTGTCAGCATTTAGACTCAGGGTAAAAACAAGGTCTATAGTGTGCCCCCTGGTGTGTGTGGGGCCAGAAACATGCTGGGTAAAGCTGAAGGAGTCCATAAGGCTGGAGAAATTCATGGCAAAGTGATCAGAGGGATCATCAACGTGGATGTTAAAGTCACCAACAATCACCAGTCTGGACAGCTTCACAGTGGAGGATAGAAAGTCACTAAACTCCTGAAGGAAAGAACTGTTTGGACCAGGTGGACGACAGACCACAGCACAGTAGAACGGGTCCTTACGCCCGACTTTAATCAGCTGCAGTTCAAAGGAAGCAAAGTGACCAGAGGTTGTAGAGCTACATGGATGATGGTCTCTGAAAACAACAGCTAGGCCTCCACCACGACCAGAACCCCGGGGCTGGCTAAGAAAAGAATAGCCACTCGGGCAGAGTTCAATCAGACCAGAATAATCAGATGTTTGCTGCCAAACTTCAGTCAGAAACAGTTAATGCAAAAATAAGTTGGTTTCCAAATTAAAAGGCTCAAAATTGCATATAAGTTGATAAAAGAAACTGTGCAAATTTGCCGTCACTTTTTAAAAAAATATTAAGTTTGGCCCGCAACTTCGTCCCAGATTTTCATTTCGGCCCAGTGTGAATTTGAGTTCGACACCCCCGGCATAAAACATCAGCGGATGTGGCATGGCTGTTTCTTTGGATGAAGAGATAGTATGTGCACCAGTTTGGGTAATTTAATTTGTAGAACATTATGTCAAAAACATTACTGTTTTAACTTTTTTCACTACTGCAGCCTTGCAGCCAGTTATCCAATTTTTCTTTCCACTTTTTGCACAAAGTGCACCAACATTTACAACAACATCAAGCAATAAGAAAACTAAACAACAACAGCTCGTTTATAGATATATTCACTCACACATCCACCCACCAAACTTCTCACTTTTTTTTACACTCCCTAACTTACATGAAGCCAACATGCCAGGAGCAGACCTGGGCAAACTAGCTCTCACACACACACACACACACACACACACACACACACACATACACACACACACATACAGACAATAACACAGACCTGTATCCATCCAGATTCAAAAACAGGAGCACAACTGGGAAGGAGGGGCAATCTGAATAATGACTTGAGTGTTTCCTGTGTGAGTGATCGGTGGCATTACTATCACAGCATACTGCTAGGCTTTTCAATTCCGGGCCTTGAGGACCAGTATCCAGCACGTTTTGGTTTTAAATCTGCTTCAACACACCTGATTTCAGTCAGCAGGTGATTTACAGGTTTCTGCAGAGCCTGATGAGCTGCTGCACAGGTTATTAAACCACTGAATCTAGTGTATCGGACCAGACAAAACACTAAAACATGCTAGATATCGGCCCTCGCGGCACAGAATTGAATAGCCCTGGTGTATTGACACACCCTGGAGTATATGCTCATGTCACTGCAACAAGGTGAAACTGAAAGTTACTAGAAATAAAACTTTCTCCTGCAGAAAAGTTGCTATTTAAGATTGGTTTTTCGAGGTTCTGATGAAACTAAATCCTACAATGCAGCTCAAATGTTTCAGATTTCCTTCCAAAAAAGTTACGATTAGACAGAATGTTGCTCAAGAGAATGAGAGGCAGCCAGTGTTCCAAGTGGCAGTTTTTTTCCTGCTTCCCTGGCATACACAAAGTGTCACTGGGTAACATACCAACGGTTTCCTCTAGCTTTGAGGGGATGACAGGACTAGAAAAAGTATTGTGTACATTAGGTTCATATTAAGGCTGAACAATTTTAGGAAAATATTGAATTGCGATCATGATCTTTTTTTAGCAATCACACCCTTGTCTGGTAGACCATTGGCATTCTAGTCCTAATAGATGATGTGCGAGTTTAGCCCATGCTTCCTGGAGCCTTTCTGGAGGCTGTGCTGGGTGCTCCATTACAGTCGGATTATTCTTAAAATACTGCCGAGTTTAGTATCAAAAGCTTCAGTAGCTGCTTGTTCAACCTCATAAGATAACCAAGTCACCTCAACTTACTCCTCTCGATGTGGAGGAGAGTCTACTCTGAGTCCCTCCCAGATGGCCGAGCTTTTCACCCTATCTCTAAAGGGAGTGCCCAGGCCCCCTGCGGAGAAAACGCATTACTGCCATTTGTATCTGCAATCTCGTTCTTTCGGTCACAAGCTTATGACCATAGGTGAAGGTAGGAACATAGATCGACCAGTAAATATGGAGCTTTACCTTGTGGCTCAGCTCTCTCTTCACCACGACAGATTGGTACAATGCCCGCATCACCACAGATGTAGCAACAATCTGCCTATCAATCTCATGCTCCATCTTTCCCTCACTCATGAACAAGACCTCGAGATACTTGAGGCAGGACCTCATCTGTTACACAGTGAAGTGTAGTGAGGACAAAAGAAACATGATGACTTGGTCGATAAACAAGGAAAACCAATTTTATTTCCTCTGGTTCGAAAAAACAAAATCAGAAAATCCCAGCACTATTCAAAATGGCCACCCATCCAACTCTCTTAGCAGTCTCTGTCACTTTCAGAGAGAAAAAGATCCTTTGCCACACCCAGCAGTCCACCTGCATGTTACATTCCTGAATGAACACTCTTTGGTTTAAAGAAGACATGTTGCTACTCAACATCATCCCTGACCTGGAGAAGGCATTGTACCCTTATCTGACTCAAAACCATGGTCTCGGATTTAGAGGAGCTGATTCTCATCCAAGCTGCTTCACAACTGACTGCAAACCACTCCAGCGAAAGTCGGAGATCACGCTCTGAAGAAGCCAACAGGTCTGCATCATCTGCAAATAGTAGAGACCTGATCCTTTGGCCACCAAAACAGATCCCCTCAACTCCTTGGCTGCACCTAGAAATCCTGTACATAAAAGTTATGAACAGATTCTGTGACAAAGAGCAGCCTTGGTAGAGCCCAACTCTCACCGGGATCGAGCCCGACTTACTGCCAACAATGCAGACCAAGCTCTGACACCGGTCATAGAGGGACCTAACCAAAGGGACTGGAACCCTGGTTATCCAACACGAGAAAATGCCATAACCATTGGACGGCACTTTATTGAGGTCAATTTCACACTAAAACAAGATAATGACAAATATAACTTTAAAATATGCCAACAATCCCCAACCGTTGCATCCTAAATGATCAAATAATGCTTACAAAATGCATTGTGACAGAGTTGTACCCTAAAGCCTAATTTTTACTTCTCCGTCTGGACGGACGCATGCAATACCATTATTCGTCCTTTCAAGAGCTCTCAGACAGACTTGCAAGGATGGACAAAGTCAAGCTCTCTTTTCTAAACATCCGTCCAACAAGATGGAGAACGCACGCTCATGATTGGTCAGGACGCTGCTGTAGTTGACAGCGCCGCCATTGCGCCATCAAAAACATAAAGAGAGCTGAATATATCTAGCAGTAGACACGGAGAAGCTTTAAAAATTCCTTGCGGATAAACTCTAAAAATATGAACGTTTTATTCCCCCGTGACTGCAGGAGTGAAAATATACGCAGCAAGCCTTTTATTCGTGGCTGGAAATGATGGGAAACGTGGATTTAGAGGTGGCGACCGCATGGAGGTCAAGGAGAATGAGGGACTAATTTGTCCACATTAAATAGCAACAAATACAAAAAACACAAAACCTCACCACGGGAGTGTTGGGAATGCTCTAATTCACTATCAACCAGACCCTGTTTTACACATAACAGGGGGTCCGTTGGATTATTACACCCCTAAGACCTGTCCAAGACCCTGCAAAGACCGTCATCCTGAGTGAGGAGGGCCTAAACACTTCATTTAACTGAGAACACGGCTATGTCAGGGGTGTACGTCTTCAAATCGGTTATTCAAATAATGTTTTCATTATCAGGACTAATCACATTCACAAAAGAAAAATACATTTTCCTAACAGATCCCTAGTGCGTGCTTTGAATCTGCACTTGCAGGCAGTTCAGCTCTGACTGAAATCTAAACTGCCAAAGTGGCACCACCCTAAAAGCAGCAATTTATCATTCTGGGAAATCCATCTCTGTGATTCCTGAATGGCGCAACACCAATCTTTCCCTAGCGTGGCAGACTAACACAGCCACAAGCACAGGGCTAAGACTAAGACTAAACACTCCTGCCAACTTTAAAGACACGGCCACTAACTCTCCCCTGACTCACACATCTGGCTCGCCTCAGACAGATCACCCTTCCAGCTCCGGCTCCCCTGCAAACCAGCCTGAGGAAACTATTAGCTAGCTGTGACCTCTGATGAATGGGATATCTCACATTTGTGTTTTTAATAAGAACAATAAGCATGGCTGTCTTTCTCATAAACCCCTTATGGAAATTGATTTATCACAAAGGCTCAGCTCAGCAGTTGAGAATGAGGCGCACAGATTGCTGGGAGAGCTTTTATGCATTTCTTCTCCTGTGCCACTCTCATAATGATTCCTCCCACTCCAATTCATCTCAATGCCATCTAGGGTTTAGGAATCATGGCATGCAGTGAAAAAATAAGCTTTTTCCTTCTCTTCCTTCTACATATATTTGTTAAAAACTATTTTGTTAAATTTATCGGTCCATAGCTATTTTAAAATTGTTTCCGTTTCCTCCACCTAATTTCTCAGATTTTATTTTAAGGAGAGCATTTTTGAAAGTGTTTCACTGCTGAATAAAGTAAATGAGAGCAAATTCTCAAATCATTTCAAGGTTTGCTTTGTGCTGTCACTCATCCAGATTAAATCGAGGTCAGGTTTGGGGTAGGAGGATTTGGGTTAACCCTGATGTAAAGAATCCTTCGGGTTGGGATAACCACCTCTGTTTTATCCTGTTTGTGTTTCTACAGAGCTGAGATGAAAGAGCCAAAGGAATAACACGCTAAGCCATTGCAAGTTATAAAAACTGCTCAAGCGGTCAAACCATACTGACCTGAGCTTGGTGCTGTTGTGTTGTCCTGTGAATAGAGAAAAAAAGGTTAGAAAAGCAGGAAGGTAAGAGAACAGGCATGAAAACTGATAAATATAGATATAGAGGTCTCTAGCTTATGTGAAGGATCAAGCTGCCCTAAAAAACACATTTTTCTTTATCATCGTTGATCTTTAGGCTTTTGATTTGGTTATTTCAGTTAGTTAATTAGAACGTTATTATCCTTTTACATATTTTGTTTTAAATCCTGTTTCAGACTTACTGCTTGGTTTGATAAGGGTTATTCATACTTTTCCTTCAACTCTGGCATTTGTTACATCTTATGTATTTTTTTAAAAGCACAGATCCTATGATTCACCAATTGTTACAAGATGAAGACAATCGGAAATTCCTGATGCAAAAAAATAATGCATACAAATCTTTCAATTAATTGTAATTTTATTAATACATTTATCAGGTCTCATGAGCCAATGTTGATTTTTGTTGATAATACTTTGTAGCCAACATGCAATAAAAAGCTGAATAATGTTCTGGAAACAAAAACATAAACATGAAATAATTTTTATTGCTAATGTAATTCAGATCTTAGTGATGGTGCACATATATATAAAGTTTGGCTGCCTGCATGCACCCTGACCCTGTCATCCCCAGTTAGGTTCATCAGTCTCGGAGCAGGTCATAGATGGACCAGTGAGGATGCTTAGGCCCCAGCAGCATCCACTCCAATCTCCAACATTAACATAATAAACAAAACTTATATAATAAGTGTTGTTGTCAGCATGGATGTCACAAGCACATATTTCTTTACTTGCTTGTTATTATTATTATTATTATTATTATTATTGTTGTTGTTGTTGTTGTTGTTATTATTATTATTATTATTATTATTATTCCCTCTCCTTTTGTGTGTTTTCCATGTAAAGGAGGCCTCAAATGTCAAAAGCAGGATGTTTTACAGTGTTTTTTGTAATATATTTATAATTTAATTTATCTTCTGACTTACTTCCTGTGTTGTATTTGTGTTCTAAATATGTTTGGGGAGGGAGGACATGTTTTGTTTAATTAAACATAAAAGGTGTAAAATGATCAAATATGCTGTCCTTGTTTGTCTGTGGGGTTCATATATATATATATATATATATATATATATATATATATATATATATATATATATATATATATATATATCATAGATGCCATCAGCATTTAATTTAATTCAATATGAGACTATTATTTTAATTCTTATTATCATTGCTTGGAACAATATTAGTTACAACAACATCCAATTTCCCTCTGTAGTTATTAAAGCATGTTTTTATTTGAATTCTGTTTGCAGTAGCTTGAATATCGGTTAGTGCTACGATGCTCCAGCAGACTCAGTGGAAGAAATCCATCACAAATTGGACATGAGCCAACTACAAGAAGGAAATAAAACTATAATACAGACATTTTATTAGTTTCATGAGAGAACTTCACAATTTATTTGAAATTCCAAAAAAAACAAATTTATCGTTGATGCTATTTGTTTTTAATGATCTTTCGTCAGTAATAAATTAGTCTGGATGGAGTTTAGCTGCTACGTTATTTCTCACCTATTAGGGCAGCTAAGATGTCTAAGTCAAGGAAGGGAAGCAGACCGGATCTTACCTTGGGCTTCTGCTTGACAGGATCTGCAGGCAGGTGAGAAACACACACAGTGAGAGGAATACAATACGAGCGTGGTGGCTTCTTGACATACAACCTCAGCTGTCAACCTCTGCTGGCCCCTTATCACGGCCCCTGAATGCATAAAACCCCTGACTGCTTCTGCTAAGGAAGCTTGTCAAAAGCTTGAGCTGGCTTAAGATGTCTGTTTTTAAGCAGTGGGGTAACTGACCTGAAAGCACAACTCTGGTGACTCGAACACAAGGCTGGACATACTATTAAAATTCAACTATGTATTTATACGACTGTTAAGACTATACATATAACTTAAGAATGTAAGAATGACATCCTGTGGTCAAATGTGATTACTACAAGCCATTTATTAAGCAAAAATATTAATCTCTCGCTCCTGTTTTGTGAGTTTGGTAGCTGTTTACGGGTCAGCACCAGAAGATTCTAGATAACAAGCAAAGACAACTAATGCACAGTAAGTTAATATGCAGATAAATACATTGTTATATCTGGTGTTAGCAGTCTTGGGTGTTTTACGGTAGGGAGCATTTACTATACTTATTATGGTAGTTTGTCTTTGGCATTAGAGGAAGTGTAGTTGTTTGCCATCTTGCTGTTAAAGTTCTGAACGACTCATCGAAGGAAATAAAACACCACGTTTGACTCATTCATTTCACACACACGTTTCACTCTAATATTGAGTTGTTTATTGAAAATGCAGCTTGAGATATCTTTAGAGTTGAATATTTGCTTCTAATTCACCGTTAGCATTGTTAGCTTTATGTTGGCCTCTAGCCTGCTTCACCCAATATCAGAGTAAAACAAAAAGAGGGCGTGGCTTTTAGTGGTATAAGAACTCAGTTTTACCGGCTTTGGTTATTGAAACAACTCTGGAGCTTTTGGGTGTTTTTGAAAGAAGAAAAACTGACTTTTTTTCACTGTTGAATTATTACATATTGCATATTTAAGGTGTTTGTTCACTGAAACTATGAGTGAAGTAAAAATGACGGATGAACGTCAAGTTTCCCACATCTATTTGTATTAAATCAAGAACTTTAAATCCTATTTTTTTAAATACCTGCCAGATATCTAACCAAAGAACAAAGTTTCCTGAATGGCACACAAGCAAATACTTTTACTCTAAGATGAATGAAAATACTTTGTAAATTTTAAGTACAGGTATTTATAGACTTTAATATTAAAGGCTGTAAGTTGGCGCCAGATAAAAGGTCACCAAAAACTTTCAGAAACACTCCGACTCACCTGTTCTCCCACAGACTCCCAGCCGACCCAGACACTCTTTATGAGCCCCCAGGCCACATTTTAGACAGAGATAACCCTGGTTAAAGATGCCCCTGGAGAGAGTAAAGTACTGGGTATATTTCACGTACAACAGAAAAGAAACACCTTGACATTTAAAATTTTCTGGCTTCTGTGACATTGTCAGGATAAATGAAATGACACAGGAAATGTCCTCCATCTTTTAAAGACCATAAAGCTTCAATTGTGAGCTCAAAACAGAGACAGCTAACAGTCTCCCTGACAGTACGTACATTATTTACATTCACTGGACTTCAACATGTTGTATTTAATTCAGCTGAGGCTATTTTGCAATTAATTTGAGGAAAAATGTCTAAGGAACCATCAATGTCATTGTGTCCGGTCATTCCTCCAGTATAGAAATGAAAATTGTCCTTATTCTGGAGCAAAATGTGTGCAGAGAAATAATTTTATGTATCAGTAATAATCCCTCCCATGATGTTTGCATCTTACCTGAGAAAAAGACGACAATTACTACAGGATGAGATCTTTTCAAACGTGTGCATCTTGAACTGGTGTGAGTTGTGATTAGCTTTTTCTGGATGGATATTTGATCTAAGACAGAAAAAGATACAAATTGATTGGATATCCTGTAAATTACTGAGTAAAATCACAGAAAATTTTACTTGATACTGCTGTTTGATAAAAAAAATTCAATACACTTTCCATTTGAGACAGCAATACTTTGTGTGAATAATTTATTAGAAGCTGAAAATCTACCTAAAATTGATCTAACAGCTGATCCAAACAGATTCCCAGCCTCCACAGTTGTTGTTTAAGTGTTTTTAATGCTGGATGAGTGAGTCATGATTTCTCAATAGCAAGCACGTTGTGACACGTGCATAAATCTAAAGAAGCAACGTAAAGCCTATCAAGCAATAAAACGGAGCAGTTTATTCGAGTCTCATTCAGGACAAAATTGTGTAGAAGTTAGAATCCTTACATGCATGCACACCGAACCATTTTGCAAAATGGTTAGTGAATATTGAAGAGCAAGTCACCCCCCAAATCAACTTTTTTATAAACGAGTGTCTAATCGTACTGTAGACATGTGTAGTCACTAATTGGCACTTTTGTGCATCTTAGTTCAAATTTAAATATTCTGCCTAAAACTGTTAGTGTTGCATTTTCTTCAGGTAAAAACTGCACTGCATTTGAATTTGAATCTGCCATCGCTATTGGCTAAGAGGTACCCTACGACATTAGCTGGTACCATATGATGTCACAATGCCGCTGTGAACTTGTGTGTGTGTGTTTGTTAGCGGCTCCGCCTTCTCTGTCTGTCAGGCAACGCCTCCTTGTGGCGCATTTTTCAAACATGAAACAGGAGTGGGGTTAAGCCAGGCGTACACTGTGTGACTTTTTCACTTTTTTGAGCTGATTTTCCACTCGTGCGAGAATCCACGAGATCGGGGCGAGTTTTGCGCCGAGCGTCGTGTAGTGTACAGGGGGTTACGAGAGGCGATTAACACCACGTGACCAGCTACCGATCAGCAGTCGTGAGCTCGCACAAACTTCTGGCGTGTTTAATATTTTGCTCGTCCCTCGTGAGGGTATCGCACTGTTGAAGCGGCACTGCGAGCAGCTGCGACCCAAAAAGTATCAGAACCGCTCACGGCGCATGCGCAATCCTGGATCGACACCGCTCGCCCGCTATTTCCCTAATCACACACGTTGTTCGTTTTTATTTCTACACGTTTTTTTTTAACTCACAAAGGATGTCAAAAAAGCGTGTTTGTTGTGTTCATGTCAAATTAAACTGATCACAAAACACAGATTTACTTTCTTTATTTCGTTTTCCTCATCCAACCCCCATAAATCCCTGTGTGTCCTCCTGCAGCACTCCTGAAGGACAACAGGCAAAACAAAAAAGTGTGACGTGTTGTGTAAAAACTGCTATTTTTAGCATATTTTTAGGGCCAACATGTTGCTACCAGACGTACAGTGTGAGCAGTCAGATCGCATCCGAGAACTGGGTCGTGCAGTGTGAGCACATGACTCGTGAGATCTGCCCTGCGAGGAAGTCGTACAGTTTGAGCTGAGGCTGAGTGCTACGAGTGAAAAAATCGCACAGTGTCCACCCAGCCTTAGACTCTGGTAGGGGGTGACTTGCTCTTTAAAGAGTGAACCGGCTCATCTTAGTTGTATAAGTTTGCATTTAAAAAGAAGAACATCGCAGAGTGGTCAAATGCAAACTGAATGAAGGATCTTGCTTTTGGTTGTCTGTGAATTCAATAATGAATGAAGAAAAAAAACTTTTGAGCAAGTTCCTATTTCCACATAAAATGTACAACTTGTGAAGGCTTTTCCAGGGAAGTTGCCATTTATTTCCAACTAACTGGAGGGAAATGTTTTCACCCAAATGTCAGCTCTGAGAGGAGCCAAAGCGTCAGCGAATCACATCCACAGGTGCTTATCGACACTAGGGGCACCAAGAGGTGTGTTTTCAAGTCCATCTGAGGACTTGAAAAGCACCGGGAGTGAAAAATACACTATTTCCTCTCCCCTCTCATGCATTGTGGGAAATGCACCCAACGATTTTCAGCTTGAACTCGTTGACCTTCATTCTGATACATGACTGGAAGAGCACTAAAGGTCAGAATCCCTGTTAGACTTGTATTCCTCTCTCTCGCTCAAACAGGAGGACTTTTCACACATGAGGAGGCATGATTGGAAAACATTGGCTCTCTTTGCACACAAGTCTGAACAAACACTGCTGGTCCAGATCCAGACTGACACTCTCTTTCTCTGCAATCAGCTTTTCAGGATTTGCTCAAAAATTTTACATAAAACTAAACTTTAAGTTTAATTTAATAAATTAAAAAAAAACAGTAATTTGCTTGTAATTCCAAGATGAGTTATTAGGATTTTCCAGCACATTATAATGGTGATGATAATTTACATATAAAACACTAGAGGTCCTTTACTTTAATACATTTGCAGGGGTTTATAGTAGAAATGGATGACTTGTAAGTTATACTCCTGTTAATCATTTGGATTTCTTTTTTAAATATTAATTAATAACTAAAATATGACACACTTTTTTTAAGCAGAGATTGTTTTTAGTGGGGAAACGGTAATATATATGAATAATAACAGCACATTAGGTTAGATTATTAGGCAACTAAACCCACAAGCTGACCGATTCTTTAGTTAGTTTTAGAATTTAAAGGTGTTAAGCCCTTGTTTAATCAAGGGTTAGGGTTAGGGTTAATAAATGCCTCTTAAGTCGTACTCTTGGGAAGAAAAACACTGGTGCACCATTTTCAGGAACTAGAAGTAAGCCACATCACAGCTAAGGGTGTTTCTCAATGCCAAGGAACCTCGCCTTGATGTCTTGGCCCTGTCCCGGTTGCCTAGGAGGTACGTCATCGGGAGCCACCAAGACGTGTTCCAAAGTTCATGTTCTACCAAGGCGTGTGTTCTCCGTTTGTCTTGTAGCCTAGCCTTGGTCAAAATTACCCAGAATACATTGCGTTATTTTCAAAAGAACGGCAGATCAGAAGCCGGCAGCTACTTCAGGGACAATTTTAAAGTTTAAAAGTCAACTAATTAAAAATGATTTTTTTTTAGATCCAAAGAAGTTATCTATGGTTGGTTAGATGCTTAGTAGTTGCAGCTTCGGTGGCTCGCGGGTAGTAACTCACTTCAATCAATCAATCAATTTTATTTGTAGCGCACCTTCCACAATGTTATCAGAAGCCCAAGGTGCTGAACAGCATCATCATAAAAACATTCCCAGTACCTGGGCATAAAAGCAAGATAAAAACATAAAATCATAAAATAACAAGCAAGCAATGTTACAAATACAGAGAGGTAACGGAATGAGACTGATCAATTAAAAACAAATGTTGGACAAAATAAAATCAAGCATCCTGATCAAAAAGAAGAAGTATTAAAAACCAAAATGTCAGGGCAATTCAATGAACCCTAGTGCTGAAAAGCAATCAAATAAAAATAAGTCTTTAGATGAGACTTAAAGACTTGAAGGGACGGCGCCTGCCTAATGCTCAATGGCAATTCATTCCACAGAGTTGGAGCCAAATCAGAAAATGCACGATAACCCCTCAATCGATATTTCGACCAAAGGACCACCAGACGTCCCTGCTCGGCTGAGCGAAGAGACCGAGATGGAGCATACTTGTGCAAAAGTGCAGTAATGTAAGAGGGGGCACTGCCCTGGAGGGCCTTATAAACAAGAGTTAAGATCTTAAATTTAGCTCGATATTGCACCGGGAGCCAGTGCAGAGTAGACAGCACTGGAGTAATGTGATCTCGACATCTGGTACCTGTCAGGAACCTAGCCACTGAGTTCTGTACAAATTGGAGCTGTGCAACCGTGCACTGGGCCAGACCGGCATACAGAGCGTCACAGTAGTCCAGACGGGACAGGATGAAAGCATGCAACACAGACTCCAGATGAGCTCTGGACAGCAGAGGCCTGATCCTGGATAGTCATTTCAGATTACAAAAACAGGACCTCACCACTGTATTTATGTGAGTGTCGAGATTAAGTGAGTCCATTTTTATCCCCAAATTACTGACTATTTCCTTTTCATAGGGGGTCAATGGGCCAAGGTCAAAATCAGCACCTGAGCCATTTCTTCTGCCAGGACTAAGTATTATGACTTCCGTTTTGCTCTCATTTACGTGCAAAAAATTAGAAGTCATCCAACATGTTATGTCCTTCAAACAGTCCAGTAAAGGAGAAAAAGATCTATCCTCCCCACATCGAAGGGGGAGATAGATCTGGCAGTCATCAGCAAAAAAATGACATTTCACATTATGCCGACGAAGAAGGACTCCAAGAGGAAGCAAATACACTGCAAATAGGAGAGGACCAAGGACAGAGCCCTGTGGCACACCCCAACGAAGTCTCACGCAGGGTGACGTCACCTCACCCATCTGAACACTAAATGTCCTGTCATGAAGGTAGGAGCGAAGCCATTGGAGGGCCTGCCCAGTTATCCCCACCCAACGCTGTAGTCGGTCCAGAAGGACTTTGTGGTCGACTGTATCAAAAGCTGCAGATAAGTCCAGCAATAGTAGGACAACATCGTTATCCATGTGTCACAGGCTATAAACGTGTCATTAAAAACCATTAAAAGAGCAGATTCAGTGCTGTGACCTGCCCTGAACCCTGACTGAAAGGTCTCCCATAAACCATTTGTATTCATAAAGGCGACCAATTGTGAATACACAACCTTCTCCAGCAGTATGGAAAGAAAAGGGAGTTTTGAGATGGGCCTGTAATTAGCTAAGGTTGTCACATCCAGCCCCGGCTTTTTTAACAGAGGATGAATAACAGCCTTCTTAAACAAGGACAGAACCATACTAGAAGTAAGACTGCCATTTATGATTGCCAAAAGTAAAGGGCCTATCACTGGAAAGAGTTCTTTATAAGTTCTAGGGGACAGCACATCACAAGGAGAGCCAGATGGTTTAAGATGAGCGACCAGTTTTTCCAAGTCCGATAAGGATACAGGCTCAAATGTTTCCAGTGTTGCCTGAGGTGGCTCTGGGAGTAGAGAGTCAGGTGGTGAGTTTGTAATGGCACCTCGAATAGCTGCAACCTTATCAACAAAAAAGTGAAGAAAGTCATTACAATTTTCAACTGTGGGAGGCAAAGAACTAGAATCAGAGAACTCAAATAGTGAATTTACTACAGAAAAAAAGAGTGCATGGATCAAGAGAATTTTTTTTCACGATATCAGCAAAGAACTTCACCCTCGCTTCCTTAAGAGTTTGCTGATAGTTAAACAAAGATTCTCTGAATATCTCACTTATATTTTTAATTTAATAAATATATATACAATTTAAAAAGTAAAAGCTTCGTTATATATGTAGAGGGGTGAATATTGTTGCTTTTAAGCTTAATATATTACCTTTACTTATGACCAATAAGCTGTGATATTCTATATAAATATAGAATATCAACCTGCTTGGTCTTTAGATGTTTAATCAGAAGATTCTAGGATTATTTGCTTTTTCAGGGATCAAACACACTTCATATCAATTCAGACAGTCAGGTTTATAAAAGATAAGAAATTTATTTTCTAAACAAATAAAAACATGACAAGTTAACCAAGGCTACTGTGATGGATGAATCTAAGAGGATAGGATGTGATGTGTGGTGATTTCATGGTGTGTGTTTATCAGAACCTTGTATCTAGAAGAACTGAGTTCTGGGTGTGAAAAGCATTTGGTTTGCATTAAACTATGGAGTTGATTCTTATCAAAACCACATCAGACGCAATCATGTGTGTCTACCTCACCCTTTCTTTGGAGATCCTCTTTGCGGATCCGGAGGTGAGGGAGGTCGAATGACCTCTGGGCACCGAGGTTCAGTAGATTAACCGCAGCACCGAAGCTTCAGTCCAGAGATGTCGCTAGGAACACAGGTTGGAACTAGTTTACGTCTAGAGAAGCTGCTTCTGAATAGCTGAAGGAACCGTTTTGCTGTGTCAGCTGTAGGCAGCTTTTAGCTTGTTGAAAACTTGTCAAGAGATGCGGTGGCTAGAGAGTTTTCCTCCGATGGCCAGTCAGAGTTAGCTCAACTAGCAGGATGCTGAATCTCTCAGAATGCTGAAATGATGAATCACTCCTCAGTGATTCTGTTTTAATATTCTCATATTATGGTTTACTTGGCCAGTCGGAACGTGCCATGTTCAGGGATGTTAACAACAAACCTTCAGAACATTGCGCCTTCTTTCAGATACAGGATGCTCTGATTTGTGGTTAAGAAAATATCTATATGCAGAAATTACTTTAACTTTAATTTATCTCTAATGAACATTGTGTCTGAGTGTAGATAATGATTCACCCTTTAAACCTAACATTACTGATCATCATAATAATATTCATTTCAACTTCAGTAATTCAAGCACAGATTAATCAACCTTATTAATTTAAGCACAGATTAATCCAAACATTATTATTATTATTTATCAACCATTATTGTTCATTCAACCATATGATTATTTACTATTATAACGGTTCAGTCCTTTATTCTGTGCAGGACAGCATAGATAAGCAGACAGGCTTGGCAGAGAAGAAACTTGAGAAGAGAACACGATGTTGACAATATGTTATCTGCCGTGGACGCCGCGGTCACGTGATGCAAGTCTGTTCCACTTAACTATTTTCTTTGACCAAGGAAGGACAGTGTTCTCGTAAGCAAGGCGCCTGGCCTTGCAAGGCGATGTCTTGCGAGGCCGGGTGCCTTGACATTTAGAAACACCCTAAGCTTCAGATGGCAGGATTTGGAGTCTTATTTCCTGATTTTTGTACATCTCGCCTCTGATTGGCTAAAAGCAACATGACTACCACCGACTTGCAACGCTGATGCTTTATCTCCACAAATAACACAGGCCTGAAGGGGTTATGCTGTGTGGTGAAGTTGCTAATGCTGATGATTAGCTTATACTAGTCGTGACATTCTCTGCTGTTTCCTGGATGCTAAACCAACAACAGCTTTTCCCGTCATTAGTCAAGATGGGTGAGTTCATGTGAAGGTGTGACGTAGATCTGTCAGGATTTTCAAATACTAGAGCTTCACTGTCGATTTTCTATCAGAAGTTAATTCAGGAGAAAGGTGTAGGAGACTATTCTCATGTTCCGTCTGCATGAAATACTCAAAGTGACCGATTATAATCAGACATAAGATTTAAAAAACGGTTATTCAGTGTTCCGCACTTTTCTAAATGAATATCTAAAGTAATTTGTATTTTCTACTTTGATTTAATATTTACTGTATGGATTTGCAGACAAACATATTCATAAGAAATGCTCGTTGAGATGAAAGACATTTTAACACAAAGATGTTTATATTTGTACAATCAGATAAAACACAAAAATACCTTAGCTTCTGCATGAGAACGCTTTTCATCCCCCTCAGTTTGTACACTTTTCACTTTCAGAGTTGGCCTCTTCTGGTGTCATCACCCAATGCACAGAGGCACACACAGCTCATTTCAGATAAACCCTCTAAATTGTTGAGAGGCAAAACAGCTTTAAGCCAGGGGTAATCTTTTATTTCTTTTTTTAATTTTGTAAAATATGCATTAAGCTTTGGGCATATATTAGCGGTTTTGTAAAACAGGAGTGTATAATTCATGTTACTGTGTTGAGAGAAAAGAGACGTATTAGACGTTTAATATACACCCTGGCAATCTGCCCTGCTGCTGCAGCAAACACATCCAAGATTATTGCAAAGAGCCATAAAAGGACCAAAACATCAAGGACGTATTAATGAAACACAAAAACCATTTTGTTCAGGTAGAAAATATAAATCACACAATTTAATAAAAAACACATTTATCTCCACATGACAGTGAACTGAAGAATCATCCAGACAGTATGTATTTTCAAAATGTAAAGGTGTTTGTGTGTGTGTGTGTGAGCGTGTGTGTGTGTGTTTTGTCATACTTTTGTCAGCCCGATTACAGCTAAAACCTGATCAAACAGCACATGAAAGAGTCAACAGTTCTTTCAGCTTTGAAACAACACATCTGCAAACAATGACAAACAAACAGCTTGTATGGTGTCGTCGTCCCCCCACCCCCCACCCACTCACACACACACACACACACACACACACACACACACACACACACACACACCCTCCTACTTTGTCATGCAAACTGTCACGACTGTGCCTCCCTGTACTCACATAGCCATTTCAAACTGCTCCAACCACTTCTTCTTCAGCTCTCTGGTCTTGAAGAAGAGTTCAAAACCAGTATGGCCCTGTTGGTGCGTCACATAGAACCCATAGCACCACTGTGGATGACAAGGAACACAACCGAAATTTAACAAGATGCTATCAGTCAGATCAGGTTAAAGTAAACTGTAAGGAAAATCGGAACGCTAAAATTGAGTTTGCTGGTGAAGATTCTCCGCGTTCCAGGTCATGGTAATCCAAAAGGGTTCAAATGAATGCAACTGGACTTCTTTGGTTTCTTGGAGACGTTTCACTTCTCATCCAAGGAGCTTTGTCAATTCTGACTGGTACATGAGAGAGTCGAGCTGTCTGTTGCTGCTTAATGAGCAGAAACTACCTATGAATACCCCTCCTTCCTACCCCCTGAGGAGTCATTGAAGACATCAGCCCCTATTGTACAGCAGCAAACAATAGAAAATTGAAGCTTGACCCTCCCATATTCCAGTCAGAAATGGCAAAGCTCTTCAGATGAGAAGAAAAATGTCTTCAAGAAACCAAGGAAGTCCAGTTGCCTTCATTCGAATCTCTTTGGATTAAAATAAATGTTAAAGTTTGAGGTTTTTTGCCATCTGCACATCAATTTTATGGAGTTTTTAACTTCGTTTATGCGTGTAATTCCTAAAACAAAAAACTGGTGTTAGAACAGCTACATAATTCAAATAAAATAAATAAAAATAACAATTCTTAAAAAATAAAAAGCATTTTGAAAGAATGAGTAAACTGTACTTTATCAAAATACACTTAGTAAGATTTAGTTACTAAATAAACAGAAATACATGTTTAGATTTAATCTTGCATGCACCCTGATTTTGAGAGACGTAACCTCTACACTTCATTTCTTTAAAAGCTCATTTTATTAACAGGACAAAACCTGTGAACAGGCTTTCCCCTCAACACAGATTCAAGTTTGAACTTACATCCACAATGCCCTTTGTGTCATTATAAAATCTCATTAAAAATAAGTACCAACTGAATTATTTCCAAAATTCCTTTAATTTAAACAGTGTATTGACAATGAAAAACATTTACGCACAAAATATTGAGTCACTTGAATGATTTACTCAAATCATTCTGAGTGAACCCTGAAGTTTCTGCTCATGATGCTCCAACAATGAAACGGTAGGAAAAAAAAAAGCATAGGGGCTGTAACGCTGTTGCTAATCCTCCGTGGTTCTACTGCCGGTGAGGTCACCAGCCTCACAGATCAACAAAAGTGTGCTGGCTGCTGGATTCTGTCAACATCAACAGAGCAGCAGCTGCACTGGGAGTTTAACCAGAGTTCAGCTCCAAGAGCACCGACAGACTTAAACTGTAAGAAAAACACTGAGTTAGTTTCTACTGAGAAAAAAATACTTAAAATGTATAAATAAATTATTCTCCACCACCCAGCCTTAGAGAAGTTGCACCCATTAGGACAAATATTCCCCAAAAATTGACCTTTTAATAAAAAAAATTGTGACACATTAAAGTGTCCAGGAACGCAATATTCTTTGTTTCCTGTTCTGAGTTCAGCATTCAGAGTCTGAAGTTTTATTTAGCAGGAAATGATTAGTGGTGCTAATTAGCCTGGGAAGACTTGGCTCATTTATCACCTGATATTAGGATCTCTGCCCTGAGGGGACAAATTTCCAGGAATACATTCAGAGTTAACTCTGTAAGTTACTCAGAATGATTTGAAAAGTTGAAAAGCAAAGTTTAAAGCTCTCATTAAGCTCACAGTTACGGGGCTGCCAACTTTTGAACATTTCAAAGAATGAGATAGGGTCATGGGGTTGGGAGCGGACAATTCACCGACTGTTTTAGAGCGTGCGGGAGGGGGGGGGGGGGTATTAATATTGAGACTATTTGTGCTCTACATTTTATTTATTTATTTCAACTCGAAAGATGATAGAGCCACTGACAAGAAAAAATAAAGAAAGAGAATTCTTTTTTTTTTCTTTTTTTTTTACCGTGTCCTGTCTGGCTGTGAAGCAAACAGAATTGATGTCTGAATGCTGGTAACAAGCCTTACAGATTTACTCTCAGGTGGAGCATTAAAGCGTCTGCTTTTAATGTCACGCCTGAAACTTAAAACTTTATTGTTATTGTTTTTGAATGCTTTGTAATTCCGACCAGACACAGAGACAGAGGTGAGAGAGAAAGGAAAAGAAAAGGTGGGGAGGGGGGTCCACAAAAATAAACAATAATGAACAAGAGTCTGCTTCTAGACCTGCAGAAAAAGACAAAAAAAAAGCAAAAGGGCAAAAAAATGGGACACAACAACAATACAACAAGATCAAGCTATCACTGCATCAACTTGATGAAGAAATTATATAATCAACATTGCTTAACTGAACAATAACACGATAATAAATCACAGTGCATTAAGTGCCCACCATAATCTTAAGACCTGTATTTAACGTGCCCAAGCCCATACTTTTGAGAGCACCATGTGAGCACCTGTGTGTGTACACGTGCTTGTTTATTTAAGGTTTCTCTATAGGAGCGTCCAACAGAGAGTGTGAGGGACCACAGATCCGCCCCCCAAAGATGCGCAGGAGATGGGGGGAGCTCCAAGTCTCAGAGATCCAGGCGCTGCCCCAGAACGCAGGAACCCCAAGGAGACTGCAACCAGAAAGGCCCCCGCCCCCCTCGAGAGGCACAGAGGATCGCCCCGGAGGGCCACAACCAGCAGCCGGCAGAGTCCCGGGAGACATCAGCGGCAAGCCCTCAAGCCCGCCCGCAGCCTCCCACCCCCTAGCCGGCCGAGCCCGGGACGCAGCGACCCGGGACCCAGGGGCGACCACCCCCGCCAGGGACCCAGCAGAGCCCAGGGACCCAGAGCCCAGGGACCCAGACCCCACCAGGCAGCCACCGGGATCTATCAGGCAGATGCCAAAATCTTAAACCCCCAGACCCGGTTGCCATGAACACTCAAGCAGACCAAGGCACAACCCCTCACACCAGGTGTGGCAGGGGGGAGGGGGGACGAGGATCTATATCATCAGAAGAAGTTCCAGGAGAGGGGAGGAGTCAAAGGCCCCACCTGACATATACAGTCATACACACACAAAAAAAGAAAAGAAAGAGAATTCTTACTTTTTCTCAGAATTCTGACTTTTAATCTCAGAATTCTGAGATTAAAAGTCAGAATTCTTTTTCTTTTCTTTTTTTCTTTTCTTTTCGTGTGGAAAATTTAACATCCAACTCTCCTGAACTTCTTCACATTATCTATCTATCTATCTATCTATCTATCTATCTATCTATCTATCTATCTATCTATCTATCTATCTATCTATCTATCTATCTATCTATCTATCTATCTATCTATCTATCATCTATCTATCTATCTATCTATCTATCTATCTATCTATCTATCTATCTATCTATCTATCTATCTCTGTCTGTCTGTCTGTCTGTCTGTCTGTCTGTCTGTCTGTCACACCCTGTCCTGTCTCCCCTTTTGGTTCAGCCTTGTGTCTCATTGACTGCTCCCACCTGCCTCTCGTTTTCCCAATCACTCTAGCTCCCGACCCCCTTGTATTTAAGCCCCTTCTGTTCTGCGTCTTGTGTTGGTTCATTGTTTCAGTGTCCTGCGTGCTTCTCATTAAAGTTACGATAAATGTCCTACCTGTCTGCCTGTCTTCCTCCCCGCGTTTGGATCCTCGCCTCACCTCCGCTCACCTCGCCCACACACTGTGACAGAATGAACCGACCCGTTAAAGGATCCAGCGGGGAGATTCTCCCGTGGGAGTACCTGCTCCGATGGCTCACCCCGAGCCACCAGCCAGCTTCTCCAGCTCCAGCTCCACCTCGCCGCAGACGACGGCACCGACCTGCACCCTCGGCTATCCTCTCCACCCTCCCGGAGCCTGATGAAAGATCGGACCGAGAGACGCACTCGGATCACTCCAGCTACGTGGGCACCCGCCTGGCTATGTGCTCCCCCGGGGTTGGTCCACGGCGTGGGGAGAGATGCTGGGCTCCACCGTAGTCCTGTGTTCCGGGACGGAGCTGTGAGCTCGCCGCTGCCCCTGCTCGGCGCAGCAGCTTGGACCTGCCCCCGGCCAGACCAGCAGTTCCGTCTCCGGCCCAATCGGCGCCTCCGTCATCTGCAGGCGGAGGAGCATTGGCTGCAGCCCAGCTGACAGAGCTCGTCAGTCTCCAGGCGGAGTTTGGCCGGGTCCGCCAGCTCGTCAGCTTCCAGGAGTCCCGCCTGGACGCTCTATCCTCCTCAGGCCGCCAGGAGAGGGTCTTGGTCCAGCCGGCGGCTCCCTCATCTCAGGGCCAGAGGAACGAGCCTGGGGTCCACCCAGCGGAGCTCGCCGGTCTCCGGACTGAGCTGGCACAGCTCCATCGGACGCTCAGCCTCAAGGAGTTTCAGCTGGACGGTCTGTCCTCCCTGCTCTCACAGTTTCTGGCACCACCAGTTCTGTCACAGCCTGTTCCAGCGGTGGCCCCTGTGGACGCACCGCATCCAGTTCCAGCGGTGGTCCCGGAGCTCGCACCACATCCAGTCCAGCCTGTCCAGCATCCAGCAGCCCCTCCCGCAGCAGCTCTGCCTCCGGCCCAGAAGCTGACAGTACCGGCCTGGAAGCAGGCGGTCCCGGTCCGGAAGAAGACGGTTCCGGTTCCGGTCCAGAAGCCGGCGGTCCAGGAGTCGACGCACCCGGTCCAGAAATCAGCGCCTCATCCAGTCTAGAGGTCGACGCCCTCTCCAGTCTAGAGGTCGACGCTCTCTCCAGTCCAACGCCGACGACGCCGCCTCCAGCTCAGAAGTCGAGGACGTCTCCTCCGGCGTCTCTGCTTCTGGTCACCGCCAGTCCTGCCCTCATCAGGTGCGGGCCCCCAAGAGTCCATCCTCGTCTCCTCCTCTGCCCCAGATGGAGGCCTCCAAGAACCCATCGTCGCCTCCTCCTCTGCCACAGACGCAGGCCCCCAAGAGCCCGTCGTCGCCGCCTCCTCTGCCACAGACGCAGGCCCCCAAGAGCCCGTCGTCGCCGCCTCCTCTGCCACAGACGCAGGCCCCCAGGAGCCCGTCGTCGCCTCCTCTGCCCCAGGCACAGGCCCCCGGACTCTGCTGGTCCCTGCCTCCTCTTCATCGGGCCCTCTGTCCCTCTCGGCCCTGCCTCCGAGTCCCCCTCCTCCAGCCCTGCTCTGTGTTCCTGTGGGTGTCTGGAATCTGCCCTTCGGGGGTTGGGGGGGGGGGGGGGGGGGGGTGGTACTGTCACACCCTGTCCTGTCTCCCCTTTTGGTTCAGCCTTGTGTCTCATTGATTGCTCCCACCTGCCTCTCGTTTTCCCAATCACTCTAGCTCCCGACCCTCTTGTATTTAAGTCCCTTCTGTTCTGCGTCTTGTGTCGGTTCATTGTTTCAGTGTCCTGCGTGCTTCTCATTAAAGTTACGATAAATGTCCTACCTGTCTGCCTGTCTTCCTCCCCGCGTTTGGATCCTCACCTCACCTCTGCTCATCTTGCCCACACGCCGTGACACTATCTATCTATCTATCTATCTATCTATCTATCATTCTATCTATCTATCTATCTATCTATCTATCTATCTATCTATCTATCTATCTATCTATCTATCTATCTATCTATCTATCTATCTATCAACTATCTATCAGCAGTAAAGAGTTACAGCTACATGTCACAAATGGAACTTTTAATTATAATTAATGTAAATGTATTAAAATTCCATATAGGGGTGGGCAATATCATGTCATTCATAATATTACCAGTTATTATTTCCTGCAAAGAAAAAAATAATCTATCATGTTAAGCTAACTTCATGATGTAGTTGCATCCACTAAACAGAGGATTATGTTCATGTGGGTCATCACCATGAAGTTATTGAAGTTATCAAAGCAAACATGGCTGGAATCAGTTTCACTGTAATCTGTGTCTCTAAGTGTGTGTACTGCTGTAATGAGTGGATGTCCCCACTGTGGGACTAATAAAATGTACTATATTCTATTCTATTAATTCATACCAGCCAGTAGGGGGAAAAAACGTTTGAGGAATTTTGGCCTTTCTAGGCTTCCGTACAAGTAGCCTGGTTATAGAGGAGGGTTGTCTCACAAACAGGTGAAGCAGTGAATTTAAGGATTAGGATTCCTAATGTTTTAATTCACCGCGTCACAAACTAATGTAGGAGAGGGAACATGTGAATGAGTCATCACGGTAGGAAGCCCAGCTTGCTGTGAGCGAGAGTCGCGCGCGATCTGTGGCTGATGAGTGAAAACAAAAGAAAAGCATTCGGTACTGAAGCTCCATCAATTTGCATAAATTATGTGTGAGCATGGAACATCAAGACAATGATTGACTTTGTGAAGTGGCTTCTAATGACTCTTGTCGTGATTTGATGCTATATAAATTTACTGAATTGGATTGAATTGATTGATCATGTTAAATACGGGCTGCATGGTGGCGCAGTGGTTAGCACTGTTGCCTCACAACACGAAGGTTGCAGGTTCGAAACTCGGGTGTGGCTTTTCTGCGTGGAGTTGCGTGTTCTCCCCATGCATGCGTGGGTTTCCTCCGGGTACTCCGGTTTCCCCCACAGATCACAACATGCCCTATAGGTTATAAATTGTAAGTCGCTTTGGATAAAAGTGTCTGCCAAATAAATAAACATAAACATAAATACTAGTCACTGTCTTACACATGTCCCACGCCAGCACACAGCCAAATTACAACTGCACTATAGATGATGACAGTAGAGTGTTTTTCATAGGAAAAAGAAAACACGTCCCATTCTGGTGAGCTGTCAGATTCACATTAGCAATCAGCACCGTAGTGAGAAGACACCATCTGTGGACATCCATCAACAAGACATCAACAGGTCCTTTCCATGATAATATGGCCCACAAACGGTCCCTCAAGGCAAAGCAGGATTCTGCATAAGAACCTTAGAATGACTTAAAGAAGTCTTCCTAAATCTGGGTTTTCCAGAAGATAGAACCATGAAAAAATGTTTATTTTAGTGGTAAAATAGATGTTAAATCTGTAGTTCAGGTTGTGGATTCTCAGCTTCAAAGATAAAAGTACCTTTTTGCCTTCTCTGTCAGATGTGGGATTGTTGGTGACCTTAAAGAGGTTCAGATCTAATATGTCCTTCATCTCGTAGTTGTCGCCTCTTCGCTTGCAAACAACGGCTGCCACGTCAAACAGAAAGATGTGCCTAGAAAACAGGAAGATTGTTTCTTTTACTTTAGCAAAATGAACAAACTAATTGACAAAAAATAACACAGCTTGATGAATATTTCTTTGGTTTGACAAAAACATATGTTGACATAAGTAATGTATCGTGCTGAAGAAGAGCAACCTGTCCTGTTTCCTCTTGTCAATGTTGGACACCAGCCGCACCTCTCCGTCTCCTTTTGGTCGACCAAAAGTGAGAAGTGGCTGATTCTGCAAACAAAATGTGGACTTAGTTTAGAACATTGGACCTTCTACAATTAATTTTTTTAAACATACAATTTCAAATTTACTATGCATTGTCGTTAGGATAGAGTGAAAGAAATAGAAATCACGGAATAAAACTATGTCAGAATATGGTTGTAGGCCCAGTTCAGATGATGTCTAACCCAAATGTGCTAAAATGTCATAAAAGTAAAAACATTTAATGTCAGGGCTTTGCAGTATTGCAACTAAACACAAGAGACAGCACAGGTATGCAGCATTTTGAACAGTTGATCCATTAATTTGGTCCAAAAACAGCTGGATTTATCCTTGAGAGGAGTTATATAAACACGCGTTCCGATTGGTCATCACAGAATGTATACATTATTTTTTCAACAAAGAAAAAATTAAAAGTCTGTTATTTTTATTTTCAGTCTAGATTCTTTACTTCTGCATGAAAACATCTCAAGCAAACAAGGTTTAAATAATATTAGCATCTCGTTAACAGCTGATCACGTTAACAAGCCCAGAGTGCATGTTATTGATCCTGGTTTCTAAAAGTGCTCAGTAGGAAACTAGTGATTATCATATGTTCATCCATCATAGTCATCTTTATCTGACAATAATGTCCATGCCAATTTATTTATTTATTTAGCAGATTAAAAACAACTCAAGTTGACCAAAGAATTAGTGTAAAACAAAAGGTTTGAAAAACACATATTTAAAAATGACAACACAGGAAATGTAAAGGAACAAATAATACGCACAAAATAAATAAAAAAAATAAATCATCATCTGCTTGAATATAAAGCCAAGGAGAAACGTGTGCTTTTTTAAATCTACATATGATAGTGGTGTCCAATCCTGGTCATCAAGGGTGACCAATCTGCATGTTTTTGTTATTTCACCTGATTTATTAGCTGGGTTACCTGTTCAGGGGTGGTCAAGTTTTCCAGAAGCCTGGAAATCAGCCACTAATTAAAGGTGCATTGTGTAGAAATGAAGACATCCTGTGGTCAAATTTGGTTTAAACGACTCTGGAAGTTTTTGCCGGCCATCGTCACGTTTGTCGGTGCTGCAGTATTAGCTCGCAGGAGACACGACAACCCCACACTCACTGATGGTTAACAGTAGTCACGTCCCTCCTTCCTTTGTTTTGAAAGGAGAAAAACAGATAATCCTCGCAGCCAGCTGGATATAAAATATGTTTTAGTATAACCTTCCTTCCGAAATGACTGAAACTTTAAACTCTCTTGGGATTTTCTCACTGTAACATTCTCACTATATTCTTACATACTGCACCTTTAAAACATGGTGTGTTGATGTGAAAAGAAACTTATAAATATGCAGGATGATTGCTATTGAGGACCACGATTGGACATGACTGACAGGAAAAGGTTAGTATAGTTAGTATAGTGTTCTTACTGATCCTCTATGATGGTGCCAGGCCATTTGAATCCTTCAAAGTAAGCAGCAGAACCCTCAAGGTTATGTTAAAACGGACAAGGTTCCAGTACACAGAAGCTATGTCTAGATATCTTTGGTACGCTCTTGCTGTGTACTTCTAATTCCATTATTGGTTCTGTTTTAAACACAGAAAAGGTTTCTCTTTACCTTGCTGACAGTTTCGTTTGTGGCTGCAAACATCTTCAGAGCTGGCGCTGATGGTGGCATCACTTCCTACTCCGTTTATCCGCTGGCAGCAGAGGGCAACAACGTCCTCTGCTGCCAGCGGATAAACGGAGTAGGAAGTGATGCCACCATCAGCGCCAGCTCTGAAGATGTTTGCAGCCACAAACGAAACTGTCAGCAAGGTAAAGAGAAACCTTTTCTGTGTTTAAAAAAGAACCAAAAATGGGGCTATGTCTAGATGTTTGATGGGTAATTTGTTGTCAATGACTTTTCATTGGATACAAGTGGATTTAAATATTGCTGCAAATTTGCATGAAAGCATCCAGAGAAAGTATTAGGATTAGTACCTTCATCAAAAACCTGTCATATCCTTCACATGTCTTCTGCCCTCAAGTGGAGGCCAATATCTTTTCTGTTTATTATGGTTACTTTATTTCAGACATGAAAGGGTTAAAAACTGCAGTAATCTGTCAAAAATGAAAACAAAATACCTCATAGAGATCTCCATTGGTTTTTTTCTTGCTTAATCCACAAACCAATAAAGATTGAAAAAAAAAACAGAAAGAATATAACAAGAAGAACGACTGAGAGCATGGTAATTTGCATAACTGATGGCTGAGACTGACAGTTTCTTTTCGACCAGGTTCAGATGGTGGTTCAAGTGGAAGATCTGATTTTTTTTAAACTTTACAAAATAATTTTGACAGGAAATTGAGAGAATATTTAAAAAAAAAAACACTTATTCTAACAAATTAAAAACTAAATATTGTTTTGTTTACCAGATTTTCAATAGACCTCTGGTACTGGTCGATCTCCCTCAGAGTCTCATTATCTCTCTTCACTTCATTGACATACTGAGCGAGGTCCTATGGAAGCACAAAACACAAATACACAGAATGCCCATCACTTCAAATAGGAGGAAATAAAATATGTAAAAATAAAAAAATATTTATTTTTTAAAAGGTTACAGTCCAGTGCTTTAAAAAAATGGAACATTGAAAAAACTCACTTCCTCTGTTGTTGCATGATATGATCAATACTACATGGTGATTCCTAATGTTGCCTTTTGAATGTGTTAAATCCAGTGGTTTCAAATCCACCTTTATGATGATATGCTTAGGTATTGCCTCATACTTTGCACTCATATACTGTATAGTATTTTTATAAATGTTTTACTGTTTTATTCTAAATGTATGATTGTGTTAAGTTGTGTGCTTGAAAGATATAAAAATCTGCAAAAACAAGTTTCAATTAAATGCCAAATTTTTAAATAAGCCTATAATTTGTTAGAGTTGTTTATCTTTAGGGTTAATTTAGTCATGGTTGAGAGGTGAGCAGAACATGATGATGTTAGAAGGAAATTCAGCTCCCAGTGATGTGTAAATGTAAAGATCCATTTTATTTCATTGAGGTGGTCATTTTCTAATCAAAATGAGTGAAAGAGTTTTCTGCTTCAACAATCTTATAAAGATCATTCACTATTTAAGTAAGTGCAGCACTTACCTTCATGGCATCAAGAGCTGTCTTTAGGTTGTTCTTATCAGCAGCATCTTGAGTGTGTTTGACAAGTTCCTATTAGAGAAAATTGACAGAAAAAGAGATGGATTTGACTGAACTTATGATATTTGCACTATAATATTTCATTCTGTTCAATTTTTACCTGTTTTTACTATTTGAGATGACACAATTTTATTTTGATATCAGTTTTAGTTTTGATTTGGAAAAAAAACTTTTATTTTGAAATACTAAATATTTACAACATAGCTCATTTTTTATGTACATGATATTCTACTATTTAAAATTAGCTATGAAAAACAAAATAAAAAGTTCCATGCCAACAATAACAATATCAGATCTTGGGAGGATAACTGGTTTTGAGCAGGAACACAAATGTATGGAAGCCCATTCTTGCCACTCTGATATATATATATATGGAGTTTGCACTTCAAATGTCCACACCAGTAGTTTCTCCTTGTACCTTTAAGCCACTAATCCACTGATTTACAGGCTGAGCTAGTCAATCAGACAGTTGCTTTCTGTTTTTTTAGAACATTTATCGTTGTCAAGGATTCAATGAAAGCCTAAAATTGCTTCAGAGTCTCTCCCTCAACCTATTCATAGCAGTCACACTGATGTAGGTCTATTGGTTGCCTGTGGTGTTTGAACCAGTTGCCGTACCACTAGCAACTTCCAAACTATCCCACTGCACCACCAGAACCCTTCACACTTGAGTGTTTTCTGGTGGGACATTTGAACTTGTCATTTTAACTTTAGTACTTAAAAGTTTCAAAGCCAGTCATGATGAGAAGGATTCAAGTAAAGCCCATTTTGAGTTTGCACTTCAAATATCCATACTAGTAGATTCTCCTGGTTTTGAACCTTGGACTTTTAAGCTACCAACCCATTGCCTTAAAGGTTGAGCCAGTCAGTTAGCTACTTGCAATTGTTCTGGTGAATCATTTGACCTTAGCCTTTTTTTTACTTTTGTTCTTAAAACTTAAACAATTGAGATTTGAACTCACATTGTCTAGACTTCAATCTGCTGCTTTAACAGACTGCCCTACACAAGAACACATTTTCTAGAGCTTTTCACATTGACAAGAATTCACAAATACTCTAATTTGACTAATTCCAGGGATTGAACCCTGAAGTTTCTGCTCACCAAGCCAACACTTTACATACTGAGTCACATTAGAAGACAATAAGAAGTTGTATTGTAAAGGTTTTCATGTTGTCAAGAACTCACAAACACTCTAAAATTACTTCTTACTGGATTTGAACCCCAGAGCTTCAGGACACCAAGCCAACACCTTACAGACTGAGCCAGAAGAGGAGACAATGACATTTTATATTGCAAAATATTTCATGTTGTCAAGAGTTCACCACAAGTCTTTTACATAGTACTGAACCCTAAACTTACAGCACCAACACCCATAAACTACACAAGCAGACACTTGAAACTTGTTTTCTAAAGCTTTCATGTTGTCAAGAATGCAGATGAAGTCTACAATGTTTAGTTATCTCTGGCATTGAACCTTTAATCATCTGCACTCCAATTCAACAGCTTACAGAACGAGCTACAGAAGGTTAATGTGTCCTGGAAGTAGAAAACTGTAAACTAAAACTATTTGTCTCAACCTCTGATCTACCTGCATCTCGCTGGCGGTTTGCTGGTGAAGTTACTGAAACTTTAATCTACTTCAACTCACCTATTTTTATCACTAGTTGATTCAAAAAACTCCAAAAATTCCAAAATGTTTCCAAGACAAGTATGATGACCTTATAAGCTACTTGGCTTATGAATGATGTGAATAAATAATGACAACTCCAACATAAAAAGTTATATTTAATCACATAGTTCCCCTTTGCATCCTTGCATCTCATCATTTTCCAATAGAACAGACAGATGATCTTTTATATGTGAGGTCACATGTTATTTATAAAAAATAACAAATAGAGGCATTTCTGCACACATATGAAGTTCTACCACACTAACAAGACGCTTATTCCATTCTATCCATAAAATACACATTTAAATATAAATGTTTCTACACACAATTTGCATGACTTATGATGTTTTATATAAATGGAATCAAAGAACACAACTTTTTAAACATGAAATTCCAAATTAAGAGTCATCTGGGCAAACTTAAATAACTCTTGCATTAAGGTTCAGATCTCCAACGTCTGAAGATGATTTGACCAACAGAGCTCATCAGTATTCTTAGATATTGATAGACAAATATTTATAGCAGAATGTTCTTGGTGTCAGAAATTCTGACTCAGAATGGACTTTTAGAAAACCATCACAGTGATATCAAGTTGGGACCAGCCTCATTGGCCCCACATGTAGAAACTAATGGAATTATAATAAAAAATGTCATTCTTGGTTACTAATTAAACAACGTATAATTACATGCAATAACCCAATGTGCACGAAGTAACGATTTTAACTTTTATAAATCTTGAATAGTTCTAATTTTTGATTCAAAAACTTATCAAAACAGCATATTATTAAACACATTTGTGTTTTAAAAGGTCATATTTTAAGACTTTAACAACATCTGAGCCATATTTTCGGTATTATTTGAGGATTTTGTTAAGTAAGGATGCAGAATTGGTTGTGTGCGAATAAAAAATCAAACATGTGGAGGATGTCTCCCTCTAGTGGTAATGCACCACACAGCAGTCATTTTTCATTTATTAGTTTGTTTATTTATTGATAAAAGCACAACCAAAAATGGCTGAAATTTTGAAATTAGTGCTCAACACAAAAATTATATATAGTAAATAGTAAATCTCATTTTTCTGATTGCACAGTCAGTAAGAGGATTTGACAGAAAAACACTTTCTTTTTTCTGTTTCAACGACATATTTGAACATTTCTACCTACATCTGTATTTCACACACCTGTAGGAGGAGATGGTACTTTAGCACTCGCTGCATTGGGACAACCAGCAGGTCCCTCAGTGTGAACTTCCCATTGTTGGCCCTTTTAGAGCACTCCTGAAACAAATAAAATGGATTAACTCTTAACTATATTTTTGATTATTGCATAAACTTTAGAGGTTGTTTTAATTTCACTTTCTTTCTTTTTTTTCTCGCTGCAATCCTTCAATCCACAGCCTAAACCATGGCCACTTTTGCTGTTTAATGTTTTTGTGATTTTAAAGTTTTATGTCTACAATAAAATCAATATTTTAATAACTATATATATTTTTGGTACTGATCTGTTTTTTATTAGACAAAATAAAACTTGACTAACAATCGCACTCAAATGACTGTGCAGTGCACAATCATGTACACAAGAGGTCACTGCAGGTCACAAAAACATATGGCATGGCATCATACAGACGTTTTACCTCCAGCTTTAGGCGAACATCCTCTTTCTCTTTGCAGATCAGGTCTAAAATTGCAATAGCGATCTCGACCCGGCTACAGTAAATCCCATAAATGAGGAGTCTATGAGTGAAAATAAAAGACGTGAGGTCAAGGGAGGAATAAAAAGCAAAAGACAGACGACATAAAACATTTATAAAAACACAAATATAGCTGATGTGCGTTTAAAGTTTCTCAAGGTCCATAAAATGCAAATAAGAAACAACAAAAATAACATTTAGGAGTAGAAATTGAAAGTTGGGCTCTCTTAAATTATGAAACTGCAAATATAAATAAATAAAATTTATGAAAAAAGATATTTAGCTATTTTCTAACATTTTTGCAGTAATACAGCTTTGGTTGTTTATTGAAATTTTAAAGTACAGCTCCTGCACCCACTCTTTACCTTTCTTTGTAGTCGATAAAGATTTGGTGAAGATTTAAGGCGTTTTTGTTCAGAATGGAATCCTGCACATCCACCATCAGGCTCTTGTGCAGTTTTACCAGGTCCTGCATTGAATGAACAGATTGTTTGTATCTAATGGCACTTAGCAAGAGAAGGGAAACTGCAGCGTGACTTACGGGAATGTTGACAAAAACGTTGTCAATTTCAGCTACGGATAAAAACTTCTTCAGAGGATTCAGAAAATACTGTAGGGGAATCAAACACAAAGTTATACAACATTCCAGCTCATCTTTTTCCTATTTTTCTATCTACAAGTTTCAAACAATCCACAAGACACAGTGATACTCATAATGAAACCATTCACAGAAGTCTCATTAGAGGTCTAGATGGGCATATTAGGGAATTCACAACTGGGAATTCCCCACAAATGCCCCTAAAGCACACAAATGCATCCATCCGAGTGTTTTGAGCGCCACTGTCAACCAGATACAGTAGCATCTGTTACTGTTAAATCAATACAAATATCATTCTACAGCAGTTGTTTGAAATCAGCTTTTATAAAATAAACTTGACTGTAGTGAACACTTTGTGAGAGGTGCAGAGGAAATGGGTTTCAGCACCTTTTCAATGGACTCCAGCGTCTCTGTGTATCGCTCTTCCGTCTGTTTGATCTCTGACAGACAGCAGCTCCGCACATCTACCTCTACCTGCTTCTGACAAAACACACAGGCCAGAGAAAATGCTTTAACATCGTTGTCTGATAGAGAAATGTGGGTATGAGTTAGGTTATCTGCGGAAAAGAAACTGAAGTAAAAGAAGTAACTTGGGTGGTTCTGCTGAAATTAATATTTTTGTACTTCTTCTTAAGTGTTTTTGAAATCATCTCAGAGTTTCTCATTTCCTTTTGGTCCGAAACACTTTTCTTTGCCCTAGTTGCAGCTTTGATGTTGTGCCACATTTTCAGAACCTGCACAGAAGTTAGCAAACATATCTGTATTCTGATTGACCCGTTTGAAATGTGACTACCTCACCAGTTGGAGGTTAAAATCTTATACTTTCAAATCTGAAATGATTTTGACTTTTATTCTGCTTTAATAGCCTTGCTAAAATATTTGCTTCACAGATGGACAAACCTTTGAATCCACATTAATTTACAAAGGGTGATGAAAATACTAAAACAGTAAAAAACTTAAACTTCAAATAAAAATGTTTATTTTATATTTGCTAATAATAATAATAATAATAATAATAATAATACCGGCAGGTGGCTGAGGGAATGATTCGGATTTAAAGGTATAGCAATCGATGTTTTTCTTCCAGGTGGATCACGTTGTCATGGTCTGTGTCTGTGTCTCCCCTCATGTGTCTCCTTGTGTTCTCCATCCCTCTCTAGATTCTCCTTTTGTGTCTCCTAGCGCCCTCATGTGTCCTTGTCTGCGTCTCCCTCATGTGTCTCCTTGTGTTCTTCATTTGTCCCCAGATCTGCAGCCCTGCAGGTTTCCCTCCCCAGGTATCCCCCTCCCAGGTCCAGTGCTCCCGTGGTCCCCCTTAGTCACTCCCCTGTAGTTTTCCTTTCTGTAGTGTTTTCCTTTTAGTTTCAGCTGTTCATTTATTAGTCTCTTTTAGTGAATTTATTTCCCCCCACCGGTTCTTTGGTTCTCCTTCCTCAGATTATTAGTTAGTTCTTTTGCTCTTCTTATTTTTAGGTTTTGTCTTTAATCTTAGGTCATGTTATTTTTCTTCCTCTTCTACTCACTGCCCTCTTCCCTGATTAGTAATTGAGTTCACTAGGTTTCTCTCCCCACACACACCAGCTCATCCCCTCTCATCCTGCCCCAGTGTATAAAAGCCTGTCTGTGCCTCAATGTTTTGTCGGTTCATTGTTCGAGTCAGTCTCGTCTCGTTCCTCTCTCTAGCTTCTAGTGTTTCTAGGTCTCAAGTGTTTTATTTATTTTTTTGGGGGGGGGGGGGGGGGGGGGGGGGGGGGGATTTCTCAGTATAGATATTAGGATTTTTGGATTTCTGGTTTTTGGCTCCCTGCCTTCTTGGATTACTCCTAAATAAAGGATTTTTATTTCGTCTTCCACCTCCTGCCTCAATCTGGTATCTGCATCTTGGGTCCTAAACTTCCTCCTAAACCAACTCGTGACACACGTCAACCATTGGTCTGCAAAAATGTAAATTTTTGGTGAAGCCAATCCTGGGTTAGTTTTCACTTCCTGCGCATGCGTACTCTGTGCACCCCCGCACTCTCATGGAAATCAGGAAGAGGCTAACGCAGTCCAGTCCGCTCCCCACAGACGCCGCTGTTGCCGGTTTTCTGCTCCAGAGGTAAGCTAACATTCTGCATGATATTTTTAGAGCCTCTTGTTACACATTACGGCCGGCAGCTACTTGTAAACAGGCGCTAAGAGTGTTGTGCAACGTGGAGAGGGCGGTTCTTTCCTGAAATTCAGAAACATTGATTGCTATACCTTTAATGATAGCCTACCTGGATGATGGATCTCAATCAATCAATCAATACTTTATTAATCCCAGAGGGAAATTAGAGTTAATCCCAGTTAGCTCCTTGGCTAACCAGCTAACTAACCTTACAATAATCTGTCCTTTGAGGCCATTTTGACTTCTGTTATCAGGTCAGATGTTCAGGTCCTGAAAGCCACTTTCATTTAGATGCCCCCTGTACACCGAGAGGTCAAATTTGAAAGTGCTGGTACAGCGTGCCGGTGCGTAGCGTCCCACTTAAAGCACTACAAATAGAAGACTGTGCGAGCGGTGTCCAAGAGGGTGTCCCGTCTCCCTGGTTGTCCTGGGCGATATATATATTTTTTACTGTTGGTTGTGAAGTCTAAAATGTCATCTTTACTCATATTATTAATAAAGTTCTCTGGAGAAAAACACTCAGATGTGCCTGTTTGACAACGTAGAAGTCAGCCAGAGGACAAAGTGGCTTCAGACGGCAGGGTTTGGAGTCATATTTACTGATTTTTGGATATCTCACGTCTGATTGGCTAACAGCAACACTACTCTACCACTGACTCAGTTTGTTCTGCAATGTTGATGTTTGATTTCCTCAAATAACAGAAGCCTGGAGGAGTTATGTTGTGTTGTGGAGTTGCTAATGCTAATGGATAGCTTCTACTAGTCCAAACGTTTTCTGCTGTTTCCTGGATGCTAGAACAACAGCCTTCCCCATCGTGAGTCAAGATGGGTGAGTCTATGAATGTTAAGTGAGTGTGAAGTGGATCTGTCAAGGTTTCATGAAGAGGTTTCTCAGTACACCTGTTTTTTTTTTTTTTTTTTTTTTTTTTTTTTTTTTTTTTTTTTTACAGAGAATTAAATAATCTTCACAACATTACACCCGGTTCAAAGTCTGGTTAACAACCCCTCTCCCCAAACAAATTATTCTTGGATCACACAGTTGACCTGTTTTGGATTAAAAACAGCAAATTTCCCCAAAAGGTGAGGGTTTTTTTTGTCTGATTTTTAGTACTTGTTACGAGCCCTGGGTTCCCCGGCGCCCGGCTTCTACTCTGCTCCGTTTTCAGCACCATGGAGAGCGCCTGGCCTCACTCACGCAGCTGATTCTCATCAGGAGTCCCATGGCTGGAGCAGATAAAAATCGCCGCTGCACTGGAGAGGAGAGGACTGAGAGGAGGAGGATTAACGAGAGAGAAGACACTTGTTTTTGAGAGCTTTTGGAGTTTATAGTTTCCCCCGGATGATTTGGTTCCACCTGCATGGGAAAACCTTTATGTTTAAAGTTCGGTTTTCTCTTGCTCTTGACAGAGCTTTGGTTGTGTGGGTGAGTTAAGTTCACCAGTGGACTTTGGGTAAGGCCTCCGGGCAAGCTCCTTTTGTTTCTGGCTTCCCTTTTGGAACCAGAGAGTTTTAGCTCTCAGAACAATATTGTTTTGCTCTTTAAGTTACTTTAAGCCCTCAGCGCTTTTTTCCCCAGCATAAATTAAACTCCCCCCTTTTAACTCTCCGTTTATAACCAGGTTTTCTCCCTTAGGGACGCTTTATGTTAATAAAAATGACTTAATTGGCTGTGACTTGGTGTCAGATCTTTTATTTTCATCCTCACATTTTTTGTGTTAGACCTCCCCGGATCCTAGACCAGGTTGAGGTCGTAACAGTACTGACTCCTTGTTTCTAATTAATATTAGCATTGTTAGCTCAACGTTAGCTTCTAGCCTTCTTTACCCCAAGTAAAACATAAATGATGCCGTGGCTTCTTGGGGTACAAGAACAATGCTGCTGCTCATTGGCCTTTTAAAAGGAGAAAACTTGACAACCCCCCAGCTTGCTGGGAAGGAAATATTTTTCCATGTAACGTTCACTCCTGCATGCATGTTTTGTGATTATCTTTGTAGAATTCTTACTTATTGCACCTTCAAACTGATGCATGTGGAGATATCAAGAGATTCAGTAGTGAATGAAAAACTATGAAAGGTTGAAGTGCATATCATATTACCTCAAGTTTTAAGTTAAACAAGCATCGTGTGTGTGTGTGTGTGTGTGTGTGTGTGTGTGTGTGTGTGTGTGTGTGTGTGTGTGTGTGTGTGTGTGTGTTTCCGTAATCTGACTCAATGTGGTACCAGTGGCAGCTGCTGCTCTGTCTTCATGAGGTCTTCATAGATCTCTCCTCCTGCATATTCTTGGTCTAGCCCGTATACCGCTGCATACAAGTCATCCTCGTCTTCAGGAATATTCTCGCTTCACACGCACGCACACACACACACAAACACACAGAGAGAGAGATTAATGACCAGATCCATTGTTGGTTTAAATGCTGCAACATAATTTAGTCGCAACAGTAAAACAAAAAAGACTTTTAGGTGTATTTTTATAAAATTAATTTTTGTCTTTGTCTTTGTCTTTATTATGAACATGTGTACATATACATAGTAATACACACAACATAAGTAACTTCTCCTTCTGGTTTTTTATTATTTTTTACACATGTTCAAAAGGGAGTAGGAAGAAGCATCAGCTTATTTAATCCCACCCCTTTCTCGAAATCAAATAACTAATTATTTAATGTTGTCTGGGAGTTTTTTTGCAAATTACTTTGCAACATATTCACACAAATGGCACATGGTTTATCAAGCTTGTATCATAAATACAAACATTTTGTGTTTAGGCACACACTTTTGGACCTTCTTCCTTGTATTTGGTAAACATCATGAGTTGAAGCCTTTTTTTAAACAGCATCATGTTTAGACATTGCTTCAATTCATCCCTCATTCTGTTCCACAGTTTCACACCGCACACAGACACACTGAAAGTTTTTTATGTTGTTCGAACTCCAGCATGTTTGAATTTTAACTCCCCTCTTAACTGATACCACCCCTCCCTTTTATGAAACAGTTTTAATATGTTGTCTGGAAGTAGTTATTGTTTACTTTATACATTAGCTGTGCTGTTTTAAACTGAACTATCTCTGGAAATTTTAAGATTTGTGATTTTAAAAATAATGAGTTTGTATGATCTCTGTAACCAGTGTTAAGAATGATCCTTAGAGCCCGTTGTTGTAACACAGATAATGATGATAATGCACATTTATAGGTGTTTCCCCAAACCTCTGTACAGTAACTTAAATATGTGGAAATAAGTGAAAAGTATAGAATGTGGAGTAACCTTTGGTCCAGAATGTGTTTGACTTTGTTTAATATTGAGATGCTTCTTGAGATTTTATTGCTTATATATTTAATGTGAGCTTTCCAGCTGATTATATTGTCTATTATTACACCAAGAAATCTGATCTCCTTCACTATTTCTATTCTCACACCATCAATTTGGATTTGTTCTTGTAAATTTAGGCTGCTGTTCCCAAACAACATGATTTTAGTTTTATTCAAGTTTAGTGATAATTTATTCCATTCAAACCATTTTTTTTTGTAGTTCTGAGTTGAGCATATGTAGGAGTTCCTTGAAATTATCCCCAGAACAGAAAATATTTGTATCATCTGCAAATAAAATTAACCTTAATGATTGTGACACCTTGCAGATGTCATTAATATAAAGAATGAACAGTTTTGGACCAAGAACTGACCCCTGGGGAACACCACAAACAATGTCCAAGCATGAGGAGTTGATTCCATCCAACTTCACAAACTGCTTCCTGTCGATCAAATAATTCCTGATCCAGTCCAGTGCCACCCCCTAATTCCATAGCGTTCCAGTTTATTTAGTAGGTAAAAATGTAACATTTTTATATGGATTTATTAAATGATTTTAATAAATCTTCCATATATGCAGCAAATAATTATGTAAGACACTGATTACTAGTAAAAAAAAAATAATAATAACAATGCAAACTCGTGTGTGTATATCACATTATTTTTCATCTATATCAATCTTGGTGTAAGCCCCACTGGCCCAACACCTGATGTGGGTGTTGTGTGCGCTCAGCAAAAAAACATAATTACTCATGAGTTTCCTCTGACACTAAAAAAGAAACTCAGCCAAAGCTTTTTACTAAAACATGTGGGTGGTAAGACCCCTGGAGATTTTGGATGACGAGAAAACGGTTTATTTCTGATTTAAATGATCACACATACTCAATCAAGTCAGCCAAATTGTTGTAAATGTCCTCGTCCTTCAAGCTCTGGTCAGTTGGAAATGGCCTGGAAGTAAGAGCAAAGAAAGAAAGAAAAAGAAAGAGGAGATATATTTTAAAAATAATCTCAATATAGAAAAAAACTGATGTGATTTTAGTTGGAGGAAAAAATGTTCGTAAAACTCTGTAAATCCACATTGTTTTAACATTACAAAAGTTGCATCATCATTGACAGCTCGTCTATAGTGGGTGCTGGGGCACCACCCTCCCTGACTTGATGGCAGAAAAACTATCTTAAAAGTAAATAAAACTACAAGGTATTTTCACATATTTACTATGAATGTGTCAGAGTTGCTTCATTGTGAGTGCCGACAAGCAATTTGAATTATTTACTCATCACTTTCACCAGCTGTCTGTTATTAAACAGTGAATTTCCTCCACCAGACTATAGTTTGACTCCTGGGACCCTGAAAAAAACGTCCCTGAACTGCAGCTAAACAGCCAATCATTTTGTTTGCTAGGGAGAGCTGAAGAATTTGGGGCCAATCAGAATCCATGAATTGAATGTCTCTGGGGCGCTATCGGCCAGTGCCCCTGATATAGATACAACTATGCTAGAAGGTGCTGGATCTCATTTTCACTTTCTTTGTCACTTCTTCATTTGCACACACTGATGGTTGGTTTAATGTGACGCTGTAAATTGTGTTCATTTGTTCTCATTTTCTGGGATTATATTGTTTAAAAAGACAATATGTAGTTTTTGCCATTAATTTCTGGAAATATCCATCAAAATGCTATTGAAAATGAATTACATGATGCCCAGTTGTTGAAAATTATTGGCGGTTTCGTAACATATAACCATAAAAATCAGGTCTAAAATACACGGGAGCAGGTCTAAGTCTCTGGGCGACGCCATATTAGATGCCATGTTTCCTTCTACGGGAGCCAATGAGGACAAATGCATTTACTGATTTGTAACAAATGGTTACAAAACATTTGTCATTCTTAAACTTTGTTGTTTTACACATTTACCTCTTCACTTGTTGCCAGTGATGAAAGGGAGTCTGATGTGCTTGTTATTTTGTTAAAGTATGCACTCCCCAGGGCTTTTTGGCCCTAATGGGTATCCGTTGGTAAGGTCTTACTCCAACACAAAAATACTGCTTGCTTGCAACGATTTAGGTATCTACTGCCCCCTATTGCCAGGAAACATGCACACTGTAACTTTAAAACAGCATCTAATTCTTTTTGTATGTTGTGTTACTGCCACCTACTGGCTAAACTGAATATTTTTGCTTTGAGCCGTGCAGCTTTGAGCAGATGATTGAGACACACAGGAGTGTTGATTGCAGTTTCTCTTAAAGGCTCACACAGGTTTGTGTATTTATTTTAGTATTAAAATCTACTTTATCTATAAAATTTGAAATTCTGTAACACTGTTTATTTGGAGGAGGGAAATTGTTGTTTGTTTTGGAATTGGAGAAGTTTTTCAACTGTCCATTATGATATTTATTATGGACTTAGAAAAAATATATATTTCACATAGAATTTTTTTCACCCACCGCCGTTGCTCTTCATGCGGTCTTGATGGTTTACTTACCTAAAATCTGTCCGTGCATCTACTTGTGGATAACTTCAATAATCAAATCATTAATTCATATATACATTCATATGTTTAGCTTGTGTCCATTTCCATCAGCGGGAGGGAAGCAGTGGACAACCTTGTCTCTTTTCCACAGCGACACACAGAGAAAACAAGACACGCAACTAGTAGCACCTGGGTAGGGGCGCCATAAAGCGGTGAAAGATTAGGAAGATTCTAAGGGCCCACAGCTGTCAGGGGCCCAAAAAAAGTTTCAAAGTTGAGTAAAAAAAATTTAGTTTAAAAATCACAAGTACTTTACTTTGCAGTATTTTTCTCATTTAAGACATTAAACAAACAATCTTTTAGTCTTTATGAAATGTATATTTATTCAGAGGTCCCTACTTTATTTTGACTAATTAATTTGAACACCCCCCACCACCACCACCACCCACCCACCCACCCACCCCTCCAACAGGAGAAAATGGCACAGTCCACCTGGCCGAGGGGCATTTCGCAGGCGAAGCCAGCTCACGCAGCAGTCAGACAGCAGAGTGCGCCATGGCTGCAGTAAAACTATGTTTGCAAAAACAGTCTGGGTCGAAGAAAGAAAGGAGAAAGGATAGGCAGAAGAGGGCGTCAGTATGTCACACAGTTTTTCCTCAAAGAAAGGTGGGTTTGGTTGAGTGGTTAAATTCAACCTGTTTGCTAGCTCTGAAATCCACAGTAAGAGGAACTATGTTTCATCTAATTATGGTAAATGGGATGTCGTCCTTGTCCCTACCAGAATCAGCAGCTGATGATATGTCAGCAGGTGTCCCCTCACAACCCAATGAACCTCAAGAAGGTGAGCAATGTAGCATGTTAGCTAGCAGCCTCATTTAAGGGGGTCTGTGGGAATCACTTAAGGCTCTCTTCTCTATCAGTACTATTACAAAGGAATATAAAAAGGCTATTTTGGGTGATAAACACATTGATATTTATAATTATCCTTGGTTGAAAAACAATCAGTAAAAATGTATAGATTGTTTTGGATGCTGGGCAGGTTGAAGCATTGTTATTCATTCTGTTAATGTAACATAAATTACTGTGAGATTATTACTATGAAGCACCTTTTTGAAGGCACCATACAAGAAAAAACAAACCTCTTCATCTACTAAATACCTTGAAATCAAATGTTTCAAATCTGACTGAATTATGGGAGGTTTTACAAGATGTAATTTGTTTATGTAGCTTTTAGAACACAAACCAAAAATCAATACAGAGAGCAAAACTGACACAAAAGCTATTAAAAATTGTAATAAATAAACTTAATATAACATTGAACACAATAAAATATGAAATCTAGTATTGATGATGGAGAACTACAGCTAATATCCTGCAGGAGTCTGTGCTGCATTTTCCCTGTTGTGCATTAATTTTAAAGACTGTTGTAACTTGGATAAAGATTTTGTCACAAATGATAGCCTATATTGTAACACATATCAATTTCATTATGTACAGAGCCTGGACCTTCCCCATGTCAGGTTTGGTCAGGACAAAGTATATACGTATTCATGCAAAGTTGTCCAACTTTAAAATTTTATGTAACCCTACCTGACTCCAGTTTGAACTGTGTGCTTATTCATTTTGTGTCTCTGATGAAGCCATGGAGACTTAATAAAGAAGTCACCTTATGAGCAGTGAATCCTTAATTTTTGTCAGTCATACAGAAATACTTGATTTCAAGAGGAAAGACAGCTGAAAATGTAGTTATGTAAAGCTTTGACACAACATGGAAATTTAATTAGATATCCAAATTTGAATTTTATCATCAAATAAAATTTTAGAATAAATAAACACATTTTAAAGGAGTAAAGGGGAAAAGGGGATTAACATCTTTCAGCATGTGCATTTCCTGCTTTTTCCAGCAGTGATATTGCTAATTCTGTTGAAGGAAATTCACTGTTTAATGAGAGACAGCTGGTGAAAATAATATGTAAATAAGTTAGAATGCATGTAGACCTACATAATTAAGCAAAACTGAAACACTAATATAAAGTATATATATTATATTTTTTTCTCCCTTCGAATCTGGGAGGGTGGAACCCGAGCTCCAGCTATGGACGAGCCCCCAGGGGGCCCAACTTGATATTTTTTCATGGGGCCCAAAACCTCTGGCAGCCCCCCTGCACCTGGGGTACAATCCCTAGTTGACCTGAATTTGCATATTTTTGGCTTGTAGGAGGAAGCTAGTACTCAAAAAACCCAAGAATATCTGGGGAGCAAATGCTATCTCTGTGCAGAAAGGCCAGGAATTGTACCTGTGACCTTTATTCCTTCCTTTGAGGAAACAGAGCTACCGACTGTGCCGTCATACAGCCTGAAATCGAATCATTTAAGGTGGAAACTTCTATTCTGGGTATTTTTGTAATTTCAGGTAAACAAAAAAATAATAATAAAGCAAAGGAAACATTTAGTTAGGCTGGAAACTTGTTTCTATATTGTGGTTGACCCTGTGGCTGAGGTGTGACAGTAGGAGGAGGATATGAAGTGGAAAAGTAGAAGGGCTTGAAGGGTCTTTTATCAAGAAATATATAAATATAATTCATGAAACAACTTACTTGAATCCTCCTTGTTGAGCAGCTGCTGTGTAAGAGAGCTTGGAGAGCGTATCCATAACCTACAGTGAAACCAAGATTTTGTTTGTTAGAATGATTCAAAGACACGTCAAAAGAAGGTTAGGGTTCTCTTAAATGTAAAAACATGCTCAGAATTGTAAATGTAATTTAAAACCTAAGGAAATGTGTATTCCAATCTATTGTCGGACCATCTTAAACTGAGAAGAGTTTGAGTTAAAGAGCTTTCTGGAGTTTTCTACTTTCAGAAATGTTGTATGGTTTATCAGAAATTAAATGTTCAATTATTTTATTTATTTTGAACAACAAAGCCAAAGCAATGCAACACACACACACACACACACATATACAGTATATATCATTGGAATCACAAGAATCCTAGCTTTTGAGTGTTGCAAAAAAGATGCAGATCTGACGTGGAAGATTTTAATGTCCCACCCACAAGACTAATTTAGAGGCATAAAAAAATCATTGCTCAAATGATCACCAAAGCGCTTGGCTAATCACAGATGGTCAAGTAATTCATCCAACTGCCCAACCTTGTTTTGTACACACACAATGATACTGCAGCAATGATGGTGCAGCACTGTTTATTTACTGTTTATATGTCTGTTTTGTCCTCCCAAACAGGAAATCAACATAGGTCAGTGACTCAAGAACTCCCTGCTCTCCCGTTTTGCAGACATGTTTTGAGCAGTTAAAAAATGAAAACTTGTTAAACTCATGAAATACATGGCTTCAGGTTTTTAGTGTGCCACTCCAAGATAATCAGTGGCTCCCATCTGGAAGCCAAGTTCAAAACTTCCTGGAGCTGTAAACATTTTTGTGTCTGTCTCAGTGTGACGGTAGGGATTCTGCTTCTATAGGGGATGGTTAACCCCATTTCTCTGATGAAGCACTAAAGAAACCCTTGTAGTAAATGTTCTGTTCAGAACGTTCGGATCTGAACACACAGTTTAATAATAAAAAAAAACAGTTAATGTTAATGGGGTAAGAAATACCCCTGTGTGTACTTTATCTCCTCTTCCAGTGTGAGTGAGTGCTGTGGCTTTAGCACACACAGGTGTGCCTATACGAGTCTTTTTTAGGGTGCAAGACTTCCTTTAAAGCTGTCACACAGTTGCACTACAGCAAGTTATTAAAAGTAACTGGATACTTTTTTTTCCTCAAAACTTAAGTAGTACTTCATCATTTTACCCATGCACTCTCAGCATGCGCTGTAACACCATGTAGTGTTTTATCACAGCTGGAAAGGTAAAACAGACTTGGCTCTAAGTTGCTGAAATTTTTAATTTCTTCTCTGAGAGAAATTTGCCACGGATCATTTGATCTTTGATTTTATTTGGGAATGACAAGAATTTTTTTAGAAAAGGACAAAGAAGCGATCTTTTATATAACACCTCTGAAGATAAAAATCACGAGGCACTTCACAAAAACAGAAAAATAAAACATACAAACTTATTAAATCATTTCATAAAAAATGGGAAAAGTTAAAATTGTGATTTAAAAATGTAAGGAAAGAAAAAAATGAATGGGAAAAATGTATTCAGTGGATCCTGGGAAAGACAGAATTAGTAGAAAGAGCAGAATGAAAAGAAGGTAGTGATGAAAAATCAACCATTTTTAAATATGAAGTTAAAATCTCATTGGTCGTCACTCACTGGTAAAAGTTTTCCCGGGATTAAGCCCATTACCTGGGGGAGCAGTGAGCTACAGACACAGTCGTACTGAAGAACTATTTGGTGGTTTAACCCCCCAATCAAACCCTGTAATGCTAAGTGATAAGCGGGGAAGCATTGGGTCCCATTTGGGAGGAGGGGCCATCTAGGGCCGTGGGTAAACGGTTATTTTTAAAACGATTATTCTGACGATAATTTTAACGAATAGTCGACTATTCTAATGACTATTGAGACGATTAATCTAATTATTATTTTTCTATTGCACAATAAATAAAAAACAGAAAATCTCAAATTCCTCAAAAAAATTGATAAATTGTTACTGTAAGAGAATAAACCCAGGCCTTCCATTTTGTATAACACTGCTTTTATTTTGTTGCGGTTGGTTATGTTCTGGTGACGTGTAGAACTTGGGAGAGCAGGCTGCTGCCTGAGAGGTGGTTGGAGACGGAGTGTCTCCATGCTGCTTTGTTTTGGTCACTTATGTGCATGAGGCGAGTGGTGTTACGACCCTTCCTGGGGAGTTTGGCTCGTGTGCAAAAAGGAAGGGACAATAACATGGGATTTAAAAGTCAAAATGATGATCAGGTTTATTTGTTTGTTTGTTTATTTTTATTTCAAATATTAACAATTAAAAAATAAAGTAAATAACATCATTTGTAACAATCAACATTGTTTGAAATGGAGGTAGGTTGAATTATGCACTTTTAAGGCCCTACCCCTTTACACATTTAATATTTCAAAAGAGAAAAAAAATCCTATTTAAACTAAGAGTATCAATTCATTCATTTTAACAAATTCACCTTTTTTTTTCAAAAAATAAAGATCATGGAAAGGAAAAAAGAAATACAACAAAGTCACTGTTGCAACAGTGCAGTCCAACAAAATAAGGCTCTCATCTATATACAGCATCAATAATTTATAAACTTTTCTTGGTTTTTACTGCTCTTCATTTCTATATGAATTAAAAATTTGTTCTCTGAATTTTCTTTTAAATTGGCTTATGTTCTTACTTTGCTTTATGGCATCTGTTAGGCCATTCCATATTTTAATACCTGCCACTGAGATACATCAGCTTTTTAATGTTGTTCTGAAAGCATGTGTTTTAAAATTCAAATGGCCTTTTAGGTTGTACCCTCCATCCTTTACATGAAACAGTTTCATTATTTTTAGGGGAAGTTGGTTGTTTTTTTGCCTTATACAGTATTTGTGCTGTTTTAAATTGAACCAGATCTGGAAATTTCAGTAGTCCGGTCTTTGTAAATAGTTGATTAGTATATTCTTTGTATCCTGCTTGATTTATTAATCTAATAGCCCGTTTTTGCAATAAATTAATTGTTTGTAAGTTACTCTTGTATGTATTTCCCCACACTTCCATACAGTAACACAGATAGGGTAAGAGTAGTGTACAATATAATGTATGAAGAGCTTTACAATTGAGAATATGTTTTATTTTTGCTAGGATGGCAAGACTCCGAGCCAACTTCCCCCTAACATATTCAATTTGTGGTTTCCAGCAGATTTTATGGTCCACGATTACCCCAAGAAATTTAAATTCAATAACCCTTTCAATTTTAATCCTATCAATAGTTATATTTACTACAATATTTTTATGTGTTTTCAAAATAACATGAATTTTGTTTTATCTAGATTTAAAGATCATTTATTTGTATGAAACCATTTTTATACCATGTATTTCTTTTGTGATTACCCCAAGAATCTGCTGCAAATCCACTCCAGTACAAAGAATGTTTGTGTCGTCTGCAAATAAAACAAATTTGAATAGCATTGATACTTTATGTATATCATTTATGTACATAATAAACATTTTTGGTCCTAGGATGGATCCTTGGGGTACCCCACAATTGATATTCATGAGTCTAGATTTATTTTGATCTATCTGTACTAACTGTTGCCTATTAGTTAAGTAGCTTTTAATCCAATCCAATAATACTATACCTCTGAACCCATACCTCTCCAGCTTTTCTAATAAAATATCATGGTTGACAGTTGTGGCATGAACGGACGAGCTCGAACAATGGAGCTATGAAGCTAACAAGCACATACTGCAAGAACAGAGATACATCAGAGACAAACTAGAAGATATCGAAGCAAGAGCAAGGAGGAACAATTTGAGGGTGAATGGAATTAAAGAAAGTAAGGAATGAACAAGGAGAAGAATCGCTCAAGAAAAATAAGGCGAACATAAAGGTAAAAAAATAATAAAAATGTTGGTTAACAAGAGACACTAAAGGATTAGAGCAGTGTTGCCAACTCCCCCTGATAGAAAGTAGCTGAAGTTGACCCAGAAAGTCACCCAGATGTCGCCAGATGATGTAAAATGCTAATTTACATATTTATGACGTCATCACGCCAGATTGGCTTTCATTTTCCCCACAGAGCTCCGGGAGTTGACGTCACTTCTCCCGGCATGCAACAGTTCAAATCAAAACAATGCCATATTGGAAGGCAGAAGCCTGCAGCTGGACTAACTCAATCAAATGGGAAAAATGGTAGATTCCTATTGTGCCCCAGGATGCAGAACAGATGCGGACGACATAAGGAATGAGCCATCTACAGGATTCCCCAAGATCCGGAGCGCCGCAAACGTTGGATCATTGTAATAAAATGCACTAGTGACCGGGCTAAAATGAAACTGTGGGATCCCGAGAGTAAAGGTTTTCGCTTATGCAGTGACCACTTCATATCAGGTACTGTGTATGATATTTATTTTAAATGCAGTTATTACGATTCTTAGTGGGCTTCCTAAACTTATTTTGGCGTGGCTTTTTCTGTCTTATTACTCATAGCAACAAGGAAACGTCACGTAAAATGTTGCCTCGTGATTTCTGCGTGCTGCTGTTTACGTGTCTTATGATCACAGCAACTAACCGGTTAAGCTGTATTTAATTTTTAAGCAGTGGTTGATCAATTGTCAGATCACACATAAAAAGCACTTTGGATTGCTATTATCTGTCTCACCGAGACAGCTCTCAGACAGATCCTGAGACGCTCCTGCCTGACATATTTATTTTATTCACGGAAAAAAATCAAACTAGTGATTTCTCTTGGTGTTCATTTTATACATTCAAACAGCATAGCACTCTATGTAAACTACTTACATGTAAATCTATGTTATTTGTCCATCCATCCATTTTCATCCGCTTATCCGGAGTCGGGTTGCGGGGGCAGTAGCCTAAGTCGAGATGCACAGACTTCCCTCTCCCCAGCCACTTGGGCCAGCTCCTCCGGGGGAATCCCAAGGCGTTCCCTGGCCAGGTCCGGTAAGAAGTCCGCTCCGACAGCTTCTGGTGTTTTTAAAAAGTATCCCAGGGGCACGGTAAGGGTCGGAGATGTTTAGTCTATTTAATTTCTGACTATATAAAACGATTTCTTCGATTTTAAAGTGTGAAGTAAACTCAGATGAAGTAAAATCCAAGCCGATCGCGTTCATTTTGTTTACCTTTTTTCCTGCCAACATGGCGTCTACTCTGAGAGTCACGTGACATCCGGAGCTCTACAGCATCTAATATGTATATATATATATATATATATATATATATATATATATATATATATATATATATATATATATATATATGTTTTCCTCTGCCGTGTGCTCGTTGGCCACTTGTGCACATCCTTGTGCACTCACAAACACAGTTTGCTCCCTCTCAGTGTATAAATGACCTCTCGCCATGTATATTTTCACTATAGAGGTTCTAACTTCCACGCGCGAGTCCCGTTCACACGCGTGATGTGGACCCGTGCATGCATTTTGGCACCCATCTGACGCCATACTATTTGCCTCCCCCTACAGCTCAAGAGAAGAAAGAAGATCAGAACTCTTTTCTTCTATTTAAATAATAACAAATACCTGTGTTAGTCCAAATAATCATGTAAAACTCATTGTTAAATCAATCTGTGAAATGAGAATATTAATTACTTGATACTATAATCCTATGATAGTATTTTAATAAGTAATATAACTTTTAAACTACACACTAGACTAATCACATGTAATGTTAATCACATGACACATTCCTTTGTCTCTCCAATCAGAGCTTTCCTTTCTGACGCGTGGCATGATCTGTGCGGTGTTTATATTTGTGTCCAATTTTGATTCGTCCATAAATCAAAACATCTGAATTATAAAACTAACTCCCACGTCACCCTTAACTCAGTTCAAACGTTAGAGAGTTGCGAGCCAGCCACTCGTAACTTTTTAACCACAAAGAATCTAACGACAAGCTGAAAAATAAACCTGTTGCAAGCTCCAACTGATGCAACGCTCCTTCAGAGTAAAAGCCGAACTCAATGACTCTTCATTGGTCCCGCTGATGCTGTCAACCAACTGCCGCTTACCTGGGGCATTCCAAGACTAGTCTGTCGTACTGTACGCTGTTTCACCGGCTGCGGTACCAAAAGGGGGGGTTGAGAACCTGGCATTCTGGATCTACACGGAGGTCTCCACAAGGGTATGTAGCTCGGCAAGATAGCGTCTGAATGTGGTTTTTGAAACTCCGACTGTAGTTTAGAGCAAAACATCCGCTCCCACACAGAACTAAGGCTTCTCCGGAAACAAGAGTTCTGATAACATTCCACATTTACACCATCTATCTTGCCTCATTCACAACCTAGATCCATTCATCACACAGTGTTAAGAGTAAAGGTAGAGTTAGCCTTGTTTTAAATTGTTTAGAAATAAATCTTAAACTTTAAAACTTGTCTCTCTCTCTCTTTGACTCTGGGTTATTACGAAATGTTACCTAATCCATCAATGAAAAGTTCCGATCTTCTGGTTAAAGATAGTATTCAAAGATACATCAAATTGATTTTGTATTTTCTATGGAATCTCACCTTTGATGGTTTCCTACGTAAGATGTAACTATTGATGCACTACACCAACAATACAATTCAACAAATGGAATAAACAAATATCAAGATTCCTTTGGAAAAGCAAAAACCCAAGAATTAGAAAATCTACCCTGCAACTAGCAAAAGAACAAGGAGGGAGGGCTGTGCCAAACATAAATTGGTACTGCCAGGCAGCGCAAATTGGACCACTCATAGATTGGTGTGACCCACAAAACTTAAACCACTGGAAAACAATAGAGACAGAAGGAAAATAAATACCAATCCAAACATTACTGGGGGAAAATACCAAAAATGAATATTGGACAAAAAATATAGAAAAATTGGACGCAACAAAGTTTAGCTTGGAAACCTGGTGGAAGATAAGCAAGAAACTAAAAATAGACAGAGAAATAAGATTACTAAGATGGATAGGTTGGGACTCGGACTTTGAACTGGGAAAGATGGACCATAGATTCAAAAAATGGAACGAGACAAGAATGACAGCAATAGGAACAATTCAGAAAAAAGGGGTGCTAAACAGCTTTAAAAAATTTGAAGTGGAAAATAAGGATATGTTTAGATATCTACAACTAAGAGACTACTATACCAACCGAATTCAAAATAAAATTCAAGGGAATAATCAAATAATAACAATGATGATTCAAACATACAAAACCAGCACCCAAAAGATAACTATCCTTAATATATAAAACATTAATAACTATAGAAAACCAATCAATGCGATATTTCAAAGAAAAATGGGCAAAGGAAATTCAGGAAGAAATACTGGAAGGGGAATGGGATGAGATGTGGGAAACACAAAATAGGACAACACAATCACAAAAATGGAGGGAATTTGCCTGGCAGAACCAAATAAGATACTTTATCACACCTAAAATTACAAGTAAACAAATACAGAAACAAATGAGCTGTTGGAGGAATTGTGGAAATATAAACCCCAACCATACCTATATATTCTGGGATTGCAAGAGAATAAAACCTTTTTGGAACCAAATATACAAGAACACCAAAATAATATATTGTATTCCACAGACATTTAAATTAATGTACCTAGGATCCATACAGGAAGAAATAGCAAAGGGAGATCAATACCTAATGAGGATACTTATGATAGCAGCCAAGAAGGCAATCACCAGGAAATGGCTCAGATCGGAGACCCCAACAATAGAAGAATGGAGGACAATAGTTGAAGATATACAGGAAATGGAGACACTGACCTACAGACTAAGACTGAAAGAGGAACAAATGCAAAAACAATGAGCTAAATGGAGACGTAATAAGCATATGGTTATGGGAAAATAAATGTCAAGGAGAAACCTGCAGATGAGCTGACCTTTATTTTATTTTATTTTGTTTTATTATTTATATATATTTTTTGCATTATAAGTACTCAAAAGGAAAAGTTGAATAATGAATGATAGGTAAGAGTAAGAAAGTCAAGAAGATAGAAATAGAAAGACAGAGGGTTTGACAGGGGAAGGAATAGAAACGTGTGAACAAATAAGAGAATGAGAAGAAAAGAAGAAAAAGACAAAGAGTGAAATGAATAAAGGTGGAAGAATACAAATGAAGGAAGACCACTAGAAAACCACCAAGGGAAAATGAAAAGAACTCATTATGAAGACGAAAAAACTCAGGAAGAACTTAACACTAAAAATATTATGAATGCTGAGTATGATGGGGAATGCGTTTCTAATGTAAAAGTGTATAAATAAAAGTTTCCAAAAAAAATAATTCCCTCTCGATTTCAGAAGTTTTAATTGGGACAGTTTCAGTACCTTCCAGAATGAGCCATTTAAGGACCCTGTTCTTTGAGGAAAACTAGCTGGAGCTGACCACGCCCACCCATCTTCTGCCCAGAATGCTGTAAGCTGAGAAGCTCCAACATCTGGTAGAGGTAGAGTTGCTGCTACTCCAGCAGCAGCTCTTTCTTGCACATGAGAGGTGGTTCTATTCTAATTTCTCCGTTTGTGACATCACAAACAGAGACTTTTTTAAATGGCTTGGTTTGGCCACATAATTCCTAAAACTAAAATTGCATTGTTTATAGAGGCATTAGAGACTCACATGGCATCACAAAAATATGAAAAAGGTGAGTTTTGCATAATATGTCCTCTTTAAGAAAGAACAATTATGCATCTTGTTCATCAAAGAGTAAAGAAAATGGTTCATTTGCTTTTCATGAAGAGATAACTAAATGCACTCATTCATTCACCTGGTCCCTTCACCTGTCTTTCCTGCAGGCTGCTGTTTGCAGCCACAGTGGAGCTTTTACTAACTCAGCAGTGGGATGTCGGTTAGAAAGCTCTCATTAGATATCCAGCGGACTAATGCTCAGCCTATGAGTTGAAGTTGGCACAACTCAAGCCCAAGTGGATTAAACTGGCTGAGATTTAAGATGCTCCCTTGGGAATGTTTGGTCAAAACCAGGACATGCATTTGTTGCTCTGCTTTACAAGCCTTCTTGGTGACTATCCAACTCAATCGCCAGGTCCAAACTGCAGACACAAACATTCCCATGATGCAGAGCAATCTTTTCCCCTCCAGAACCTTGTAAATTTGATGGATAACCTTTGAACATGGCAGAGATTATGCCACCCAGTTTGAATGTAGTGTACATATTTGCAGGCAGCGTCTCCCTTGTGGGATTACCAGCTGCCAGATTAACTGGAAGCTTCTTTAAAACACAAAAAACTGGACAGAAAGTAAAAATGCACACACGGATTCTCACACAACCCTAACCCAGCTGTTAATTTAACATTTTAATCACCTCTCATATAACAAATTACCTGACATGCTGCAATATGACACTTCATCATTTAGACATGGGATTTAAATTATGCAAATGCCAAGAATGTGCCTAATAAATGTTGCGTTGCATCATGGAACTTAAAGGCAAAGCTAGGAAGAAGGCAGTTCAGAGCAGCCATGCTTTATTCATAGGTGTTTGTCAGGCCCTCATGCTTTGAGCAACAGATTACTGGGGCAGAGCACTGCAGACCCACTGACCTAGTCACACACACACACACACACACACACACACACACACTGAAAACCACCTCCAACAATAACACAACAATAATCTTTTCAAAGGTGCACTATCAAGATTTCCATCAAATGCTCTCTTACACGAGTATGCACGGCTACTAAAAAGAAATGCAACCTCTGCTTATGTCAAAAGGTGCTGCAGAAATATTGAAATCTTTCATTAAATATTCTTAAAGTATATATTTATGTTCAGTTTCATTCAGGAACACAAGATTTAGCTCCGTGTTGTTGGTTCTTATGTGATATATATATATATATATATATATATATATATATATATATATATATATATATATATATATATATATACTGTGTGTGTGTGTGTGTGTGTGTGTGTGTGTGTGTGTGTGTGTGTGTGTGTGTGTGTGACTATATATAATATTTTAAAAAAAAATTATTTTACATCAAAATGCTGCAAAAAAACACAAATCTTTGTCTCACCTTTCCAAAATCTCGAACATCAAAGAGATCAAAAGCATCAAACAAGTCATTTTTCTTCATTCCAAAAACTTCACAGCAGGAATTCAGGAAGGTCCTGATGTTTTTTAAGCACAGGAACTGCAAAAATAACAAAATATGATCATTAGCTCTAATATCAACAGATTTAAAGCAACTCAATCAATCAAAATGTATTTATAAACTGCTTTTCACTCAGAAAATGTAACTCAAAGTGCTTTACAGATTTAAAAGACCCCACATATCCCACAAATGGACACCGACACTGGGCGCCCAGAGGAGGGAGGGCGAGGGCCCACACCTACACCCAAGCACTGCCTGAAGAGCACCCAGGCCACTTCTGCCTCCAGGACCAGGATTGGGCACCCCTTAGAAGAACAAACCAACTGGTTCTAAGTGATCTGCCATTAAAGAGGCAATGTGTAGTTTTTACCATAAATTTCTGGAAATATCCATCAAAATGTTGTTGAAAATGAATGAAATGATGCCCAGTTGTTGAAATTTTTTGGCGACTTTTGTGCCATACAACCATAAAAATGAGGTCTAAAATACATGTGAGCGGGTCTAAGTCTCTGGGTGACGCCATATTAGATGCCATGTATCCTTCTACGGGAGTCCATGAGGACAAAATACATTTACTGGTTTGTAACAAATGGTTACAAAACTTTCATCATTCTTAAACATTGTTGTTTTACACATTTACCTCTTCACTCGTTGTCAGTGATGAAAGGGAGTCTCATGTGCTTGTTATTTTGATAAAGTTAGCACTCCCCAGGGCTTTTTGACCCTAATGAGCATCCATTGGTAAGGTCTTACTCCAACACAAAAATACTGCTTGCTTGCAACGATTTAGGTATCTACTGTCCCCTATCGCCTGAAAAAATACACACTGTCATTTTAAGTAGAGTTTTAATCCTGATTACGGCCCTGAGAAGCTGATGTTGCTTTAATAAAAGGGAAGGTGAGCCACAAATCCTGAAAACTGAAACTGAAAACTTAAAAGTTCTGTTTTGGTGTCACTTCCTTTTAGGATGTGAGTCTTTGGGCCTGAGGTCACATGATGCTCAGAAACACACTTTGGATTTAAGGTGGAGGTTTGGGTTCAGAGTGGCTTGCAAACTCCAAAAAAGTCACTGAACATGTTGGTTGTGTGACGATCTGCAGAGAAAACTGATATCTTACAAGATTCTTGGAAACTTTTTTTTATCTCATCAACTCATCGTGGCAACGCCCGTAATCACCCCCACCGCCCCCCGGGGCTGGTGGTCTGCAGAGGAAGTGCTTGAGCATGGTGGTTTTGCACCACTAAGCACATTCACGTCTGACAAACTCAAATCTTGTGAATTGCATTTTTGAGGAATTGGCTGTAAAATATATTTAGTTTAGCTAAATTCCAGTGTGTTTTGATGAATTTTGTTTCCTTAATTTGCTAAAGGCTCTTTGGTGTGATTGAAATTTTGAAAGAAAAACATCTCAGGATGGACTTTTCCCAAAACGTCAGCTCTAATTCGCCTTGTTTTGATAGCAGCGCGCTGTCTTCCTGTCCTCCGAGTTATTCCCTTTGAACTCCTGCTGCCATTACTAAGATCTGAGCTCAGCGGGGGACAATGAAAATGCCATTTAGAAATCTGGAGCTCACTGACACACATGCCTTCCTCAAACCATGCTCATATGGCCTACAGCTGCAGGCCATGAGACTCAATTGTTCAGTCTGATGCTTTCAGTCTCTAGAAGATAAAAGACAAGTCAGCTCAGCAGACAGCAGATACTGACTGACGGCCGCAATTCGTGTGCTTAAAATCTGGTCCAAATTTTCAATTAACAATAAATTTAGGCAAATTTAAGTGTGGCTACATGTGTAAAAATGGATGTATTATCTGGTGAATCTTGTGGCAAAAACATCAACCTCGACTCAAAAATGTCACCGGTATAAAACGACTCATCAATTTGTGTTTTTTATGTGTAACGTTCAAATGTTTAGCAGTTTCATCCAAAGCAACTTTCAAAGGAGAATGTAAGAAGGCAGTTACCCCTGAGGCTGATAATGAAAGTTTTACTAAATAAGAAGTTTTATCTCCTAGTTGATCTACAGGGTCTAAATGATGAGTCCCTTCATCGTTTGTGGTAATGTCATACTTTCAAAAAGGCACAAAAAAGATGTAATCACCGGTGATGCTGCTTGCGGGTGCTGCTGCACAGGAAGTCTAGCTCTATCAGTCATTACATTTTATTAGTGAGCACTTAGGAAACTTCTGCTGCTCATGCTTTGGTTAGCATTAGTACTTTTTTGTTGTTGTTTTTTCCAGATTAACAAAGGAGAATGGCAAGATATGATGTAAGAAACAAAAACAACTAAAGTCTGCTAAAAATATGTATTTGTCTCCAGGGTTAATCATAAACTGTACAAGTTTCCAACAATAGGGGGTGGATCAAAGTGAGGATTTTATCAGACCTCTCCAGTGGCAGTGAGGAGTTTCTCAGGCAAAGAAATACAGATTCGGTGGTGAAAGCAGTGGCAGATGGTGAAAAAAAATTCTCAGTCCACAATAAGTATTAAAATAAACTACACTTCCAAAACAAACAATAATTTCTCTCCTCCAAATAAGCAGTCTTCCAGAAAGTCAATTTTCAGATTTACAGATATGGTAAAACTAAAATAAATACTGTGTGAGCCTTTAATAGAAACTGCAATCAATAACCCTGTGTGTCTCAATCATCTGCTCAAAGTTGTGCTGCTCAAAGCAAAATATTCAGTTTAGCCAGTAGGTGGCAGTAGGACTGGGCGCGATATACGGCCTAAAAATAAAATCTCCGATTTTATTTTTTTTTTCGATTTTACAATTTTTTTCCAATTCTCTCTCCCTCTCAGTTATTAAGAATAGCAATAAGTACAAATGGAAGACACTTAAAGCCAATTTTGCTTTTTATTTAATCACAAACAAGTCAAATGTAACCCTCATTTCTGAGATGAATAATGAATAAATGAACACCCTCTTGGAAAAAACGTGCCACGCTCCAAACAACGGATGATTTAATTCCTTTCTTAGGAACAAACTTCCCACTCTCAACAGTGGCCATGGAGTCGCTTGTTGTTGCTGTTTTGTGTGCGTGCTGTGACGTTGTTGTAGTGATTATGTGAAACTAACACTAAGGAAGCTTCGGGGGACCAAAAAGGTACTATTTCGTAAAAATTCAATTTACTTTTTTTTTTTATCGCCCGCAACAAAAATTTCTAATTCATTCATTAAATCGATGTATCGCCCAGGCCTAGTAACAGACATACAAAAAATGCTGTTTGAACATTTTAATCCCATAAAATTAGAATAAATAAAAACAATTTACAGCAACAGCTATGATTTTAGCTTTATATTAAACCAACAGTGTGTGTGTGTGTGTGTGTGTGTGTGTGTGTGTGTGTGTGTGTGTGTGTGTGTGTGTGTGTGTGTGTGTGTGTGTGTGTGTGTGTGTGTGTGTGAATGAGAAAGTGAGAGACTGGAAATGAGAACCAGCACCTTATAGCATGCAGCTAGTGGTTTTCTGTATCAGGGGTGCTGGATGACAGAGCCCCAGAGACATAAAACTCATGGATGCTAATTGACCCAAAATTCCCCAGTTCTCCCTAGCAACTAAATATGATTGGCTGTTTGGGTGCAGTTCAGGGGCACTTTTTCCAGTGCCCCAAGAGTGAAACTAAAGTCTGGTGGAGGAAATTCACTGTTTAATGAGAGACGGCTGGTTCAGATTAATTGTCGGCACACACACTTAAGCAAATCTGACACATTTGTAGTAAATATATTTTAGTTTTATTGACTTTTTCAATTTATTCTCTCCCTTCAAGTCAGGGAGGGTGGCACCCCAGTGCCCCCTATAAACAAACTGCCACTGGGTGAAAGATTTGCAACTTTTAATTTAAGAAATTTAAATGATAAAACAACTATATGAAAAGCAATAAAACAGGACTGTTATTAAAAGTATGGTCTTCTCAAAGGTTACTTAGTTTGCCTGCAGAGACTTTTTGACAAAGAACATCAACGTCAATTTCAGAATGTGTCAGAGACTAAATGTCTTCAGTTGACAAGCTTCACAATTTCAAAGCAAAATGAGGGAAAGCAGTTGGATTTGAACCTTTTTAACAGTGAGTTTATTTTGTTGTTTTTGCAGGAAATGTGGCAAAAATAAGCAAAAACACATGGGCATTCCCACAAATAACTTTGTTTGGATAGCTGTCCTGATGTTAATCTTCTACCAAACAGAAGCCTCGAACCTCTGGACTTCAACTCGCTTACTGAGCAAATAAATCCAAGTTGACCCATTTTTACATAAAGCACAATATAGTTCGTATACTTCCTGTTGTGATTTTATAGATCATCCTACCTGGGACATCTGTGGCCTGAGATTGATCTCCTTCAGGTTGATGGTTTGGGGTTTCAGGTTGTTGAGCAGCTGGCACAGCAACACCCCGTCCCGCAGGGTCTGAGCCAGGTCGAACACCTGCGCCGAGTCCGCCGTGACCCGGTGGTTTGCTGGCAGCACGTTGCAGCCGATCAGCCACATCGCGCACTGCCTCCAGTACTCCATATCGGTGCAAACAGCAGGTCAGTAGCAAATATAAATCTCGGAGCTGGTTTTAAATGTGCTCACGGCATGGCAGAGAGGAGCAGCGTGCTGCGCCGCGAGTCCGCGTCTCCAAACTCCAGCATCGCTTCTGAAGGGCGACGGACCTGCTGCGGATTATGAGAGCTACACATGGGGCGGCTGATGTGCAACCCCCCGTGTCTGAGCGAACGTCCCCTTCCTCCTTTGTAACTCTGCAAAGAGCAGCACGTTATAACATCTTAAAGCAGCCTGATAGAAAATGATGCTGAAATTTGAGCTGCAGCCTGCAGGGTCTTGTCTTATTTTGACAAATCAGACAGATGTAAAATTAAGATTACAGTTGTTTCAACAATTTCCACATTTTAACCATTTTGAGAAGATGAAGTCTGTATTGGTTGCCAAAATTTGGCTCAGGGGACAATTTTGGGTCTCCAAACACTAAATTGAGGGTCTGATCTCCAGAAGTGAAATACATTTGAAAATAAATCTAAAACACCGACTGTGTGAAACTCATATATTTAAATTTTGAGGGACTCCTGAAGGAAACCACAATTTTATCACTCTCTTAATTGGAAGGATGGAACTTTTTGGTCATAATAAATTGACTTTCATACTGAAAGATTGGGCTGAGAGAGAGAGAGAGAGAGAGAGAGAGAGAGAGAGAGAGAGAGAGAGAGAGAGAGAGAGAGAGAAAGGAAGGGAAAAGATCAAAATTATGAGGTGCATCAGTTGAACAAACTTTTTACAAATAAATTAAGATTTGCTTTAAATGAGAAAAAAATGGGAAGAAATTGTGATTAAAATTTTGAGGAAAATGAGAGATTACATGAATAAGAAAGAGGGTAAATCAGTGGATCCCGGGAAGGGTGGAACAGGTAGAAAGAGCAGAACAAGAGGATGAAGGCCACATCAAAGCCAGCCTGAACAGTTTAGTTTCATGGGGTCTGGGGGCCACAGCACCTGGTGCGCTGCACAACCGGTAGGATATGGTCACTGGACCTCAGGGACCTGCTGGGGGTGTGGGAATTGAGAAGATCACCAATGTAACATCATGCTTGTCCGTAGAGCCCTAAAAATCAGAACCAGGATGTTAAAATGAACCCTGTTTTACAAATAAATGATCAGTGAAACATTCTAAAAGAACACAATCAAAACAGTGGAATGTATGGAAGTAAATCTTATGACAATAGAGTTAAAAACATCTGTATTAACGACAAATGATGAGTTATGGATGCTGCTGTACAAATAGGATGACTTTGAACAGGAAGAGTCTCTAAGATTTAAACTAAAAAACTGATTAATGTAAGGAAAACAAAAAACAAGAAAGAATTTAGAATGTTTGAATAATCCAAAGGTAAATTTAGATTCTTGACCTAATGAGAAATTGAGAAAGAAATAATCTAATTAAGTGAGATTACTAAATTCTCTTATACATTATTATCCCCCAATGTTGTCGTTTGGACCCACTGGTTATATTTTCACACAGCAAACGTTGGAGGAGAGGTGTTAGCAATGATCTTAGCACCCCATACTCCTTTTCAACCGTTGAGAAAAGCCTCATGTGCTGCAGTGTAATTTTTACCATTCAAAGAATCATCCCACATGGACTGCATAAAGGTGATTAATCTGTTTTTATGTGTGCTGGGAAGCTGCCATCTCTGTTTCGGATGGTGACGGATCAGGGGATCTGACAGATGCAGAGAGAATTCCTCCTGCTGCGGGTAGATCACTGCTGTTAAGCCCCTGATAAACACAGGAAGGAAGCCATATAGGATCCCAGCATGTGGAGCCAGATGTTTCTGTAGACACACATCAGGTTCATTAGCTCCAAGAAACAGGTTGCTCTCTTGCTCATTCAATGCAACTCAGAAATAAAAGTCAAAACATGAACAAATTCTTTCAGTTCCTGTTTGTTGTTTTGAGTTTAATTTCCCTGAAAATAAACAGAATGATAACAAGCAAAAATGGTATAACAGACATAAATAATCGAGCCATTAAGAGACCTGAAGTGTAACAACAGTCGAACATAGTGGTCTTTTCAGTAAATAGCCTCTTACTTATCTAATTACATATCAATTATTGTGCAATTATGACTTAAATCTGCACAAATTTTAAATTAACTATTTTACTTTGACTTTTAATTATTAATTATTATTGTTGTTGTTTTTATTATTATTATTATTATTATTATTATTATTGCTAAAAATCATTCATCTTAAATTGTATACTATTATGCATGTTGTTGAGGCACGTTGACACCACAGATCACATCCACCCAAATACAAGTGTCAAACCTTCTCAAATATATTGAACAGAAAACATACATTAATCATTTCTGACTCAAAAATTTAAAAATAATTCATAATGTTTACAAATAAATTAAAAATGCCCTGCTTATCGTGATGAGTTTATGTTCTCGAAAGATGCCTGCAGTATTTCCGCTAATTATCGATACAATGTGGACACTATAATCAGATTTGGCTTTATTCTGTGTGTAAAATATTTTGTTACAAATTTATAATATATGAAAAAACTAACATTTAATTACAGATACTAATACTAATAGTAATAATAATAATAATAATAATAATAATAATAATAATTATTATTATTATTATTATTATCATTATTATATTATTGCTTCTATGCGTTCGTTTTTCTTTGTTTTTATTTTAAATTTATTTTTTCATGCATGCAGGCATGCAAGCGCAGCGCAGGCACGATACCGGAAATGGAACTACAAAAAAAAAAGAAAAAAAAAGAAAGAAAGCTGGACCGTCAAAACATAAACAGAGCAGACAACCTTGTGTGAACGCAGCTAGCTCGAATTGTTCTCTGACTTTAACAAAAAAAAAATATATTTTTTAAAAGCTTCATGCACGCCTTCCTAATGCAGTCTATTTGCCGTCAACGATATCCTAGTCGAGGCACTTATCTCGTTTGCTAAGTAGAGGTGGAGAAAACAATCTTCAATAAAGATTAGAACTAAGAAGTACGCCTCGTCGGGCCTTCGAGTAGAGGTAACGCTAGCTTTACTGGTTAACAAATAAAATACAGACTTACCCACAAGTGGCTCGTTCGCTCGAACTCAGCTCAGTTGTAGTTTCGATATTTGTTAGCCATGTACGCTAGGTAGCTTTAACTCGATCAAAACATCGTGACGTAGTTGAGCAGAAGCAGCTGTGCAGAGGATAATTTTGGACACCACCGAGAAAGCAGGGCATTAGTCGGGCCTTGGACTCAACTTGAAGTAAAATACTTAGTTTATGACTTTTGACAGAACGTAAATGCGTTAATTTTAGCCCAAGTGCTACTGTAAGGGCTAGATGCTAACAGATAACGTGTGTCTTAGCATCAGTTGTGTCTGCTGTTGATTACACTTTGAGGTGTCATGTCGGCTTGTTTTTGCTCACTTGCGTGTTTGGTCAATAAACTCATCTATTTTTTTTATTTATTTATTTTTGTTTTTCTGTGGCACTATAGTTTCTATCTCGGGACGGAATGGCAGAGACTGACAGCAAATGTAATGTGCCCAATGGTAAAGTGAAAAAACAGGCAGCCTACAAACGATTATAATCATTAAACCAGACATTTTACCAGAATAAATTTTTGTTTATCAGGTGGTTCTGAAGAAAAGGATCCAGAAGATCAACTCAAGGAAGAGGATGCCTCTGGAAGCAAAGAGGGACAATCACAGTCTGTTCCTGAAGACGGTGAGCTCATTTTTGTTGATGCAAACCATTTTTCTTTTAAGTTAACATAATTATTTTGATCTTAGTGATCATTTTCTTTATCATTTGCACATCTTTTAATCTCAGAAAGGACAGTGTTCTCTTAACAGCATGGCCTTTCCTATATCTGTACCTCCCAAAGAAACAGGGGAAGCATCTGGAGACAAACCTACACCAGATGTGGAAGGAGAGACTGGTAATAACCGAGAAGGAGATGAGGATGAAGATACAGACAGCATGGATGGCAGCGGCCTGTTTTCCTTAACTGAGGATGGCGAAAGGGAGAGTGAGGGGGGACGAAGAGAAAGGGCCAAAGTGAAAGAGAGTGAGAAAAGGGCAGCTAGAAAGAGAAACAGACCTGGTGGCGGCACTAACCACTCCTCCAGCTCAGATGATGATGAAGACGACGACGAAGAGGAGCAGAAGGATGACGACGATGATGATGATGACGACGACGATGAGGATGATGAGGCTATGGAGTCCTGGCTTGGAGCAGAGCTCCATGACTTGCGTGGCCCTATATGGCAGGCGGTTCCCTCGCTGCGCTCCAGAGAAATCGGCAGGAACTCCCGTCAGTTTGTCAGGCACGTGTGTGGAGCTCGTGGGCTCGTGCAGAGGCTGGAGCTCCAGGGCCGCTTGGAACGGCACACAGGCTGCGTCAACACGTTGCACTTCAACCCATCTGGCACACGCTTGGCATCAGGCAGCGATGACCTGCGAGTGGTGATTTGGGATTGGGCCATCCGCCGCGCTGAGCTGGAGTTTGACAGCGGACACAAGAGCAACGTCTTTCAGGTTAGGAACTGAGGAACCTTTCCACCGATTAACTATAATCAGAGTAATTTGTGATCATGAAGTTAAGATTAGTTTTCTCATGTCTTTGTTTTTTTCTAGGCAAAGTTTCTGCCACACAGTGGGGACTCCACCTTGGCCATGTGTGCCCGCGATGGTCAGATCAGAGTGGCTGAGCTCTCTGCCATGCAGCGATGCAAGAACACAAAGCGGGTAGGACAGCACAAAGGAGCAGCACACAAGGTGAGCCTGCAAACCCATAACATCATCAGGGGTGGACATTAACTTCAAAACCAACCGGCCAGCCGGGCCGGTAACTCTGAATATTTACCGGCCCTGCCAAGAATCTACCGGCCCCGCTGGTCAGCTGCCAAAATGAGTCAAAATAACAACTGAACCGTTTTAAATGTAATAAACCTTTATTTTGTACACATTCATAAACATAATAACGTATTCAAGTTTGAATTTGTTTGTTCCCTCAACAAAACACGATTTTGGCATCGCATACTTCCGGCATACAACTCAGTACATCACCAACTCCGCTTTGCTGTATTCGAGCCATTGACTGTGTTCGAGATGAGCTAGTTCTGCGCAGATTAGACCAGCGGTGATCGGCGAGCGGTGCATGCCGGTTAGATTTGTGTCGGAATTGACGCCGACTTGCTCTGACGTCATGCATACGTAGGCAACGATAACCTCGTGAGATCAAGGCGGCCGCAGATTTTGGAGCCAAGCCGCTGCAGTTGCTCTCCACCGGCTGCAAAACCTAGGGGATGACGGGAAACACCTGGCTCTCACCTGATCTAAGATCTGATTGGTTCATATTTTGATCCAAACATCCGGTGGTAGAACATGAAATGTTAGTTGGTCACATGTATTCTGTAAATCATGTAACGTTGATGATGACAACAATATAGGCCATAGAGAAATGTGTTTTGTTTTCTTTTGTCACGTTTCCTATGAGCACACTAAACCTACAGCTGCTAACCTTTACTTATTATTACAGTCATGTTTTCATATACAATATATGACATCCACAAGCACGTGAGGATGTGTTTCAGCTGCTAACAGGCACCAGAATTAAAATTGAAAATTGAACAAGTGTGAACGCTAACGCAATATCTTCATCCATAGTCACCCCCGAGCTACACATACAGGGAAGTCCAAGAGATTCAACTGGCAGAAACAACTGTTTCACACCATAGTCTCTCTCCTCTCCTCTCCTCTCCTCTCCTCTCCTCTCCTCTCCTCTCCTCTCCTCTCCTCTCCTCTCCTCACACACACACACACACACACACACACACACACACACACACACACACACACACACACACACACACACACACACACACACACACTCACACACACACACGTAGAGGAAAAGAGCTGAGGAAATTGAGGACACCAGGTAGTTAAAAGAAAAACCACAGCGGAGCCGAGGCGCGCCTCGAATGGGGCGCGTCTGATCTGAACTGAGGAGCGGCCGGACTTCGTGAGCGATTCGCTTCGGGCGCTTCCGCTGCCGGTGTGTCCCCGGCGAAACGCCGGCTTTCAGCCACTCCCCCTGCTGCTTCCGTCTGCTCTCGTCTGTTTTCCAGGCGAGGCGCTGCTCAACTCGAACACGGCCATTCTCTGCGCCTCCCATCTTCTTTAAACCGCCAAGAATCATTTTACCTACGCACACGCGTCTCTGCTTCATACCGTTTCGAACTGTCTCGCTTCTCTTCACCAGTTTTAAAGCGTTTTGCCGGAGATTTCATCAAGAAATCCCATCCCTGTGGTGGTGCGATCTTCCTGCGTGCTTGTGTGTTTCTAGCGTGGTTCCACTTCCGTCTTTAATAGTGAACTTATAGTTCACGTGACTATAACTAATCGTGCAGTACGTGCACGGATCGTACAAGTGCAGTAGGTGGCTAGAGGCGCGCAGGTTCACGCGCGCGAAACGAAAACTGCGGCTTCCTACAGGGCGGGGCCATAGGCGAAAGCCGGTGTGTAAATGACAAATAAAGCTTGGGCGCCACCCGGGCGGTAAGTCGCCAAGTATTTACCGCCCGACGAGAAAATTTAGCGCCATTGGCGCTTGGGCGCTTTAACGGTCCACCCCTGATCATCTACTGGATGCTAGCTTATCGGTGCTAAATTACTTTTTGATGTGTGTGAAAACTGTTTATATTTGGTATTTCACGTAGACTCTGAAAGGTAGTGTAAAAAATAATAAATAAAGTGCTTAAAATACTATAGAAACATAGATCCATACTACTTGAAACATAATAAATTGTAGCTCCTTGAAAGAATTGAGAGATAGCAGTTGTACAGTTGCTCATGCACTTTTGTTTTCCTCTCTAACATCAGCTGGCTCTGGAGCCAGACTCTCCCTGTTTGTTTCTGTCTGCTGGAGAAGACGCCGTGGTACTGGGAATTGACCTGCGTTTAGCTCGTCCCTCCAAGTAAGTCGTTGCATTTTCACCGTTGTGGGTTTGAATGTGGTATATAAAGAAATTCAGACATGATGCATATTAGAGGCCGACCGATCTATTCAATGTTTTGTATATCGGCCGAAATTATTTTTGAAATCCGATTAAAAATAAATAAATCAGGCACCCGGGTGGCCAACTGCCGCCACTACTAGACTGAAGAAAGGACCCGAAGGACCCCAAACACACCGTTTTTTTTATGTTTTAAGTTTGTTTTATATGAAGTTCAATAAATATTAAGAGATTTATTGACTTATTTAATTTAAATTGCACACGGTGAGTGTTAAGTTGTCCTTCACAATCAATGTGCTGCTAGAACGTGTATATATCGGCCTTAATAATCGGCTATCAACAACAAATTTCTTTAAAAATCTGTATCGGCATCTGCCTTATAAAACCATATTGGTCGGCCTCTACTGCATATATGTTCTGTCTTTGTAGACCAATATTCAAACCTATAAAACAAGCTTTACTTAAAAATTACTGTAGCTTTTCCCTGTGTCTCAGAGAGGAAGGAGATAATTTACGGTTGACTTAAAATGACTAACAGAGTTGTAAAAGTTTTGATAGTGACAAAGATAGCCTAGGTGTTCTCAAGTATCCAAGTTCCTTGTTGCCAGTGTGCCGTTATATCGCTCTGTTTTCTTGGATCTTCTGTGTTTTACTCGATTTTAGACTCCATGATGTGTCTAATTATCTTCTTTTTTCCCTTATGTGCACAACAGTAAACTGGTGGTTGTGAAGGAGGGTGATAAAAAGGTGGGGCTATATACCATCTATGTCAACCCAGCTAAAACTCACCAGTTTGCTGTAGGTGGGAGAGATCAGTATGTAAGGTATGAACTCTGCTGTAGTTGAAGTGTTTATTGTGTCATTAATACTGTAAATAGATACACACTAATACAGTAAGATTTGATGAGTTTTATTTCTCACTTTCTGCAGAATCTACGACCAGAGGAAGATTAATGAAAATGAGAACAATGGAGTACTGAAAAAGTTTTGTCCCTCCCATCTGGTGTCCAGCGAGTCAAAAACTAACATAACCTGCCTTGTGTACAGTCACGACGGCACAGGTGAAAGAAGCTAAACACAAAAACACATGTTAAAGCAACACTTCCTGTTTCTCTCTCCTACTGGTTGAAAGCAGAATAACAACTGTTGTAAACAGTGCTGCCGCAGCCTGCCGTGGCTAGTGCTAACAACAAGCTAATGCGAGCAAGAGCCAACTGATAGTAAATAAGCCATGAATTACACAAATATCATTACTTACATGTCTAGTGGCAACAACGCCAGGTCACCATCAGTCCGTGATTTTGTAGGCTCCTTTGTCTCCCTCAAACTAGTGTACGCCGTTTCATCGTTCACTCTGGTTTTAGCGATTTGCTTCACCTCCAAAGACATACTCTCTTACTTTCACTTACAGGATCTGCCATGATGCCAAAACAGAAAAACGGAAAATTCTTCTTGCGCTTTTTATTGATGGTTGGCTAACTGAAAAGGCTAACTGCTAGCCTTTCTATGAGCTACAGGCGCAGTAAACAGTAAATATTTCCCACTAGTGTTCCTCCCTGAAGCACAAAACTGTTAAGTGCACATTCTGGTCAGCAAACAGCTGCAGAGGGCTGTCCAACGTCAAGCTCAAGAATTACTAAAACCGGTTTGAAAACAACAGCTTAAAGGGTTAAAATCTCTTTAGCGTTGCTTCAAAGGGTTACTATGCAGCTTTTTCATGTTTTTAAATCATTTTCTGAGCTAGTATAAAATGACACTTTACGGGGTTAATGTAAGGCCACCCAGCCCCTATCGCCCCCTGTAGCCAGAATATTCCACTTGCAACTTCAGACTGGCAGGCTGCTCTGTTGGACTTAGAAAAAATAGAGCTGACAAACCTGGCACTGCAGTTCACTTCCAGCACATTTTCTGCATGTTTTACATCATGAACACTGCGGATTTGTTTAATTTAGCGATGAATCACACCTCTTGACACTAAGGAAGGCTGGGGAGACATTTCAGCTGTTAGATTAAAGCGTTAAAAAGACAGCAAGGAGCTAAGTTTTGGTTTTGATTCTACTAAATGGATACTAGGGGGTGCTAAAAGCAAGCCAAAACTGTGTAGTTCCCCTTTAAAATACATAGTTGTGGAAGGAATTAATCTTTTTTCACGAGCTAGTTTCAAATTCCATGCTAATGAGTAATATTTGATCAAAATGGATGAAATCCCACCATCTCCAACTCAACCTCTCTAAAACTGAACTACTTGTCATCCCAGCAAAACCATCCATACAGCACAATATCTCAATCCAAAATGACTTCCTATTTCTGGCTCCTTCAAAGGCAGTTTGAAATCTGGGTGTTGTGATTGATGAACACCTGACCTTTAAAGATCATGTTGCCTCTGTTGCTCGTTCATGCCGCTTTGCGCTGTATAACATACGAAAGATCAGACCATACCTAACACAACATGCCACCCAACTCCTGGTGCAATCTACTGTCATCTCCTGCCTCGATTACTGCAATGCCCTTCTAACTGGTCTTCCAGGCTGTACTGTGAGACCTTCAAATGGTCCAGAACGTAGCGGTGCGTCTGGTCTTCAATCAGCCAAAAAGCACACGTCACCCCTCTGCTCATTGAGCTCCACTGGCTATGAAGACGCCAGCACACATCAAATTGAAATTGCTAACACTAGCATACAAAGTCCGAGATGGTACAGCTCCCATCTACCTGAATCCTCTTGCAAAGGCTTACGTCTCGGCCGCTCCGGTCATCACAGGATTGTCGGCTAGCAGTGCCTACACCACGCTCCGGACAATCCAGACTTTTCTCATGCATCGTTCCACAAATGTGGAATGACCTTCCAAGCACTACCAGAACTGCTGCTTCCTTTTCAATTTTCAAGAAACTCCTGAAGACCCTGCTCTTCAGAGAACATCTTCTTAACTAGCACCTTGCCTGCACCCGTCCCCCCTCTCTACTGTCTACTCCTTGTTCCCTACTCTCCATGACTGATGTCAATGTTGTTGTTGTTGTTGTTAGCCTCAAGGGCAACATGCCGATTATCACTTGTAAGTCACTTTGGACAAAAGCGTCTGTTAAATACATAAACATAATTTGCTATGCTAATGAGTAATAATTTCTCATTTTCAGCATATTTTTACACATTCTTCATTGTTTTCTTGATTTAAAATTCCCAAACTCTCCACTGTTATGTTAATGACTCATCCAGTCAGGTTTATTTTATTACTTAAAAGCATTTAATGTGTCCTTCTTTCTGTAGAGCACAGACGGAAGTCGATTTAGGAAAAATAACATGGATTTTGGTTGAGACTATCATAATTATTTAACAGCTGTTCAATTCAAATTCAAAGATACTTTATTAATCCCAGAGGGAAATTAGAGTTTCAGTACACACAATTCAGAGATCAGACATACATGGGCAAGACACATGACAAGAATTGGTGACTGTGGTCATTCGCAACCCTGAGTCGCGCTACCTTAATAGAGATAAGAGGGTTTACATGAGGAACTGATTCGGGTGGAGGGAAAAAAAAGCTACACTCCCACCAGGAGGGCAGCTTTGCTCTGCAAGATCAGCCATGTACGGCGCTCAGCCACTGTAGCCACAGGCGGGAGGGAGTTCTCGGGAGAAGCGCAGAGCACATTGACTCCTGCAGGTTGATGACCTCGCCAGGCTGAAGTCCACCAATCCGTAGGCGGGGGGGGGGGGTCTTTAAACTGATCATTCCAGTCCTTCAGTGAAGCCAATTTAGGTTTTTAAAACTTGTCCATACCATCCGGTGACCCTCTCCGAGATGACATCCCTTTTGCACACTAATACCGGTATTGCAGCTAGAACATTGTCCAGCTTACGATTCACCTCAAGTAGCGTCCCAGTCTGTGAGTTCACCACACGGACGGTGCTTTCCTTGGGTGTGGGTTGCCCTCCAATCGCTCCCGTCTTCCCAAATTTCCAGAAAACCAGATATCCTCCCACTCCAATCAGGAGAAATCCAGTGATCATCAAGCCTAATATCCACATGTCTTCGACGTCCTCATTGGACAGCTGGGAGAGGCATACGATCTTCCACTCCCTCCAGGGATCCAGCATATACCCCGCCGGGTGTGTCCACTGCGGGCATGTGGGAGCCCCCTGCTCCGTTCTCATTGTTGAAAAAATCTTATCAATCGCGTTGAATGACCAATTCCTCAAATCCATGGTTAAAAATAGGGTTTTTCAGAAGAAATGCAGAGAAGCGCTCTGTGGGCAGGCAGGACAAAAAGCCTTGGGGAAAAAAGATAAGGGAGCAAAAAGAGAAGCATCTGTACTCTGCGAGTGCCAGGAAGCATGCAAGTCCTTAAACCTGTTTCCCTCCATTTGTCGTTGCAGAGCTCCTGTCCAGTTACAACGATGAAGACATCTACCTGTTCGATGCAAACCACAGCGATGGGGCCGACTACAGCAGGAGATATAAGGGACATCGAAATAATGCCACTGGTATTTCAGTTCATCAGTCTTTAGTTTTATGTGAACCCATTGCTGGAGCTTTAACACAATTCTGCATCAAATCTGTGGCACAGTGAAGGGTGTGAACTTCTACGGGCCACGCAGCGAGTTTGTAGTGAGCGGCAGTGACTGTGGTCACATCTATCTGTGGGACAAGGACTCTGCTCGCATCGTCCAGTTCATGGAGGGAGACAAAGGAGGAGTGGTGAGCTGGGGGGGGGAGTGCAGCATGTTCATATATTAGCTGGATTCAGTTACTGTGTTTGAAAAACACACTCATGTGTTTATAAGTCTGAAAGTTTTATGGGTATGAAGAGGAAGACTTGAGTTTGGGTCGTGGTTTAAATGACTTGCTACATTTGATATTAGATTTTACAGATTAGATTAGATTTTTATAAACAACCATGATCTTTTGGGCTTATCCAGGTGAATTGTCTAGAGCCACATCCCCACCTGCCAGGAATGGCCACCAGTGGGTTGGACCATGATATCAAACTGTGGGCCCCCACAGCTGAGAGCCCCACGGTACTCAAAGGCCTAAAAGAGGTATTCATTTTTGATCTGATATATTAATTTCCTCCTATGGAGTGTGTTCTTTGTCTTAATGGGTTTTCAGGCTGACGTTTATAGTAACACACCGTATATTCACATAAAAACTTCCCTAATATCATCTTGATGAGTGTCATTACTCCTTAGCTTGTTACGTGCTGACTGGTGTTCAAATGCATTATAAATGCATTAGTTTTTATTTACTCTGCAACAATCAATGTTTATTTTGTTAATGAAGGTGATGAAGAAAAACAAGAGGCAGCGAGATGAGGACAGCATGCGCCACGGTGACCAGTATGACACCCAGCTGCTGTGGTTCCTGATGAGACACATGAGAAACCGAAGACCTGCGAGGGTAAGCTAACAGCTAACGGTGTGTGTAAAAGTCATCGACATATATACTGGACAATTCATTTCCATAGGCTCCAATATCACATTTTTGAGGCCAAATGGGAGGTGGCCGCCACCGCCATTTTGACCGTATCACAGGTTCCGTCAAGCCCAGACAATTCCACAAAAGGGAAGAGAGGTGGAGCTGAGGGTGGGGCTGTAAGGCTGGGATCAACTGACGACACCCGGTCGAACTAGCTACAAGCTAACCCAAAGCTAATGCAGAGGTGGGAGCTAAGCTCATAGAGGTAGCAACCTAGCTACAACCAGAGTTAACTGTGCACAACACCAGAGCTTCTGAGTCAGAGATACGCCGGGCTGACCGCTGGGTAAAACCGGGTGGAACACAGAGGTCTCCGAGACCTCCACAAGCCGGCAGCCGCACAGCAGACAAGCGCCGCTGCGATCTGAGATGCGCAGAGCTGCCGCTGGGGAGAACCGGGTGGAAAGGTTTCCATCCCAGAGCTCCACAAGCCGGCAGCCCACGCAGCAGACAGAAGCCGCCATCAGACAGAGATGCGCCGAGCTGCGGGGAGGGGAGAACCGGGTGCAAAACATCGGTCTCCCGAGAGCTCCACAAGCCGATAGTCGGAACCCAGCTCCACCAACATGTTATATTTCAACCCATTTTCTAAAGTGCAGCATTATGTTAAATGCACTGGGTTTTACCCTATTACATTTAAATTTCATGGTTAAACAGTACATGTTAAAATCTAAGCTCAGCTCGGCAGTGACCTAAAATACATAAATATAATTTTACTTACCGAAAAAAATCAAGTGGAGACTCCTTGGACGCTCTATTAGTGCAATTAATGCCACAGCGAGTCATTTTGTCCAACAATTGCACAAAAAATATCCAAAAAAGAATACACAAACACAGAGACTCAAAATCCCGGAGCAGTTTCCAAGCCAGACCGAGGCTCTACTGAGGCCTTTCCCCGGAGCTAGCTCTGCGGTCACGTGGGTCTGATGCTCATTAATTATACAGAATTTTAGGCTTTTAATACACTTAAACAGAAGAGTGAGAAAAAAATTCACCCCCCCTCAGAGTTGTCATGAGTGTAAACTAGATAATTTAAACCAAAAACATGTTCTGGTACCAGGCTGTAAACATGTTTATTTCTGCTGTGAAATTGGTATTTTTAACATGGGAGTCCATGAGGTTTTGCTCGCTTCTGACACCAGCCCCCAGTGGATGAGGGTGGAACTGCAATTTTTGGTACTTCTGGGTTTGACTCAATTTTTGAGCCGCATTGTGGGGGCTTGGTAAAAGTATATACATTTAGCCACAACCTTCACTGGACCAATATGGATCACCTATAGAGATTTTCAGCCATTTTTAACCGTGCTTGAGTCTAAAAATCATAAATAATTACCTGAATAGGCTTTGTTGTGAAATAGCATTCAGATCCTACAGAACTAACGAGCTAACAGCTCCTGGCTTTCTCAGCATTTCATGGGATTTTTTTTTATAAACCCTTATACCGCAACTACCCAAAGATCTCTACGTAAATAACTGTTAAAGGTGTGGTTCTAATTCTTATTTCTGATTATTATCGGTCACTCTGAGTTTGTCATGCAGGCTGAACATGAAAAACAGTCTTCTACACCGATCTCCTGCATTAGTTTCTGATGGAAAATCTAGGATGAGAAAATCCTGACAGATCTACGTCACACTGTCACTTAGCATTCATGGACTCACCCAACTTGGCTCATGATGAGGTAGTCGTTGTTGTTGGTTTAGCGTCCGGGAAACAGCAGAGTACGGCTAGTAAAGGTAAATCGTTAGCATTAGCAACTCCACCACACAGCAGAACTCCTTCAGGCTTGTGTTTTCTGTGGAGGTAAAACATCAACATTGCAGAGCAGAGTCGGTGGTTGATTCATGTTGCTGTTAGCCAATCAGAGGTGCGATTTTCAAAAAATCAGGAAAATACGATTAAATCCTGTCTGAAGCTCAGCTGTGATGTGGCTCATTTCTAGTTCCTGAAACAAGCACACCAGAGCTTTGTTTTTCCAGAGTATGACTTACAAGGTACTGCAGTTGAATTAAATGAGTGAACCAAACCTTTAATGTGAAACCGACAGAGCTGTTAAGGTTTTTAAAATAATATTGCTTGAACGGCTGAGAAGTTTAGGAGATTAGAGCTGTTGGGTCTTTGCTACGTTTGGATTTGGTTGCAGCTGTTTCTGAGAACAGAGGCTGCTCGTCAGGCTAGCCAAGGGTAAGATAATAACTATCTACTTAAAAATACACTTCAAAAGAGCAGAAAGGTTCTTCTAAATGCAGTAAATTTACATTTAATTAGCATTTGCTCTGGGAGAAATGAGGAACTAGCATTTGAGCTCATGTTTCATTATTGTCTAAAATGTGAAATCAGAGGAACATGGATATGTTTTTGATTTGTTATTAGTTATTTTTAGTCAACAGATTGCCCTCAGCAAACATGTTTGCTTGAGATTTTAAAACCTTTCTAAGCAGCTTGTTGGACAGATGGTGAAAATCTGACTCATCTCTTCTGTCTTGGTCCAGGCTCGTCGTGAAGGAGCAGACACGGACACGGAGGAGTCCTGGAGCTCTCCTGATTCCTCCGATGAGGAGGAAGGAGGTCCAGACCATGTCCAGTGCATGTCATCTTGAGCCACACACGAACGCACACACACACATACCCACCGATTTATACACACTTTATTGCCCTTCGGTCGATGCCCACAAGCAAGCATTATTGACACACTCGAACTTGGACGAGCTGCTGACTCTTACACACAAACCCGGATTTTCATTGACTTTAAACAACTGTTGAAGGGTGGAGATGCTTGATGTCTGTTGAAACTGCAACACACTTCCAGATGTTTTTGCAGCAGCTGTGCACAGAGGTTTAAGTGAGTGCTTAACCATTTGAACGCCCGTTGGTGCAAACTTTGTTGACGTGCTCTGCATAGACTCAGACAGAAGTATTGTGTGTACGGTAACGAGTACCTCCAACTTTAGGCCATCTGTAGTGAACTTTTAACCACCAGCAGACCATCCCTTCTACCACAGCTCTTGCACTTGAGGGGCTCAGCTGAGAGTGGCTGCAGGCTTATGCCCTCAGAACTAAATTAACTGTGTGGAAACGTCTAGTGCTCACCTCTGGCTTTCCCCATTTTTTTTTTTTTGAGCTGCTTGAGACACTAGTTCATTACCAAGTTCACTTTGAATCAGGGATGCTTTACTGTGTTTCATGACAGGGGGAGAGCTTGTTATCAGGAAATCCACCGTAAAACCTTGTTTTGTTTTACAATGGGGGATATTTTGCACTGGAGTGTTATTTTTTTATTTGACTAAGGAGAGGTGGTTTTGTTTGCTTCCACCAGTCTTCGCTCTGTCCTCCCTCCACTCAGAAAATGAACCAGGAAAACTTCTGTTTGCTTCGTTAACATGACATTTGAGAGAAGTATTCAGCCTGTTTGTATGCAGCTCTGTTGGGAGCTCACAGTTGTGACACTGGCCATGAGCCAAGCAAGAACAGAGTTTTCTGCGGTTATTATTTGATTCAATTGTGTTTTCTTGCCACGAGTCTGGAAATGTGGACAAAATCCTGCAGGCGGTGGCTTCATATTAAAGTTGTATAAGTCAGCGCAGAAAACTCTTGGCGCCAAAACAAAGTAAAAAGGAGCAACGTTTTTCAGAGAAGTGCTCAGGCTCATCCTCAGCACCTAGAGCAGAGCGTGCTGCGTTAAGGCTGGCTGAACGACGGGGAAGAGAGTGGAGGGGTCAAAGTGCTCGCCAGTCATTAGTTGTGTGAGTGCGATGAAGTTCAGCTCCTCTCATTTTCTATGAGAACTGTAGTTGGTTGAATTCATATGTACATATATAAATATATATTAGAATTGTTAAGACTTTAGCAAATAATGTTTGAAAAAAGTCAAAACCCTTCATTGGCATCGAAGCAGAGACTTATATTCTATACTGTAAAAGGACAAAATACTTTTAAAATTCAGAGATCTGATGTGTCCATTTTCTGTTCGGGTTTCCTTCCCTTAACATCCCTCTTCAATGAACAAAACAGCTGTTTCAGGTTTTGGTTCTACTTCCTGTTCTAGTTGTTGATCCATAACTTGGAACAGTTTGATCCAGATGTTTTCCACTGGCTACTTTTAGCACCTTGCATATTAAATGAGGCTTTTGATTACCAGTTTGTTTCCCCATCACTACCCAATGTTGCATTTTACCGATTCAGTTGGAAATGTGTACAGTTTGTGCAATAAATAAAGACAATGCTCTCCACTTTGTTGCTGTTATTGGGGCAATGGTGGCTCAGAGGTTAGTTTGCCCTGTGGGTTGCAGATTTGAACCCAGGCCACCGCAGTCGTGTCCTCTGGCAAGTCGCTTCACCTTCCTCCCCTGTTGGTGGTGGATGGAGGGGCCGGTGTTGTCCCAGGGCAGCTGTGGCTCCATCGTAGCTCATCAGTGTGAAAGTACAAAGGATTCTCTGTAATGTAAAGAGCTTTGGCGTTCTCTGACTCCGAATGGCGTTACGCAAGTGCAGGTCATTTGGTTCAACAGAAAACTTTATGCTAAAACTGTCGTGTTAAACTTAGAGGTTTTCAGCAAATTGTGTTACTTTAATAGTTTAAATGTAGATGAAAGTCCCCAAAATAGTTTTGAATCCAACTGTGGCAGAGCCCTGTACCCAGAAGGTTAGAGTCCTCTTGCCTGCTGGTGGTGGTCAGAGGGACTGGTGGTACTTGTGTACCTAAGGGCAGCTGCTACAATGTAGCCACATTGTAGCTCATCACCACTCGTGTTGTAAAGCGCCTTCGGGGGTTGTAAAACCCTAGAAGGTGCTATATGAATACATTTAAACTTCAGCTTTTCCTGCCTGTTGCCCTTTAGGAGTTTGGAAGAAGAGGGAAAAAATGTTCTACAGGTTTTGGGTTGTGAAGTATTTCTGTTGTAACAATGGCCCGTTTTTAGAAATGAACTTATTGGATTTTTTTTCTTCATATTTTCAGATCTCAAATACACGTACTTGACAATATCTTGGCCTTATGTCAAAGTTGCATGACCTTGATTTGATCTAAATGGGAGCCAGTTTATGGCTCCTGGCTGTATGTCAGATGCAATGATATCAGTTTAACTTGCCATGATCTCAAAATCATTTCTGAGAAAAATTTTATTCGCTGAATTCTAGTGAGATCTCAAATCATCATCTCATCCAAATCTAACACACACAAGCCTGACTGAACTGGTGCACGCTGCAGTTAAGGCAGAATGGTGTCCAGAAGAAAAGCAAATCTATGAAAACATTTACAGAACACATCTGCAACTGTAACCATCTCATTTTAAAACCAAACTCTTGTCACCACTCAAACTTCACAAGAAAAACTGCAGCTGAAACCAGAAGGCAACGTTGCATAAGCTCATCTTTAAAGAGTCATTTGTTAAATACAAAAAGTAAATGTGGGGAATTGAGCTGCTTAAAGCTAAAATGTATCCAAAACAAAAAGTTGTTGTCCATCACGTGTAACGTTGCACCTCCTGCGTAAAGAAGATGCACAACACAAAAGCCAGGGGGCGGAGTCTTATTCCTTGTATTGTAAAAACTGCTGCAATCTTTTCCGGTGCTCTGCAGACATCTCCACAGCACTAAGGAGTTAAAAACAAAACAGTATTACTGTCATTGTTAACTTTCCAGACTAAACCCCACATTTAAATGCATTGGCAGCCTTACTTTAAGTGATCTCCAAAGGTGGTTGTAATCCTGTAAATGGCGGTCTTGAGCGTGGCCCTCAGAGCAAAGCGAAGCGTTTTGTAGGTTGAGTCTTCCATGCTGCTGGTCGACCTGACGGGCTTACTGGACGCATGAGGCAGCTTGAAGTGTCGGTCCACGGCCTTAAAATGAAAATGATGCAACCGATGTCACCGAGCATCTGGAAGCATGTGACCTGGCTGCTGTTCAACATCTTAAATATTATCGCTTACATTTTCTAGACAGGTCTGGTTATGAACATGAACCATAAAACTCACACAATCCCATTAAAACGACTGGTGTGTAATTCCAGAACACAAACTAAACTTGCCTCTTGTAAGAGCAGCATGGAGCTGAGAATACTGGGTAGTGTAGTCTGAACAACCCCAAACTGGTCCTCTGTGAAGGAGGCTTGAACTAGGTACGACAGCCCTAAACATAAAAAATTATAAACATTGAATCATCATATCGGATTTGAATGAAAATGGTTACAATCTCGTCTCACCTTCCAAAGCCCAGATGTGAGCCTGGCTGTCGGCGAACAGAGCCTGACTGGAGGCTTCTGGGAGCTGAGGGACACAACATTAGCTAGTGAAACTAGCCCTGACTAATATGGCTTTTATGGCCGATTAGGTCAACGTAACAGGCAATAAATGTGCTATGAGACTTATAATAGTTTTGAAATTTTGAGATAAAAAACTTTCTCCATTACTGCTCATGTTGCAAAACAAGTCTGATTTCTGGAGTTTACATGGAGATAAACAAGTTAGCCATCTCAATCTGAACCTGACCACAGCGTAACTGGAGAAGACATCAGTGAAGCGACGACCAGACATCTACACCCAGATGGAGATCGAAGAGTTCAAAAGGTGAGAGTGAAACAAGTCCAAACAGATCTTTTGTGCAACAATTCTGCTTCGCTTTTGTTGCATTTAAAACTATTCAACTAATGTGAAGACTTGAGAACGGCGTTGAACCTCCACTCTGCTGGGATTAATGAGATTTTTCTCACCAATTCAGAATGAATGTGGTCTTTGTTTTGTTTTAAATAACTGGAATATGCATGTGTGTTAAAACCACATATTCTGGCAATATTAGAGCATTAAAGACTTTAAATCAGGGTTTCTTTTTTTTTCCTAATTAAAGAAGCATCCTTATGGCTTTGCTACACAGATCTGTAATCACAGAAAACCTCAAGAAGAAAGTTTACTACATGATGATAAATATCAAAGTCTAAAAGTTTTGATATGATCAGAAAAAAGGTTTGTGGACATTTGATGAGCTAAACTAAAACAGACACAAAGCACACGCTACATAGCTACCCAACTCATGCAGGTTAATGTTAGTGAGGCTCATGAAAATAAAAACTAGGTACATTAGCCATGTGCATGACCAGAATCAGAAGCAGCAGCTAAACTAGCGACAACAGAAACTCAGCATGCAGGAGACCCTCGGTGTTCATGCTCACTTCTTACCTTGTTAAACAAATACATTATCAGCACCCGCTTTGCCAAGAAGTGTTTAACCTGAATGAGACAGTTTCAACACATTAATAATGATGAGCGTAAACAAATCATATTTATCATGCTAAAGGTTGAACACCATAGTGACATCTAGTGTGCGGAGGTTGTAAAAGCAACAATGGAATGAGGTTGCTAGCAGTCGTGGTACCGGGTTTGCTGCAGATGCATGATGTTCCGATCCTCGTCTGTGGTCACAAGTTTTGGGTAGTGACCGAAAGAACAAGATTGTGGATACAAGCAGCTGAAATGAGTTTTCTCTGCAGGGTGTGTGGGCTATTCTTTAGAGATAGGGTGAGAAGTTTGGTCGTCAGGGAGGGGCTCCGAGTAGATCAGCTGCTCTTCCGCATTAAGAGGGCCAGTTGAGGTGGCTCGGGCATCTGGTTAGGATGCCTCCTGGACGTCTACCTGGTGAGGTTTCCCGTGCATGTCCAACCAGGAGAAGACCTAAAGGAAGACCCAGGACACGCTGGAGGGACTATGTCTCTTAGCTAGCTAGGGAACACCTTAGGATTCCTCTGGAGGAGCTGGTCCAAGTGGCTAGGGAGAGGGAAGTCTGGGCCTCCCTGTTTAGGCGGCTGCCTCCGCGACCCGACCCAGAATATGCGGCCAAAAATGGATGATGGATGGATAAAATATAACTTTAAAAGCAAATACTGTACCTTCCTTCTGCACACCTCTAAACGACCCATGGACGCATTATTTTTAAAATAGCTTTTTATCCATAATCAAACTTTAATTTGAACTGTAACCAAGTTCCTGTTGGAGATTTATAACCAACTACCTACATTTCAACACTAGAGTTTTTTATTTAATGGTGGTGAAGCACCTGTTCTTTTCTGTTCTGGAGAAACTGGGCCAAAAAACTTGGTTTGGAGATTTCCTGCTTCGGACCGGGAACAGTGGCTGGGGAAGGTGGGGGGCTGCCATTGACCTGTAAATCTGAAGAGACAGAAGCTAAAAACTTTTGAATTAATGCTACATTTGAAAATTACCACTGAAAAATACCAAGCTAGGTTCTAAACCTACGAAGAACCAAACAAACGAGGTGAACTTTTATCTTTTAGAGTGACTCGATGGTTACGAACCTGTGGAGGTGGACCAAAGCTTTGGGGCTCTCCTCATAATGTGTGGGCTCTGCACAGTCCCGTGCCATGGCGAGCACTGCTCCACAGGAGCGATGAGGCGTCGCAGAGCGGGGGATGCAAAAGGACTGTCCAGGTCTGGAGTGAATGGTATCGTCAGAGGGCTCTGAGAACTTCCTCCAACAGACCGGGCAAAAGCTATATTTGGAGTTTTCATTAGGAACACGGGCCTTGGACTCATCGGATCTTCTGTACCTGAAATATAATTATTGCAAAAGCTAGTAACAGAATCAAACACACATTAGTCAGAAAGTCTTGATCCAAATCAAACCAGTACTTGATGGCTCAGAAGTTATCCTTTCACTTCCACTTGACAGTGATTTAGCTCTGCCGTTGGTCGCCACGGTTTCATGATAGGCTGCGAGCCTCTGGGTCAGCGCAGCCAGCAGAGACAAACACTCTCCACTTATGGCATTCCAGTTATGAGGGTGTCCACCTGGAAGAGTAAGAATGAGAAATACATAACAGAGAGTAAACAAACAACCACCCAATGAGCTCTTCTGTGTAAAGATCACCTGGCTGACTGAGGCTGAAGACTTCACTGCGTCGAGAAGGAGAGTGTTGAGACAACAGAGCCAAGTCCTGCAGAGCTAGAAACTAACATTTGGGAAACACAGCAGTGATCAAATCTGTTATTAAATAGAAACACGTGAATTAAAGGAGTTTTTCATACCTTTAATATCATTGGCTGCTTGTCAGTGAGCACTTTGGGGAGACTCTGGTGGGAATCCTCAGTGAAAGTCGACTGCACAGGAAAAGTGTACACCTGCACAGAAAACACTTTTGGTCTCTTTTCATTCAACTTCTTAAGATGATAAAAACATTTTGGCATTACCCTCTTGCCCCCTAGAGTTAAGTGCACTTCTGTTTTTTTTATTTTTTATATGAATTTTAAGACTATTTTCTTATGTTTTATGTCTAACCCTAACTCTAAAGCTACAATGGCAAATTTGGAAAACAGATCAGTGTGAGATGCTCACAGTTCAACAATATCAGAGAAGGAGGAACAGCCGGCTGCTAGGACAAACTACCAGAGTCCCAAAAAGTAAAACACCATTTAAAGTCATGGACAACAAAAAAGACGATTGGACCTAGAAAACAGTGACTGGTGTTTAGCACCATCTCGTTTTCTCTAGCAATGCTGGTTTCCGGTTCCGGTAGAAGCATCTCAAGGACGATACCCGAGGGGAGGGGTGAGTGTTTATGTTAAAAACCTAGCTTGTTCTGTAGATTCTCTATAACTAGGGATGTTTCGATCACCTATTTTTGCTCCTGATCTGATTCCGAGGCATTTGATTTTGAGTATCTGCCGATACAGAGTCACGATCCGATCTGATACTTTTCAGGAAAGCATCAAAATATGGACGCATCCAAGTTGAGCTTTACAATACAATAGACTTGATCTGACAGCGGGGAAATTCACGTACTACAGCAGCACAAACACTTGAAAAGGAAGAAGACAATCACAAGTTTCACTCGTCTTTCTTTAAAGTTTCACTTTCACTTGTTTGGGAAATACACTATTCAAAAGAAACCTGTTTATATTGTGAATACATTTAAAAGTAGCAGGCAGTGTTGCTCTCATTTCAAATAGTTTACTCACTCAGTATGCAGCCGTACTGAACAATGCGTGTTGATGTGACGGAGAAGGCAGTCAAACATTTTCCTACATAACTGTAGCTCCAGCGCTAGAAGTCTAGTCTAGTCTGTAGGCTATTTCTCTTTGTTTATGAGTGTATCTCTCTTTGTCGGCTGACTCCACGTCTTGTCTGACTTCACTGAAATGGGACTGTTCGTGGCAAACTGGGATTTAATGGAGACTGGTGATACGCTTTGCTGATGCCCGAAAGAAAAAGCCGATAGCGAAAGTAGTTTGTTTGAAGGCAGCAAATCATGGAGCTGTGTCCTTTCCAACATGTTGAATGCTCAGCACGCACACATTACAAGTGTTGTAGCTCTGCCTTGTCTACCTGGTTTAAAATACCACCAAGCTGCAAACATTTTAGCTCTCCTGGGGACACACGTTGGCTCTGCGTTAGTCTGCTAGGCTAGTTAACAGCTGCACCTTGGTGTCCGAGTTCCTGCCTGTGGTAAATCGTGTGGCGTTACTGTGTTGTTTTCGTACAAGAAACAAATAATACCAATGTAGAGGAAGTAATTGAAATGCTAATAAAGCCGTTTATATTCTATTTGAAAATCTCTATTTCAGGATGAATTTAAAAATTTATGTTTATTGCTTTAAAAGCTTAAATCAGATTTATTTCTCCCGATCCTTTATCGGGCCCAATTTCCTTTTTTTTTTCCTTTTTTTTTGTGTGCCCTGTCTGGCTGTGAAGCAAGCAGAATTGATGTCTGAATGCTGGTGACAAGCCTTACAGATTTACTCTCAGGTGGAGCATCAAAGCGTCTGCTTTTAATGTCAAGCCTGATACTTAAAACTTTGTTATTGTTTTAGAATGCTTTGTAATTCCGACCAGACACGGAGTCAGAGGTGAAAGAGAAAGGAAAAGACAAAAGATACCACAAAAATAAACCATAATGAACAAGAGTCTGCTTCTAGACCTGCAGAAAGAGAAAATAAAAGCAACAAAAAAATAAATAAATAAATAAAGGGACACAACAACAATACAACAAGATCAAGCTATCACTGCGTCAACTTGATGAAGAAATATATAATCAACATTGTTTAACTGAACAATCACACGATAAAAAATCACAGTGCATTAAGTGCCCACCATAGCCTTAAGACATGTGTTGAACGTGCCCAAGTCCATACTTATGAGAGCACCATGTGAGCACCTGTGTGTGTACACGCGCTTGTTTATGTAAGGTTTCTCTATAGGAGCGTCCAACAGAGAGTGTGAGGAGCCACAGATCTGCCCCCTAAAGATGTGCAAGAGACAGAGGGAGCTCCAAGTACCAGAAATCCAGGAGTTGCCCCAGAGCACAGAAACCCCAGGGAGACTGTGACCAGAAAAGGCCCCGCCCCCCTCGAGAGGCGCAGAGGATCGCCCCGGGGGCCACAACCAGCAGCCGGCAGAGTCCCGGGAGATATCGGTGGCAAGCCTACAGGCCCGCCCGCAGCCTCCCACCCCCTAGCCGGCTGAGCCCGGGACCCAATGACCCATGACCCAGGGGCGACCACCCCCGCTGGAGACCCAGCAGAGCCCAGGGACCCAGATCCCACCAGGCAGCCACCGGAATTGGTCAGGCAGATACCAAAAATCTGAAAACTCCACGGCCCCTAGAGCCACGACCCAGGCTGACCAAGGCACCGCACTCCACACCAGGTGTGGCAGGGAGAGGGGAGACGAAGATCTATATCACCAAAAGAAGTCCCAGGAGAAGGGAGGAGTCAAAGGCCCCACCTGACATTAGAGCTGAAACAGCTAATCAATTTAATTGATTATAATCGATTATTAAAATAGTTAACAACTTTTTTAGTCATCGATTAGTTGTTTAATAATCACATTTTACCGCATAAAGTCTATTTTTACCACAGTCTGACATCGGTTACAATCTGTTAAATTTGCCGCCAGTGTGTGGCAGTAATGAGCCACTGATCTACCAGTGGAGCCGTAGAAGAAGAAATGAGCCAATAAGTGCCCTCGGTTTTCATGACGTAACACGTTACTGACGCGCATCTTGCTGTGAGAGATGGCGGAACAAGAAGAAATACGGAAGAAAAATAGAAGCGACAAAACTGAAGAGAAACCCCAGACAAAAACCTCAACGAGTATGGGAGCACTTCACTCTAGATGCCATGAAAAGACGGGTGACCTGCAAAATATGCCAAAACCATCTAGCATGGCACAGAAGCACGATGTCCCTAAGTGAACATTTGAGACGAAAACATGTGGGGGCTGATGCAGCAGAGGAAGAGCCAGCCCGGTAAGTAACAGAAAATAAACAAGCTAAATATACTACACGCAGATCAAATTTGGGACTTAGTGTTTTAGCTGAGTTCGTTATAGTGGATGTTAAACATGTTTTTTGCCGCGTCAGTTTACGGTGTTCTACTTCTGATTGACTAGATGCAATCGTGAATCTCCTCCGTGTTGTGTATCATGCGCTTGCCAAATTTAGCACATCTGTTTATAAGAATGTTCTCGTTAAGAGAAAAATGGCACAAACCCATAACTATGTTCCTCATTCAAAAAAGGACAACTCCACAGAGAAAAATATACAGACGAGCTGTGTCCAGGTGAATATAACGCGGCATAGCTGTACGCTTTCAATTTTTAAATACAGGAGAAATTCAGAAAGTCATTTTTTTTACTATTAAAAGGCTGTTTTACTGTGTAATGCTGTAAAACGCCTCACAACGCATTTTTTATCTAAATAAATTATCACTGTATATTGTTAATTAATTCAAATAATATAATATTGATTTAGTGTTGTAGTGTGTGTGCTGCTTTATACTTATGTCAGTCAATTTGTGTTTCTTATGCAGAAAAAAAAAACCAAGCAACGATGGACAACTACACGGGGAACAAGACACTCACCCCCCAGCAATGCATACCACTTACAAACTCTATTCTAGATTCTACATAATTTTTTATGGAATTTACCTCTTATATTTTGATGCCAAAAAATTATTCTGGACTGATAGTTTGCACTGTTTAGCTCATTTTACACCGCTGACTGTGTTTATGTGCAATAAAATCGATTGCAGTCAACTGCACAATTCTCCTATGTTTTTCTTTTTCTTAACTGAAATGTATTCATCACTTGTATAGGTTAAATAGCTAAACAATAACAAACCGATTAATCGAAAAAAATAATCGTCAGATTAATCGATTATGAAAATAATCGTTAGTTGCAGCCCTACCTGACATATGCAGTCATACACAAACACAGTCAAACACTCCCTCCCTCATGCTCTCACATACACATACAACCAAAGACTTACAAAAATGCAAGCCGGACACCCACTCATGCTCCCCATACACACCCTATTCACTCTGGTCCCGGTACTGCTGCACATGGGGTACAACCATTACTGGTTCCAAGAGTTCGACCCTTCCTGCTGGGGTGCTGATGAGCAGGCTCCCCCGCCCAACGCTAAGCACAGCAACCCACCACCCCAGACCCCAACCAGACGGCCAGATCCCCACTCCTAGCCTCCAGTCCCAGGAAGCCAAGCAACAACAGAGGTGTGCTAAGACCCCTAGTCTCCATCCGCCTGCTCCAATGTGGTGTTAACTCTATCAAAAGCCTTTTCTGCATCTAGAGATAATATACTAGTTTCTATGTTTCTACTGTAAGAGAAATCTATCAAATTAAGTAATCCACGTGAGTTTGTGGATGACTGTCTACCCTTAATGAAACCAGTTTGGTCAGGGTGTATTATGAAGGGGGTTACTTTCTCTAATTTTTTTGCCAGGGCTTTACAAATTATTTTGAGATCAACATTAATAAGAGAAATTGGGCGATAGCTGGTAGGAAATGCAGGGCCCAATTTCCAATCACGTCACGTGATCGAATCGGAGCATACCTAGGTATAACAACTTTAATTATTTCAAAATCCCCTCTATCATGGTTTTAAATCTACCATTTAGTTCACTTTTGAAGAGAAAGACACCATGAAAGAACATACCTCAGTGACAAAGATCCTAAAGAGCAGCAGTGTGATGTACCAAGTGAAGAGGAGGAAGGTGGCACTGATCCAGAGATGATAAAGCAGAGAAAGGTCCAGCAGTACAGCTATGCTGTCCAGAGGATGGACAGAGCTGAAAAAACACGACACAAACACAATCAGATTTTAAATTGGTGCAAAGACACAACATAGTTATAGGCATATTTAGACGTGTGCACAGACCCTTCTAACTGTAGGTTCAGAGTTTTGCACACCCATGTTTTTGGAATGTAACCTGTAAATATTAAATTAGAAACCAGTTACTTGTGCAGAAAACAGACAAACTAATATAAAACAAAGAAGTGAATTACCCAAAAAGAAATACACAACAATGTAATTTCTGACAGAGTAAAACGCCTGAGTGGCGCTACACTTCAGCACCAACGGCAGCGACCCTTTGAAACGAAGGTATTTGTGTTGCTGAGGAAACAATAAAACACACACAAAAAATTAGAACTATGCAAAATGATGGCATTTATGCTTTCTAAAATACTGAGCTAATCATTTACTCAGATTCTAGCATACAGATCAGTGTTGATACCATATATAAGTACAATTAAAGCTTATGATTGCCATCACTTGGCTTAATTACATTGCTCACATCACATACCTGAACTATTTGAAAAGAGATATAATTGATGTTGTGGATCACTCCCAGAAGACTATGAGAGAATCCAACAAAGGCTCCCGCCAGCAGAAAGATGAGATGATGCTCATTAAGACACATCTGAGAGTAACTGTTAAAACCACATAGAAGCAAATGAATTATGGATGACACACGTAAAGCTCAACATAAATCTGGACTATTAAGTAATTACCCGTCACTAATTTTGCATGGGCGGCCAAGCATCTTGTATCTGTGACCTATGGTGACGGCACAGCACCAGCCTACGATCACGCCCATGAGGCAGTGGCCTATGGAGTTGATAAACTGGCGAGGATGAAGAAGCTGACTCAATAATGCAATTTTGGAGCAGGCAATTGTTGGAATAACTAAAAAACAAAATACAGAGAACATGTTAAGACAAACAAATTAATAAATAACCATTTTAACAACACCTGCAATGTACCTGTGTAATACTCCAAGATCAGGAAACCAACCATGACGATCACACCTCCCAGCAGAATGAAGGAGAAAATTGAACTGGCACTTATCAGTGACAGGCATTCTGTTGACACACACACGCGCGCGCGCGCACACGCACGCACACACACACACACACACACACACACACACGTTTTACATACAACTTCAAACTGATCCAATTATTTTTTTATTTTAATACAAGACAAACCTGATATTGTCTGGATGGGTTGAAGAAGACTAAACTTGCTGAGCAGCACAAAAACTGCGGTGGTAGGTGGTAACAGGAGGACAGACCAAGCAATGCTGGCTGCCGCTCTCCAGCAAATGACCTGAACAGAAAGACAGCTACTCCACACAGCTGCAGTTTGTTTTAGGAATGGATGCGTTTGCCACAGTAGCGTGCATGAGCTCGTCATTAGTATCCAAATGAATTTCAGAACCAATTCCACCACGTCAATTTGAACACTATTTCATTTACATTAAACTGTGTTAAATACCACGTAACCCTGTCTAAAAGAGAAACCAAATAGTTAGCACGTAGATTCGTAATAAATAAACTGTTTACTTAACAATTACACACTAACAATAATGGTAGCAAACGTTTTCAGACGATCATTAACAAAACCGCTAAACTAAATTCCACCAACTTTAGACTGGTGTGTCGTTAGCAAGTTTATTATTATTGTCTAATTATTATTATTTCACTGTCTTTTTATTTCAAATTGCTTGCTTCTCAAATGTAACTTGTAGTTTTCTTAAACACAAAGCTAATATAACATTAAGTAAATTCCAGTGATTGGTAAATTTCATTCATGTAACAAACGTAAACAAGAAATGAAGTTTTCAAGGAGCTAGCATGTTAGCTCACCCGCAGCATGTTTTTAGCTTCATAAATTGCTTTCAGGAATAAAAAGACTCACCTTACGGATGAACCAACAACTCGTCTCTGTAGAAAACATGTTGCTTAATTAAATAGAAACTCACTAGGTGTTAATAAAAGCTTCAGCTCTCCGGCTGTCTCACTATTTAGCCCTACTTTTTCATATCGCGCCACATGCATTCAAAGGGCCTCCGAAGGACACCGTTAACAGCTGCCCATCCTATTGCCTGTTTCCAATCGTTTCACATAAATATGTTCAAGTCCAGACTTGGTTTTTGAGCTTATATGAAAATTTAATCAGGTAAGAGAAATTAACAAACATTTATTTAAAATCATGTAAAGATAGATATGTTACAATTACAAACACATATTGTACACAGTATTACATTAAACAGACAACATTGAGAAAAAGCAAAGGAGAAAAAAAAGAAGTTCCTGTTTCTAATGACATATACAAAGCAAAACAAATCTAATAAGTATGGAGCTAGGATTAGGACAATATTACATGTAACGTGTAGCAAGTTTTGTAGCATGTTTTGTAACTGTAACTTTTGTTGCATATAATTCACGTTTTGTAATGCGTAACCTCAGTTTTGTAATATGCCAGTCTTATTTTGTCTTATCACATAATTCTTGTTTTGTAAATTCAATTAAGTCTGTCATGTTCAGTGTCCATGCTGATGAAATCCTTTATTGGCTTCATTGTGCATTATGGGATTTCTCATGTTTCCAAATCTTGAACTGTGTTTTTCTGGAACAGCCTTCAGTCATTGTCCTTAGAGGTGGTCTTGGTTTCAAAAGCATTAGGTGGAAGCTTTTGGAATGTGCTGACAGACATGTCAGTCTGAGCTGCTTTGTGAGAAAGTGGTCTCTGGGTGATAACAGGGAGAGTAAGCTGCTCCCTTTGGATCTTCTTGTCTTCCCACAGCTTCAATAGACGGCGTTGGTTATTAGTCATATCCTTGAGATTTTGCTGCAGCGACCGTACTTGGTCTTCTAAAAGTGTCTTGGTGGTGACTGTATTTGACAGCTCTGCTGTCAAGTCATCAACAGTCAAACTAAGTTTTGTAGATTTCTCTACCAGAGAGGTGCACTCACGCTCCTTCTCACGCAGGTCATTGACTACGTCCTTGGTAGTCTTCCCGTTAAAACTGGGGCTGTTCTCTAGCCCAATTTCAGTCCGAAGAGTCTTCACTTGTTTCTTTAGTTCTTTGGTTTCAGCCATCAGGGTCTTCAGCTTTTGTCTTTGAGCCTCAGATGAACGCATCCTTGTCTCATACTGCCTGAGTTTCTCCTTTAGAACACTCTCTCTTTGCAAAGCATCATCTCTTTCCTTTCTGCAATTTTCCAAAAGCTTCAGCATCTCAAATTTGGATAGTTTATCACTTTTACCAGATGAAGCCATCCTACGGAAAGGTGTCAAAAATGAAGGAAAGACTAATATTGCATTCCCTTTGAAAAACAAGATCAGAAACTCCTAGGGTGATGAGAAGTCCACAAGCATCAGCACCTACCTACATGGCTAAGAATGAGTTGGGTGACATTGCTCTGAAAGGATTATCTGTTAGACAACTGGCTCCTGTGTAACCCAAAGCTAAGGCTAGAATAACCATTAATTATGGCGCCACCATCCCTTTGACACCGTGTCAAGTAACCACATTTTTCCCCCTAATTTGTTAATTAATCTAAAAAGTCTGCCCACGCTAATCTGTGTAAATAATAGGCACATGTCTTAACAAGAGTTTCCTCTTTGCAGGATGTGGACCACACGCTGACAGTCTGCGTGCTGTCATGTATTGTTCAACATTTTCCACAGCAGGTGATCTGTTCACCCAAACTGTGAGACTAGATTTTATCAGTTGACTCCGCCACACGACAGGTAAGATGGATAAGTAGGCCAAGAAACAGAGAAATGTTCACTTTGAAAGTCAGACACTCGCTTTTAAATGTTCAGTCTCTACAGGTTAGTTACAATCTCCCTCTAAATATTTAAAATGTCCAACTATCAAACTGGACGCGGACCTCTAACGCTGGCAAGAACTGATGCAAAAGTCTACGTTACCTGCCTGGTGAGAGTTAGGAGTGGACTCAGTGGTCTCATTTAAAAAGCAGCAGATCTGTTCAGGCTGGCTTTTGTTTGACCTTCTGTTGATTTTTCTGACTTCCTATTTCATGCTGCGGTTTCTATTAATTGTGCTTTACTCGGGATCCTGTATCACCATTACTTACTAGTTTTTGTCTTCATATCAAATTTTATTTGACATTTTTCCCATTTTTTTATATTTTTTATCCATTTTTATATGTGTTTTATTCTTTAATTTTTTTTGTTCTTGTGAAGCACCTTGTGACTTATTTTGAAAGGTGCTATGTAATAAATAATTTCTATGAACAGCAAAGAGGGGAGAACATTAAAAAAATTATAAGACAGTGTTACTAGTTGGTAAGTAGATGCATTTTCCCTCCACTTTTTTAAAAAAATGTCTTCATAAAGTGAAATTACTATTGAACATTAACCCCCCCATGTAAATTTCATTAGTTGTTTCATTTTGGCAAAAATAAAAGATCGATCTTTAACTTTTCAATCAGAAATAAAAACAAATTTCCAAAAAAAGATTAAAAAAATAAATAAAAAAAATACTTAAAAATGAGCATTTTTAAATATTGAAAAAAAGAGTGCAAAGAAACTTAATTACATCCAATAAACACTCGCTATGACCATAAATTCAATCCACTTTATTATAAGCTGTTTGCAAAGAAAACAGTTTATTTATAAAGTATTTACAAAATCAGTTGACAAAATTTTCAGGCCAAGCTTTGGCATTAATTGAGGGCACTTAACTATTAAGAAAAATTAATACAACCTCCTTTACCTTTACAGAGTATATGATAAATATTCCTGGAAAATCTCAACACCAATAATTGTTCATACATTAAACTTCATAGACAGTACAGACTCGCCCTATATATTATATATAAAATAAATGCACATATAAAATACCATCTGTACTGTTGAACTCCATGTGCAAACTTGCTTTTTCACAGATTTTACATAAGCATCACAAAGCCTGAGCTAATGTATTCTGTGAAATACTACACCCCAATTAACCTAAAACATGTTTAGAACCCATCCCATTAGAAGTAACAAACCAGCAACCAGTTTTCATTTTCAGAGGTTCTGCTGCTGCACCGAGCTAGACTGTTGGAGTGCAGTTGAAATCCAATCAACCCATGACCTCACCAGCACAGGAACCCGATTCTTTCTAATAAGGCAACAAGGGAACCTGTAATTTGACAAAAAAGAATAAAGATTGGTTTGGGAAAGAGAAATTATGTACAGTAGGGCTGCACGATATTAGAAAAACCTGCAATATGCAATAACTGATTAATATTGCGATGGCGATATTACTTGCGACAGATATTACTTGCGATAAATAAAAACTTAACTCAGGAACAAAAATAATCAAAAACAAAGAAATAAAAAAAATGACCAAAAAAATCATAAAAATGAGAAAAGCAAAAGATGTGAGGAAAGGGAAAAAGAAACTGAACAAGATAAGGTAATCAGCAGATCCCGGGAAAAGCAGAAAAAAGCTAACTCAGGTGTTTGCTAACCATCAAAACTAAGTGCCATCAGCCACGGAGGCGGGCATCTAACCTATGAGAACCCACCCGATTGGCCAAATGGGTGAAGAGCTCTATTTGATTTGTTTAAAAAAAACATCATGCTTCCGTTTGATTGACAGAATGCATTATGTGTAGCAAACAGTTAAGCTGACCATTCATTGCAATATTTATCTGTTCTTTGCGATATGCATATTGTGCATGCTGATATCACAGTGGCGACATATTTGCGATATATTGTGCAGCCCTAATGTACAGGAGGTCCGGTGTCATGTGTTTGACTCTAGTTGATAAAATAAAGGTACATTTAATCTTAGCCAGAAAAATAGACCCAAACCTGCAACTGAGAACAAAATTCTCACGACATTGGTGAAATAAAAACACCAACTTAAGTAAGGCAATGGTGTCCAATCCTGGTTCTCGAGGGCCACCATCTTCCATGTTTTTGAGGGTTCTCTGCTCCAGCACACCTGGTTTTAATCAGTGGATGATTATCAGGCTTCTGCAGAGCTGTAAGACCTGCTGGGCAGGTAATTCAACCATCAACCGTTCTGATGTGATGAAGCAGGGAACAACTAAAACATGCTGGATAGGGGCTATCGGGGCTCAGGATTGGACAACACTGGTGTGAGAAAGAAAAACAGTCTGATGTCAATATATCAGATTTAGTCTTGAGCTTCTTTTTACCTTCAGGTAATTAAAGGCTTCGTTGTCAGCGGCGTTAGTTTGATTGTCATTGCTGCAAGATCATTTATATGTGGTGCTGTCTCGGGAGTGCTGAAGAAGAAGTTCTGAAAACGAACAAAAAAATTACATTAATGAACAAGTTAACTCATTTATTAATACATTTGCAGCCTTTTGAGTCATTGGCCCAATCCCAATACTCGCCCTGCGCTTTTTAGCAAAGTATACTTCGAGAAGGTACACAGTAAGGCTTCGAGTGCGTGGCACACGTGTGTGCAAATAATTAGAGGCTGATGGATATGGTTTTTTTAAGGCCGATGACGACTTTTAAAGAATTTTGTTGCCAATGGCTGATATCTAGAGCCGATTATTAAGGCCGAGATATTGATTATATTATATATATATGCACGTTTTAGCAGCACATTGATTGTGAAAGACAACTGAACACTCACTGTGAGCAATATAAATTAAATAAGTCAATAAATCTTAATCATTATTGAACTTCAAATATAAAACAAACTCAAAACATTAACATCAAATCTAAACTATACATTAAAAATAGTGCAAACATTAAACACCAAACTTAAAGGGATATTCCACTCAGAAGTAACATTTTGTCTGTTAAATTTTCCAGAGTTAGTTAAGCGAGTAAAACAATTTTGTAGCTAAGAAACTCAGTCATTCTCCTGATCTGGAAGTAATAAGTTTTGCTTCAGCTTAGTGTAAAACAATGTAAGTTGTACATTGTTTTATTACCGTTTATTTCAACATAAGGTGACCTGGAGCACAGTGCTGTTGAGTAGGCTGGCTCACAGTGTTTGGGGTCCTTCGGGTCCTTTCTTCAGTCTAGTAGTGGCGGCAGCTGGCCACACAGGTGCCTGGTTGTATTTATTTATTTTTATTTTTTAATTGGCTTTAAAAAATAATTTTGGCAGATGGCCGATATAGAAAAAAATGGAATATACCGGCTGGCCGATATATTGGTCGGCCTCTACAAATAATTGCTGAATTGCAGGGAGCATTGTGTCATCGATCGCAATGCATGCCAGGATGCTGGTCGCTGTGATACTTTAAAAAAAAACTTCATTAAAAACTTTCAAACAATTATTTGAAATAATTTTACATTTGCTAGTATTGAGATTGGAGCAATCTCTGTGGGTAAAATGGCTCCTGTTTCAGGAACTAGAAGTGAGCTAGAGGAGAAGTGAGCAGAGCACGTCAGGATTTGGAGATCTAAATCCTGATGTTTGGACATCTCGCCTCTGATTGGCTAAAAGTAAAACGAGCATTTAGGGACATCCCTTAGTTAATGCAGATAGGAGACCTTACTCATGAACAGGTAAGTCTTTAAAATATAAATATATGAAAAGACAACATAACACAAGCATAATGAAGAAGAAATAAGACTCCAAATCCTGGCATCTGAAACTATGTTCTCTTCCAGCTGACTTCTACATCCTCAAACAGGCACACCTGAGCTTTTATTCTCCAGAGAACAACTTATAATGGCATTCTTTCTTACTACAGACCACTGCAAATGTCTTGAAAATATGAATTAAGTTTACCTTTAAACAAAGATAACACCCAGACTGAGTTAAGTGTGAAGACAATATTCTTTGTTATACAAAAGAATGAAAACACTTTGACAATCTATTCATCGTCATCCTACAGACACGGGGTTACTGTCATTTGTACAGCAATTACATGGATGTAACAAGACATATGATACACCTGCAGACCTGACAGCCTTTTGTCACACCAGTTAGCAAGCATGGTCACAGTTTCCATTAACAAGAGTCTCCCCAAAGAAAACTAACTTGATCCCATCAGCTGCATTGGTTTCCCAGAAACATACAGGGAGAGACATGCAAAAAAAAATCAAGATGGCAGGGTAATGTAGTCTGTGATTGAAACAAACAAGAGGAGTCAGACTTTGCCACGCTGAAATCACTGAGGAAATGAGAACGAGTCAATCATTGTTACCTACACCAATAAGGGCAGGCAGGATAAACTAACCAGATCAGAGGGGAGGAAAAGGTAGAATGTCAAAGCAGGACAATGAGTGTTAGATCTTATTTCCCCATTCGGACTCTTTTCAATATCTTTCAGTCGGTTTAATTACAAGATGTAAAACCAAAGTCGTGAGTGAGAATAATTACCTTACAACCTACAGCCAGCAGCGCGTTCAGCAACAGAATAATGGCGATGACGGCAATCGTGACTCTGGGGTTGTCGTCTCTGACTGCGGGCCAGAAGGTCGTCACCAGAACCGAACCAGAAACACAAAGGGCCACCACCATGAAGCACCACCTCAGCCACTCTACTTGGATAATCCACAGGACCTGTTCCAAACATGTCCACAAGTTATGTCAACTCTTTGTACATGAGAAATCATACATTGACCAATAGAGACCAACATTCACCCGTACATCACACAATGCTTCTCAATAAGAGGTTTCTGAACTGCAATGACATCTTCTGTTGTAGTTCCTTTTACATCAGTGTAGGGCTGCAGCTATCGAATATTTTTGTAATCGAGTACTCTATCGAATCTTTTATCAATTAATCGAGTACTCTAATAAATTACCCTTTTGTGTTTGTATCAAATAGCATTTATAAAATATGAAATACATTTTAAAATGAACAAGCAATTGCCAGTTATTCAAGTTTTATTCAAAATTAGTTTTCAAAACTTCAGCACTTCAACTTTACTTCACAGTAAACAAATGCCTGTGCAAAAAATAAGTATTCACCCTGAGCAGATTTTCCCCTCGTGCGAGAATCAAACAGCGCCAGAACCGCTCACAATGCATGCGCAAACATTGTTTGTCAGCTATTTCCCTATTAACACATGTCCGTTTTAATTTCTACACTATTTTTCACACACAATAACAAGGATTGTCGAGAAAGCATGTTTGCCGTGGTTATGTCAAATTATACTGATCACAAAACATTTATTTCCTTTATTTTGTTTTCCTCTCACAAATACCTGTGTCCTCCTGCATCAATCCCGAGGGACAACAGACATCAATAACAACACAATAAAAAGTCCGACGTGTTGTGTAAAAACTGCTATTTTTAGCACATTTTTAGGTCCGACATGTTGCTACCAGACGCACAGTGTGAGCTAAAACTGAGTGCTACAAATGGAAAAGTCGCACAGTGTCCGCAGAATAGATAGCGGACCTCCGAGTCCGCTTGTAGAAGTGACATTTACATGTGGACGTTTTCTGGTCAGGTGCTGCAGCATCGAGGATGTGATGTTGTGGTAGGCTAAATCCATTTAGCAGTATTTACACTGGACTACGTTTTCCGCCTGGCGACGTGAAAAATGGTCCCACACCTTTGATATTTTTTGCCTTTTTCGCACTCCACCAGGGTCCACCATGGCTTGAGAACAGTGGCAGTTTTACCATTAGGCATAAGTTGGCGGCCGCCTGGGGCCCCCTTGTGTTGGGGGCCCCCTAGCCCTGACCCCCGGCACCCCTCTGTTAATGCCCCAATATTCTTATTACCAACCTGTCGCCGACGACGGGATTAGACATGCGCAATTCTCATTGCCATAATTCCTGAACCATTCAAGAAATCATTAAATTTCCAAAAGTGCTGAAAAGATTAAAAATGGGGCTTTCTGTGCATATACAATACATTACGGTAGCCACCGGTATTCCCTGTCTTGAGTGCAACGAATCACAACACAGATTCAGAGATGTGCTGAGTTTGTCATCCAAAATGCTCCGTTTTATAACTTTTGAAAGGCTGATCAGATTCAAAAAATTCCAACAGTTCCTAAAAGGACATAAAAGCAGCTTTCCAACGATCTATAGCATGAAGCAATCAGAGTTATGGAAAATATCGCTATGAGGGGAAATCCTGCTGTACAGCCTGACTGAAGCGGAACGCAGGGCCACGGTGAAAGCGGATAACGGAATGGGGACGCTAATTAGCATAAAAAGCCGGCATGAAATTATGGAAATGCCTCACAGAAAATCAACACGATATATTAGGTGTCCCAGAAGGCTAATATCTGAATACAGTGACCACGAAAGAAGGACAGATCTCCGTGGAACCAGGGTATGAATGTTTGTTCAGTCTTTATTTTTTATTTGAACAACCCTCAACTATTTGCTAATTGTTAGATTCAGCTTAATTCCAGCATTATTTATCTTTTTACAATAAATAAATATTTTTGCTAAAACAAATGTTTTTGGTATAGCAGTGCACGGTGTGCAAGAGTATCACTCCATGGCAGTGTGAGGTCTGCAGGACTCTGCCTGCAGCTGGAGAGAAACTGCTTCAAGGCCTACCACATCAAATAAAAACATCCGAAAGTTTACAAAAATAAATGGTCTTAAAAACTGCTACAAGACACCAAGGTTCAAACTTTTTTAAGAATAGATGCATTACAGTTCAAAGTTTAAATTGTTTGCCCAGTAATTTTGAAGTCCCTGTTCAGTAAAAATGTAAAAAATTAAAATCAGTTTTTTTGCTTTTTTCACTTTTAAGCTGATTTTTCAAAGGCTTTAATAGAAATAAATTCTAAATACAAACCATACACTGAAAGCTGAGGTTGTTCTGAAAAAAGGAGAAGAGTTACACACACTTTGCACTTTTTATTACAATTTTACAACCATAAGATTAAAGAAAATACCAAGCGGCCCTGTTATAATTATGGTCATAAGAGGGTTATTAAGACGGCGAAGCACAAACAGGAAGTGATTGGTAGTCATTCCACTCCAATCCAGTTGGTGGCGGTAGTGTACCAAATTGTTGTTTGCCAAGTGCCATAAGACCACAAATTAGAAGAAGAAGAGAGGCAGGGGCGTTCGTAACAAACCCAAAGCGATAGTCAAAACATTAAGCATGACATGGAGTTATAGTGGCTCCAATAAGAGAAAGAAGCAGCATGCTTCATAAAAGCTTTTATTTTCACTTCGGAAAGTGACGTCGTTTTTCGATGTAAACATCAAAAGGAAGCAGAAAGGAAAGACAATGGAAAATGTTTAAAGGGAGGAAAGCATAACTAAAATGGAAAATAGACCACAAAAAAAAAACAGCAAAGGCAAAAGCATAGGAGCACTGACAGGAAAAAGAAAGCAGAGCAAAAAATGAAAGCGCTCAAAGGGCGGGAATACAGGAAAAAAGAGGAGGACTTAATAAAAAGGGAAAATAACTCGTGTCAGAAGAGGAGAGAGTTTCGCAAATCCAGTTAAAGGTAAGATTGTCGAAAATTTAGTGTAAGGGGCCCCATGTCTGTGTTCGCCTTGGGTCCCCAAATTGCTAAATCTGCCACTGCAAGAGAAAGTTGTTACATTTGCTACTCGCATGTGGATTCAGTGCAGTGTGCGTCACTTATTTCGGTCCAGGTGAAGCATGACCCCGGGCGATTGCAAAGCCATGAATTAATTAAACATGAATTAAACGAAGCCTCGTGGCGGAGAATTTGACTCGAGGCTTTTTTGCACTCAAATTATTCGAGGTACTCGAGGATCTTTTCAGCCCTACATCAGTGTTTTGATTACATCTTTGCTTCAACAGGTGGCAGAGCTGCACGGCTTAGTGGCGACTAAAACTTTTCAAAATAAAGGCTTTTATTCTTTCAGAATCTATAACGACCATAAAAGGTTGCCAGCTATTGCAGCCTAAAAGATACAATAAATACAGTTTAAAACACCAGTAGACTCCAGTTAATAAAAGCAAAGAAAAACAGCCCGGATGTCCAAGCAGTGCAGGAAAAGATAATTGTCCATATGCCCCTATTTTGCCATCTCTCTCCTCCAGGACAAGCTGTCCCTCCTCACCGTGCTCAACCCCATCTGCCGGTGGATCACCATCTTCCTGATAGATAGGAGACCGCACGTGAGGCTGGGGAGGAATGTCTCAGACACTTGGACCATTAAAATTGGCACCCCCCAAGGATGTGTCCTCTCCCCTCTGCTCTTCTCCTTCTACACCTCCAGCCACCAGTATGTGAAGCTGGTTCACACATGACACCACCCTCATTGGGCTCATCTCAGACAGGAACTAGTCTGCCTAGGGAGGGAGGTGGAACGTCTGGCATCCTGGTGCATAATATCAAACTGGAGCTGAATGCCCAAAAGACAGTGGAGATGTTTGTGGACTTCAGGAGAGTGTGAGCTCCACTGCCCCCCATAAACCCGATGGATACCCCCCAACTCAACAGTGGACTCCTTCCACTTTCTTGGGACCACCATCATCCACAACCTCAAGTGGGAGATCAGCTCCCTCATCAAAAAGATCCAATAGAGAACGTTCTTCCTGCGACCGCTGAGGAAACTCATAATGCCAATGAGCCCATCCTCACTTTCTCCATCACTGTGTGGTATGCAGGGGCCACAGCCAGGGAAAAGCAGACAACAGAGTGTTGTGCGTTCAGCAGAAAAGGTGATCAGCTGTAGCCTTCCATCAGTCTACTATCTGCACCTCCAGGACTCTGAGACATGCAGGTGGAATGACAGGAGACCCCTCTCATCCTGGTCATGGATGGTATAAACCACTCTTCTGCCAGAAGAGTGGTTTGTACCAACTTTGTTTCTTTTCTTATCTTTCTTTTGTTTTTATTCATTAAGGATGTAAGAAAATATCGATATGGCAATATATCGTGATTTCTTTTGTGTGATATATCGATATTCAAAAGCCGTGTATCTAATTTCTGGAAGAATTTACAGGCAAACATTTGTTTGTTTTCTTTTCTTTTGGTGCTATTCAAACACTAACCGCTAGTTGGCAGCAGTGTGCAGTGGGTTTTGTTTCCACCACTGAAACCTCATGTTAAACATGTTACGTATCAGTTTGGACTGTATTTTGAATTTTCCTACAATAATTCCAATCTAAAAAAAAACTAAAACAAAACGCTAATATCGTATGGCTGAACGTATCGCAATATATCGTATCGTCTCCTCTGTATCGTGATACGTATCGTATCGCCAGAATTTGACCAATACACATCCCTCATAATGCATCACAGGGCTGGACGATATAGAAAATAGTATATCGATAATTTGTTTTAATATTGATCAATATCGATAATTATTGAAAAATATTATTTAAATAGTAGAAAATGTGTTTTACGTGCAGCTCTGGCCATTTTATTTTTGGTATTTTTATTTTTTCTCTGCCTCTTCTTTCTGCGACATCTTGCTGCCTCATGCTCTGTTTTGGTTTGAGAGGGGAGGGCCTGGTGACGTTGCTTGCCCAAGTCTGTGGTTTTGATTGGTTAGGAGTAAGTAGTGAGTCCAGTATGCTGTAACCTGATAGGTTATAATGAAAAAAGGTTACAATGAACAACAGTAACTTTTTTTAATCAAAGTTTTATCGACGCATTTTTTTTCTACCGCACCACATGTCTATCAATAGATATTCTGAACTACTGAATTATCGTCCAGCCCTAATGCATCATATTTTTCACTTGTATGTTTTGTAAGTAGTAAGTAAGTAAATTTTATTTATATAGCACTTATCACAGACATAGAATCACAAAGTGCTTCATATGGATCAAAACAAATTAAAACAAAGTCATAAAATCATAAATAGATTAACATCATAAAATCAAAATGCTAATTAGATTGACATCAGAAAAAAAAAAGTCATAAAATTATAAATTTGCATAAACAGATGAACGATTAAAAATTTGAGTAAAAAATAAGAAAATAAAAGGTTTAGTTAAAAGCAGCTTTAAATAAAAGGGTCTGTAGCTGTTTTTTTAAAAGTGTCCAGACTGTCAATGCTGCGTAAGGATAAAGCAAGATCATTCCAGAGTCGGGGTGCAACAGTCTGGAAGGAGCGATCACCTCGACTTTTGTATCTGCTCTTTGGAACTTCTAGAAGCTTCTGGTGTGTGGACCTGAGGGCTCGGGTTGGAGCATAAGGCTTTAACAGTTCAGTAATATAGGGAGGAGCTTGACCATGTAGAGCATTGAAAGTTATAATCAGGATTCTAAAATGAACTCTAAAGTTAACGGGTAACCAGTGGAGAGACATTAGAATAGGAGTGATGTGTGCTATTCTGTTTGCTCCAGTTGGGAGCCTCGCTGCAGATTTCTGGACCAACTGAAGGCGGTCAAGGGCTTTTTTGTTAAAGCATGTGAAAAGTGTTTTACAGTAATCTAGACGGAAGGAGATAAAAGACATGGACAACCATTTCAAGTTCATGTTTTGACACCAACCTTCGCAGTTTGGAGATATTTCTTAAGTGATAAAACAGTTTCGGACCAATGTTTTTGAGTGATCTTCAAGAGACATTGATTGGTCAAAAATAACACCCAAATTTCTTAAGTTTGTCTTGACGGCAGAGAATAAATGACCAAGTTTTAGACTAATCAGGGGAACCATGCTCTCAGGGCCAATGATCAGACATTCAGTCTTTTCAGAGTTTAACGGAAGGAAGTTATCTTCTAGCCAGCTGGTGATAGCTGATAGACACTCTAGTAATTCAGACAGTTTATAGAACTCAGAATCCTTAAAGGAGCAGTGCAGCTGAATGTCATCTGCATACAGGTGATAAGAAACATTATGAAAAGAATCAAGTATCTGTCCAAGAGGGTGTATGTACAGCAGAAACAACAGTGGACCCAAAACAGAGCCTTGGGGTACCCCACAGAACAGATCAGTAGAATCTGACATGATTTGGTTTATACAGACATTGTAACTTCTGTTAAGGTACGATCTAAACCAGTCTAGAACAGTTCCAGAGATCCCCACTGAGTCACCAAGTCTGTTAATTAAGGTGCGGTGATCAACAGTGTCAAAAGCTGCAGAAAGATCTAACAACACAAACATTGTGAACTCCCCATTGTCTGCAGCCATCATGATGTCACTGGAAACTTAAGCAAAGCTGTTTCTGTTGAATGCTTTTTACGAAAACCAGACTGAAATTTATCAAAACTGTTGTGTAGTTCCAGAAAAGTAATCAGTTGATCTGCCACAACCTTTTCCAATATTTTAGAGATAAAGGGTAATTTAGAAATGGGTCTGTAATTTTTAGGCTGAGATGAGTCCAAACTTGTTTTTTTAAGGATAGGTTCAATAACTGCATGTTTGAAAACAGATGGTACAGAGCCAGATTGTAGGGATAAATTCATAAAATCTACAATGCATGGGCCAATTTGGTCAAACATCCTGATTAACAAGGTAGTAGGAATGAAATCAGCAGGGCATGAAGTTGGTTTCGTGCGTTTCTGAATGAGGCAAATGTCCTGGAAATCTACAGGAGTAAAGACAGACCATGACTGAGAGGGAGGGGGTTGGATGGGAGGGTAGGAAGTAGATGGGGGTGAAAAACTTGCCCTGATATTTCTGATTTTATTCTCAAAGAATGCTAGAAAGTTGTTACAGTCAGACCTTGAGTAAACTGGCATAAGAGGGGCGTAAGCTGAAACAATCTGGTTTATGGTGTCAAACAGGACAGAATTATTTTTGTTTACAGCAATCAGCTGAGCAAAGTAAGTGGCCCTGGAAGTTTTTACCATCTCATTCAGAGATATAATCAGTTCTTTAAAGTACAGCCTGTGACTTTCTAATCTAGTTGACTTCCAAGGTCTCTCAGCTCTGCGGCATGTCCTACTGAGACTGTAAATATTTTGATTAATCCAGGGACTTTTTCTCTTGCTAGAAAAAGTAACCTGCTTAACGGGAGCTACTTTACTTTTTTTTTTTTTTTGCACCATTCCACTAAAAGTAACTTCCTAGCAATGAGAGACTCTCACTTACTTGGCAATAAAACACAATTCTAATTCTGATTCATTTGCACTGATTCTTTCAAACACCATAAGTTGCATGATTTGTACAATTTTAATATCAATTTTTGGATCCTTAAAGCTGAAAACAAAATTGAAATACTAATTAAATTCATTTCAGAGCCTTCTCAGATGGTGTAGACTAAATCTATTAGAACGTTTCACACCAAACCAGTACAATTAATGACACAATATCAAAATTCTAGGGGCTTACCACGGCTGGTATGTAAACAGACAGGGAATATCCATACACACAGATGATCTCCATGAACGAATAGGATACCAGATTCAAGATCTTATTGTTTCTCCACAGCAGGAAACCCCAGAGGCCAAGAGGCACGAGCCAGGCATAGGTGAAGATCGCTGTAGCAGCGATGGTCACTGCAAAACACAAGGGGATCAATATCAAAGCATAAAATACATATTTTACTCTCATAAACTAGGGATGTCCCGATATAACTTTTTTACTTCCGATACGATACTGATATTGCAACCTTCAGTACTGGCCGATACCGATATCAACCCGATATGATATCAGCACAAATCATACATACTTTTACATATTTCGTAGTGTGGAATGTATGAAAGGCTTGGTTAAGTGATAATACTCAATTGGACAACATGAGCCAATAACAGTAAGTATGAAAAAAATGACAATTTCTTAACATTTGGTTGGAAAGGGGTGAGCCTTAACGGACTGCTTATATCAGACATTTTTTATGCAGTCCGATTTAATCCAATAGTGTTTTTTGGCTGATATCAAATTGCTTCTGATATCGATTTCCAAACGGGACATCCCTATCATAAACTATGTGGACTAATGTCAACAGAACTGAATTTATTTACCCTTTTGAAACTCTGGAGTATATTTATAGCCTGAACTGCCAAATTTGTGCAGAAAAGTGGAGATGTTTCCACTGATGGCACATGCAAACACAAGTGTGGTGCAAATCCAAAATGGTCCTGAAGACACAAATAGTATCAATTAGACATTAAATGTGTTGGTTTATGGGAGTCGACAATTAAATCATCTTTATGATACATACGGTATGACAGAAGATTAACAGTAGTGTAGGTTTTACTACATGGAAACTAACCATATAGATCAGGATTTTTCCTAAGATAAACTTGAATGAAGTTCTTTCCAGGCCAAGGTAACATTGATCCAATGATCCTCTCCTTTACCTGAAAAATCAGTTGGATTTTTACCAAATTAAGAAAGCACTTGTTCTGAAGCTCCCACTCTTAAAGTCCATATCTAAAAGAAAAAATCTTACATGATGGGTCTCAACATCAAAGAATGCTTGGTAGTATTCAAACGTCCAGAAAGGTGCACTTTTCTTTTGCCCAGCAAGAAGCTTTAACCAAAACAAAATAAACATAATCAACCGACATTTCAAACATTGACATTTATTAGTTGATAAGAAGTCTAAATTTTTCCTCTTAGGTCAAGTCTTACTCTGACCTCGGTTTTGTCATCAGAACCAAGTGGATCATCATCAGCAACATCTGGGGGAAAACCACCTGCAGGTCCTTGCCTCTTGGCCTTCAGATCTTCATCCCCGATGCTAATGGTGACCACATCTCTATTAGCATCCATCAGATTTGCAGCTTCTTCAAAGTCTAATTGAATGTAAGGAAATAAAAAATGTTCACAAATTTTTCAAGAAAACAAGCTGGTTATGTTCTAAGTGCTTTATTTTTTAAGCAGCAAAATACATGAAAATAAATTTATTCCATAATTGTGATGGGACTGCAAAATGAAAAGTTGGACTAGATCAGGCTTCTTGAACTAATAATATGGTAAACATGCACATTCTGATGGAAAATAAGATTTTGTTACACATATTTACTAATTAAAACAAATGATGTGTATATTTATAGTCTGATCTCATATATGTGCATTACTACAATGCAGACTGATGAGACTGTATGTGATCTAATGAACTCTGTAATCAACAGCTCTCTCTAATGATCAAGTGAGATGTTTGTTCTGCAATTTCTTATTTTCCTAGAAAATTATCTGCTCAACAACTGTCTCTATAATCAGTTAAGAAAAAAACACCCAAGCTGGGTTTTTCTGCCACCCATCCTACTTTTGCCATCCCAAATGCACCTATACTATTGTAAGGATTTTTTTATTTTAAGATAATAATGTTAAAGAAACACAAAACGACCCATTAAAATTTGATATTTGTTGATTATAATCTTGGAAATATTTCAAAATAAATTTTGGTTGAAGTTATGGTTCAAGACCGACACATGCTGAGTAGCATGAAAAAATAGAGGACACTGACCTCTGAATTCAAACGGATCGTTGTTTGACGCCGCCATTCACTTCCAGTAACAATGTTCTTTTCTTGAGAATTTGTTAATGTCGCACGATTTGGTCTTTGAAGGCTGTAAAAGAGGGAAAAAGTTTTTCAGATTTCGTGTAAGTTGATTTAACACGTAGGCAACACCTCTAGAAAGTTAGCATTAGTTACCAAGTTTTAACGTTAAAACTCATTGTGAAATTAACTGTAGAGCATTTATAAAACAACAATATTAAAAAAAACATACTAATAACAGTAAAGTACTGAAACTCAAATTAAATGTTACCAGTTTCTCAAAGAAACCCCATAAAATTACTTCGTCGCTGTTAGCTAGCTTAGCCTTGAACAGGAAATGACAGCCATGTGATGTAAACAAGACACGTTCCTGTTATCAAATATTTTCAAAACAAGAGCTTTATTGTTTTAAACTGACTATATCGTTCATAGTTCTGTGACATCTGCGTAATTTTGATTTTAAACGTTTTGGTTGTATAAAAATGTACTACATATGACAGAATGTTTGTATTTTCGGAACAAATTACAAGCATGCTTTGGTAGTGAACTTTTACTTTGAAGTTGGTATTCAAAGGGCGGAAACGTCTTACTCCAGACTCATAAAAGATAACTTGTAAGAGAAAACATGCTGCTAATCAAGTAATTGGCGTTACGTTTTTAAGCGGGACAAGAGAGAGCAGTTTAGACATTTAAAAAGATGATCTTGGTCGAGGTTTAAGCTAATGTAGCGCATTACTGGTGCTTTTTGTGAACGTTTTAGAGTAGCCATGCTTCAGGCGGTAGCGTGGTAATGGATAGTAGTGTTTATGTTCGAGAAAGAGGCAGCCTTCGTCGAATGACGTTATCCTGGCACAACCAAAGCATTATCCTGGCACAGCCAAAACCAGCAACATCATGCAGAAGAACGAATCCTCTCGTGCTGAGAAAAGAGCATTTTATTTTCACCTACAATGAAGAAGGAAGTCTGCGATACACCACTAAATCTCTCTTTGACATCACTCTGCTGTTTGTGGCCAACAACATTCAGCACGTGGACTCTTTGGTAGGCTTCCCAGAGCAAATAGGTGATAAACTGTTTGCAGCAGCAGAGGAGAATCGTGTATTTTTGAACCCAGACGTGTCCCCAAAAGCCCTGAAGCTTTTCACTGATGCATATGGGGAGAATGTGCTTGGGTCGCTCTGTTTAAGAAACAGGTAGGTTATGTTGTTGCAACTTAAACTACCTGCTTCACCGGTTTTATTGATCTTGTGTGATCTGTTTCTTGTGCATCTTTAACTTCTGCAGGTTTCCACTCCTGCATGAGCGAATAGACGAGATAAAGATGTTCCACAGCTTGAAGTCTCTGGACTTGTTTGGCTGCAGACTGGGAGATTATCATGAAATATTCCAGCATCTAACATCCACACCACTAGCAAAGTAAGTCTCTTCAATCAAAAACTGAAGGAAATATATGTGGTATTCCATTTTTTAGTTATTTTCTTACACAGTTTAGTAAACATTACCAACAAAAGAGAACCAAAAACACAAAGACTAGAACCAAAACCAGTAATAACCCTTCCATATATATATATCAAAGGCATAACAGAAAGAATAATAACAACAATGAAAGACATAATATCAACACACCAACAAAACCATTATTGACTGTCGGAAAAAGATTAGTACACCCAAAGGACAACATATCAACAGATAAAACACGTAGTGTCGAAATACCATGCAAACTGCAATAAAACGTAGGAGAAAACGGACACCATCTTAACACACGAAAAACAGAACGTCAAACGGAATGCAAGTGGGAAACAAGTCGAAGACGCACAAGAGCAGCAAAACAAGAAGCAGAAACAATAAAGAAATCAGCTGTGACGGACCACTGCATAAGAGAAAACCACATAATGGACTGGGACGGTACATGGATCATAAACGCAGAACAACAAAAATATAAAAGACGGATCAAAGAAGCAATAGAGATGAGACGTGCGTACAGGACCATGAACAGAGACGATGGAAAATACACATTGGATCATGCATGGGACTGTGTCATCAGTGTAGCATCATGAATGTCCTGTTTATGACCTAAAGGTCATGATCTGCTGTGTCTGCTCGAGCAGAGACATAAAGTCTGACGGCCTAATCTACATGAGATAGATAGTGGCCAAGGTCTTTCATGCACTCTGCTCATCTGAACTGCTTTACCAAGCGAAGACAAGAACTATTCTGATAAATACATAATCAACAACTTTGTTAATTACTAATAATAATGTGAGCCCAATGTTCAATCAGTCTGTGAAATGACAATGTTTATTACTTGATATTATAATCCTGTGATCAGTAGGAATTACTTGATATTATATTCCTGTGATCAGTAGGAATTACTTGATGTTATAATCCTGGACATTTGCACTAGACACTAAAGACACGTAATGCTAAAGTCACACGACACATTTCCATTTGTCTCACCCAATCAGAACCTTCGTGTGTTTGTATAACCCTTATTTCCATGTCAAATTCTGATTCACCAGTAAACCAAAATATGACAATTATAAAAACTATTCCACGCCACCTTTACTTGAGTTCAAGCGTTCTAGAGAAGTCTCGGACAGGCCATCCGGGCTTCTTCTTCAGCCAAAAAGAACCTCAGACAAGCTGGATAAAATCTGTTGCAAGTTACACCTGACCGCAACGATTCCTTCAGAATAAAAGCTGAACCTCACGACCCCTTCAGGGTCTCGGAGACGCCAGTGATAACCTGTCGTGACCTGGAAGCATTCCAAGACTAGACTGGTCGGCACCGCTGCTTTTTTACCGGCTTCGGTACCAAAGAGGGTCCACGAGGACCTCGGCAATCTGGATCTGAACGGAGGCTTCCCCTGGGTATGTAGACCGACAGATGGCGTTTCATGTGTGTTCTAAATCTCCTACTAAAGTTTAGAGCGAAACATTCACTCCCACTCAGAACTAACTGCTTCTCCGGATCCGCTGGTTCTGATAATAACATTCCACACACACACACACCATCATTCATCACGTCTCACTCCACCTTAGTCCATCAGTACACAGAGTGTACAGCGGTTAGTCTTATTTAAATTGTGTAGAAATAAATTTCTTAACTATTTTAAACCTGACTCTCTCTTTCCTTGGAGTTAATACGAAGTGTCGCTTAATCCCTGCAATAAAAAGTTCCGATCTTCTGGTTAAAATAGTCAAAGTTCCATCAGATTGATATTTCATAATTCTATGGAATCTCATATTTTATGGTTCATAAATAAGATGTAAATGACTCATTCTTTACATCAGCAAGGAGGATGCGGGCAGTAGAGGGCGACACTGTCCTCTGCTGCCCGCGGATAAAAGGAAGTGACGCCGCCAGCACTGGCGATCTCCGAGGATAGCTAGAGCTACTAGCTGAAACATGTTAAGTAGTTTTTACTAAACTGTGTAAGAAAATAACTAAAAAATGGATTACAGACAAAAACACAGCATGAACGCACAAAAGAGGAGATATATGTGGTACGTTATTAATAGCTGCTTTTCCTCCTCAGCAGCCTGATCCAGCTGTTTCTTGGTGGTAACCATCTGTCTGACGTTGCCCTGCAAAGACTGACCTTGCCCTTACGGATGATGCAGAAGAAACTGGACTGTCTCCAGCTCCTGGATATTTCCTGTTAGTAGTTTTTCATGTGGTTGTTGACACAAATTCTACTACCAATACAAAGGACTTTTGTTTTTCTTCATACAGACAATCCCATTTCAGAGCGGGCTCTCCGGTATCTCAAATGCTTCCCAAAGCTTTTAAAGCTTGATGCATCCGCAACCAATATGAAGGTAAGATGAAATGATTTGCTTTTAGCATGTGAGCTTATGTAATTATTATTATTTCTCTGACAGCTTTGTTAATTTTACACAACCAGCTTGACGCAGGATTGAGGACGACTGTGTGGAACCTGTTGGGGCTCATTCATTCTGACCGACCCCTGGAGACATTTGATCACTCTGGATGTAAAACTGAAGGTTGGGCAGAGCAGGTAAATAATTTCAGACATAAATGAGCACAGTGTGCTACAAGAACAACACAAAACTGATAAAAAATGATTTATTTGCAGGTTGTAAATCAGTGGGAAACAAGTGGCTTACAAGTGCCAAAGCAGAAGAGAGTTGAAGAATTGCGGGCATCTGCACTTGGTTTTTGTAAGTTGCTTGGTAATTTAAAGACCATTTATCTCCACACACTAAATGATTAGTTTATTTTTCCCTGTAGTTGGCAGACAGAGGTTCATCAGAGATGCGATGAACACAGCGCCACTGACCGGTGAACAATTGACAGAGTCCAACGCAGAGAAACTCCATTTCTGCAAACCTGTAACAAACGATTTCACGAAGGAGACGCCGGTTCCTTCTGCAAGAAACCACCAAGTCCCGTCTTCCTGTTGTAATGTCAACAAAAGGAAGGGAAAGTCAAGCAAGGATGGCACATCACATCACAGTCCCCCTAGCAAGCGTTCAATCTCATCGGGTTTTACAGAGGAGGACTTAGACTTGTTGAGCAGCTATTAAAAATGTGGCCATACCCAAGCACTATGAGGGTGACAGAACGATGCGAGAGAAACCAGAAGTATCCTGTTATACTTTAACGTTCAGAAATTCTAAAACTGTTTTTTGTTAAACATGTTTATTCTGTAAATAAATTGTTGCATTTTGAACGTCTTCCTTTCTACAGTTTGGAAACTCACCCAAATAAATAGCTGAACATCCACAAAGACTTGGAACAGTAAAAGTGGACAAAATGTCCTCTTGGGTCTTCCTGCTTTATAACGCTTGGGTCCTCATAAAAATACACACCGCCACAACCCTTCTGGACATATTCAGTAGCAACTTTAACCATGAAGCGATAGTCTGCAAAGAACTGCTGACCTTAATGTATCACTTCATGTGTCCACGTTGTTTTATTCTTCATGTTGCCCAAAGTTGTCTTGAGTGCAGCTGTCTTACTCAAGCTGCTGAAAGCATTATAAGCTGCTCGGCCATAAAACACACTAATATTTATTGGAACCACCTCTAGCTTTGATTACTAGTCACACATTCTCTGTGCCATTGTTATAATAAGCTTCTGCAACGTCACAAGATTTATTTCCATCCTGAGTTGCATTCATGTTTCACCAACATTTTGCATTAATGATGGTAGAGTCTGACCGCTGCACAAAGCCTTCTCCAGCACATCCCAAAGATTCTCATTGGGGTTAAGGTCTGGACTCTGGTGGTCGATCCATGTGTGAAAATGATCTCATGCTTTCTAACCCCTCTTTCACTATCTGAGCCCAATGAATCCTGGCATTGCCCGTGTCATCAGGAAAGATGGAATAACCTGGTCATTCAGTATATTCTGGTGGTCCGTCGACCTCATTCTTGGAGCACATCCTGTTGCTGAACCTAGACCTGACCAACTGCAGCAAGCCCAGATCATAACACTGCCCCCACAGGCTTGTACAGTAGGCATTAGGCATGATGGGTGCATCACTTCATCTGCCTCTCTTCTTACCCTGATGCACTCATCACTCTGGAACAGGGTCCATCTGGACTCATCAGACCAGTTTTTATTAATGTGTTGGACAGTTCTTAACCCAGTTGTAGTCGCTTCTGCGTCTCTGATGTTTTCTCTACATATCAATGATCTGACCCGTCTCAGACTAACATATTTTTCACGACCACCAGATGCCTTTCATGGTTGTTTAATAAATGAAAAACAACTGATTGTACCGGTTAGGGTTAAATAACTTGTTGCAGCCCATGCAGAAATTATCCAATAGGAGGCTCAAACCTATTTGCTTAGTTAAATCTGGGCGGTGACTTTTTTTATTTTATTTTTTTGGTTTGGCAGTTTTATTTCAGCTAAACACAGCTGCTTTCAGCAAGCACTTTCCACGGGCTTTTATAGGTGACATCAGTGCAGTTCCCCTTAAAATCCAATTATTGGGAATCTACCTGAAGGAAAATTATAACTCTGGAAAAACTACATTCTTTACATAGTGGCAGAAAGACTACCCAAGTGAGAAATAGTTATAATTAATTACTTGTGTGGTTTCTGACAGAAGTAGCAATCAATACATTATTATAAGTTAAATGGGAACAAATGGAAGTTTCTGACAGAACGAATGAGTTGTTTTTATGGACTGTAGTCAGACCTGCTTTGCTCTGCTGTGTGCAGGTAGTGTAACTCCATTTCACAAACACATTCCATCACAACTTCATTGTGAAAAAAGTGACAAAAAGCCAAAGTCATTCGCTCCAGCCGTGCATGAACAGCTGGCTGCAGAGTCAGCAGGATATTTGTGAAAGTATAAATAATTGGTCAGAAGAGATTTGCATGCTCCACAGAACACGTTGAAAAAGTTAGACCTTTGTTTACTTTGCTGCAGGTTCACACAGAAGCTTCAGTGAATTTAAACCACAGACAAAACTAAAATGTGCTTTTTAAATAATTTTCTTGCCATGTTGCGGTACTTGTAAAGAACTTTAACATACAGCAACAAAAAAATCCACCTCAAACAGTTTTCATGAATTGCACTTCTTTAAGGGAATAAACTGAAGCATAAAAGCCTTTTTGTCTCATCATAGATTTTACTGTAGAATGTTATTGGAACATCACTGCAATAAAAACATGAGAACAAATGGGAAAAGTCTGCAGAGTTAGCACAAACTAATTCATCAAAAAGCTGTAGGTTAAGGGTGACACTTGCATCACTTCAAGTCACAAAGAGTTCAAATAAACATTCAATAAACGACACCTACACAGCAAAAATTAAAGAAAAGCCCTGAAACCTTTTTATTGTACTACCCTGATTAGTCTGTAATGCCTCCGTTATACCCATTAATCACCCTAGTTTCAAATGCGTCAAAAAGTTCAGTTGATACAAAATGTTCTGCAAGTTCTGCTGATACCACAAGCAGTTTGGGTCTTCATTTTGAGGATAAAAATCAGGTGAAGATTATTCCTAAAGGTGGAAATTGCTTCTGGAGTTCATCTTTGGATTCTAGATGTCAGACTGGCCCAAGTTGACCTTGGATGGAAGTGGTCCCGCCTCTTCCTCTGTCCCTTTGGAGGAGATGACGATCAGAGAGGAGGATGGGTAAGGAATCAGTTTCTGTTCTTTCATATAGTCTTTGTCACCGTAGATGCTCAGTTTCTAAAAGGAGAACAATTAAAAAAATTTTCAGTTCAAAAATAAAATTGATATAAAACTTCCAGGATCTAGGCAAGATGTTTTTTCCCCCTAGATTAGATCTTAGTTCTAAAGAGATGTTGGAAAGAACTTCTCAGGCTTTACCTCAGCAGGTACATACTGATCCACAGCAGTGGCCACTGTGGCACAGCAGATCCAGATCAGGGCCAACACAGACAGGAACAACGTTGATGTCAGGATCCACCCTGGTAGCCAAGGGTTCCTGATGAGAAAAGTGCAAACTCTAAGCTTCAAAGAGGCAAGAACCTTGGTGCTAATAAAACTCTTGCTCTGTCCAGATAATCAGCTCCCAACAACAGATATAAAAACAAACAAACCTGGACAGACAGCTGAAGAGGTTAGATCCATCATCATAGCTGCGATCACCAGACATATCTCTGTCCCTCTCTTGGATTAAAGTGCGATGGTATTCTTTGTAAATAGGATTGCTTAGATCAGCAACTTGAAGATAAGAAACAAAAAACTTGTAAGAAACCTAAGCATACTTTCTTCCATGCAAGGCAAAGGGAATGGGGGTGTAGTGATTAATATTATGACAACAAAAAAGGCCAGAGAGATTAAGGATTATGAAATGCATACAGCTTTTCTGTGGCTCCTCCTTAATGTCTTTGTTCAATTCAAGCTGGGAAAAGAACTCCACTTGTGGTTCAGTCTGTGAAATACGAGAAATAGAGGGTCAGAATTAAAAATATTTGTTGAATAACAGAGTTAACCGTGTTGTTTACAAATAAAGTTAAAGCAGATCATCAAGCTCGTGTCTAAAATACCTGGAAAATGACAACTTTTCCATCATCAGCCTGTAGGTAGAAGGTCCAGGAGGAAGTGATGAAGCTGTGGGCCTGACTCATTACATCATCCCAAAACCCTCTAACCAGAGTCAGTGGGAAAAGTAGATGAATCCGGGGCATCATGGCCTCCAACTGTAGAAACAAATTAAATACTGTGCACACTGTCCCTTCGAAACAAATCTGTCCAGTAGATCAGTGTACCTGTTCAACCCGCTGCTCAGCAAATGGAAGCTGATTATGACATCCCATGATGCATGCATACTGTTCATCAGTCTGGATGTATGCTTCCTTGCAAGCTGCAGAGGTTTGAGAAAAAAACAGCTGGTAAAACAGGACCACAGACAATAAAATTATAAGAGGAGGTGTTTTAGGTCTGAAACTGGTGTTAGGGTTGCCAGCAAACAAACATTTACTGCTTCATTGTTAATGATTACAAGGCTAGTCTTAGAGGCCTAAAGGCTGTGTAGAAACAGATTTAAACAAGCAAAGGCTCAGTTTGTGTCTTACTTGATTCACATTCGGATTTAGTCTGATTCAAATCTTCGCTGTCACGAACAAACTGACAAATGGAGAAAAGTCGACAGCCCCTCTGGCAGGCATAGAGTTCCTCCTCCTGTAAAACAAACGAAAGATCGACGACACATGACGCACTTTTGATTATTGCCTAAACAACAAATTTATACAGCAGACAACAAACCATCAAAAGACAGAACAAACATTTTAAAATGGCCATTTTCGCCAAACGTTAGCAAGCTAGCGCTAGCCGAAACAACTCCCGAGCAAAATGAATACTCACCCGTGGATACGTGTGCAAACTATATGTCATTCCACATGACTTATGGCAAGATGCTGTGTTCCCCAAAACGCTGTCAAAAACGTCTGAAGACGCAAAAGCGCACACGGAGACAGCAAAAAGTCCCAGAAAATAAACATAAAGAGACACCGTTCCCATTTTGGCTGAAAACCCAAACAAACAACACTCTCCGTCTTCTTCCTCATCTACCCTAATCGGTTCGTGTTCTCGCGAGACTTGCGATAAATGTTATTCATGACTCCCAAATAGTTTTTTTTATATATTTTCAAAAATTATGACATTTGACTTAAATTATATGGCTAATATTTGGTATAGAAAACTAAATGTTTCATGATAAAACTCGAATCTATAAAGAAGTAGCCTTATATCAGATTTTATGTTTTCTTGAGTCACATCTTATTTTTGGTCCTTTTTGCATGCAACAAACAACATCGTTTCATTGACTGATTTTTACTAAGATTATAAAGTTCACAGATAAACACTAGAATTGGATGTTCATTACGTGTTTTATATCATGTTTGAAACAAACAGGTTTCAATTGCCCTAACCGTCAGTTAAGCAATTCCTCACTGTACTTGAAGGCAGCATCACTACTGCAAGAAACTACCGGAAGTATTTTACTTTCAGATGCCTTTACGCTCCGCTACACACCTACTGGCATTTATACACAATGGATTAAAAATCGTTCCTATTTTGAGATAGAAATGGTTCAATATCTTTATTTTTCACGTGGGTGGGTCTGGAGCGGTAACATTTAACCTGGCAACTGCTAGCATCTGTTAGCTTAGACTCAGTTAGCTCAGAAGGTCACTAGTTAGCTCAGAAGGTCGGAAAATAGATTGTTTTAACTTCAAATTCAAGCTGCAGTTTTGTTTTCTGAAGATGGACAAGTTTGTAGTTCGGCTTCCTAAAGGTGAAATACCCAAACAATGGAAAAGCGACGAAAAGATTTACAAACAAACTACAATTGAATCCCTACGGGTGAGCAAATCGATGTTATGTGAATTGAGTTCCTGATAGATATGTTTACTTAGTAGCTTTCTCTGGTGTTTATGTAAGAGAGTGGTGGTGATTGAGGACATCATGCGTTACAAGTCAACGCTGGAGCTGCCAGAACAGAGAAAGGAAAACCTGCTGAGTGCCCTGACAGAGCTCAGCAAGAAGATCCCATCCAGAGAGGTGCTAAAGAGCACTAAAATAGGTACAAAACAGGAAAACCTTGTTTCCTTTATGCTGTGCTGATGTCCACTGGTTGGTTATAGAAGGTTACAAAAGCTATGCAAGTGTGAAAAAGGTCCTTGTTGAAAATATCTTTCCCCTCAGGTCTAACTGTCAACAAAATGCGAAAGCATCTTGATCCTGAGGTGAGCTCACTGGCAGCAAAGGTTTACAATGACTGGAGGACTTTTATTGAGGAGAACTCCAATAAGCCATCTATTGAAGTACGTTCTGACAAACAATCTGAGGGACTCAGGAGTAACGCACGAAGAATGCTGTCTAATGCACTAGAGGTCAAGGTGAGAAAAGGCCTCTTGGTTAAGTTTGTAGTCATAGTTGAACTCCTTTTGTTTTACTCTGATCTCTTGATTTTCTCCTAAAAATTGTAACAGTCTTCTCTTGTTTGTGTTTCTGTCTGACACACAGGAGGATTCTGGTCTTATAGACAACATGGAGAGAGAGGTTTTTCACCAGAGCCGGCGGTTAGTCAGCAGTTCATACAGGCGGACGGTTAGAGCGCTGGTGTTTGCATTCAAACACAACCCTGATGTCAGAAGTGAAGTGAAGGACAGTAAAATATCAGTTGAACAACTTGTATCTAAATACAAAAAATAAGAAACAGAGCCTCAGACAGTGAAATCTAAGTTTTTAATGCATTCACATTTTCATGAAGCTTATATCATCTTGTTTGTCTTTGCTGAAGAAAATGCAAAACAATTGAATGTTTACACTTTTTTTACTGCAGATAAATTGTTAATTAATAGAAATGATGACCAGAAAAAACTTTGTCTTTTGTAGCTGATTTTAATTTCTAACAGATTTACTGTATAGTAGTCAAGTTTCAAGTTAAGCACAAGTCCAAATGGGCAACGGTGGCACAGGAGTTAAGTGCTCGCCCCGGAATGGGAAGGTTGCAGGTTCGAGCCTCGCTCAATCTGTCGCTGTGTTCTTGAGCAACACTTAACCCACCTTGCCTGCTGGTGGTGCTCAGAGGGACTGGTGGCGCCTGTGTACGGCAGACTCACCTCTGTAAGTGTGCCAGGGGTGTGAATGGATGAATGACTGATTCTGTTGTAAAGTGTCTTGGGGGGTTCCAAGACTCTAGAAGGCCCTATATCAAATACATGTCATTTACAAATGATCACAGTTTATATCATAATTAAAACAGGCTTTAATCAAAGTCATGGCATAAATGAAATGCTATTACAGCCACATAAAAAATCTGTATTAAGTTTAAAAAAGTAATGAATAGTTTGAAATATTGGCATTATTTTACCAAACAGCCAAGCCTGGCTACAACTGATCTGGGAGCAGTGTAGGATAATCAACAGAACAATGAACTTTATAGAAGTTTTGAAAAGGATATACTTAGCAAAACTCGACTTTTGCATAATTTTCTGCTGCCATGTGGGTCTCTACTGCCTCTATAAACACTCCAAATGTGAAAAAACCCATTCATTCATTTTCTGTCAGTGTTTGGTTTTAGGAATTATACGACTAAAACAGTTTGAAAAGGCTGTTTGTGATGTCAAAAATTGGCAAATAAGCATACAACCATCTCTCACTTCAGGAGAGATCTGCTGCCGGAGGAGCAGCGGCTCTACTCCGAACCCCTCCCGGGAATCAGAACTTCTCAGCTTATAGCAGCCTGAGTGGTAGAGAGGTGGGCAGACCAGCTCTAACTTGTTATTTTTTTAAGTGACAGAGCCCTGAAACGACTCATTCTGGAAGGTACTGAAAATGTCAAAAATAAAACTGCTAAAATCACTTAACGTGACCATAAAATAATATTTCTTGAGAAATAAAGTCACATGTCTCCTTTAATATTATTTTTTAAATCACTAAAGAAGCACTAACCACACAATAGCTATCACCATGAGAATGACAGCTAGAACACAGATGCTGATGAAGACAATATCACTCAAGTCATGAGGCTCGGTTTGTGGCTCTGCAGCAGAACTGCTGCTGTCTCCATCCGTCTGCTGGGCCTGCTCCTCCAGGCGACGCTCCTCTGCAGAAATGATCGATACCGAGGCTATCTTGCGTAGTGCATCGCACTGCACCTTATACTCCTGAACGTTCTGCTGCTTCCCATCGGAGAAGTCTATGTAGAGCTTGTTCACAAGCATGGTAATGTTCCGGTGTTTCTGTAAGGAATCAATATGCCATTAATTAAAGAATGTAGATATTTGTCTTTAAAATCATGATAAAGAAAGCTAGGTACCTGGCTGGCTGTGCCACAGTTGACAAACTGTGCTAGTATTTTGTATGAGGTGGCGGTTAACTGGGCTGTGCAGGTTGGGTTGCCCAGGTAGATGCTTTCCCGGTCCAGCTGAGGTAAGGACTGTTGAGGGATCAGAATGGTAAACTCTGATCTTGTGCAGCTAACATTTACAGGCACCACTGGGAAGAAGACAGCTCAGTCATTTCATGAGCAGCGTAAGAAGGAAAGGGAGAAGAGTTGTTTGCTTAGATGAATGTTAAAGATTTGCTTTTGGCAAGATCAAATTTTGCTGGGATTTGGACGGCAAACATAGCAAGCAGTTGGTGACTATCCTAAACCTACAGTCCCCACGGGATATGTAGAATTATTAATAGCCAATTAGCTCTTTATAAAACAGTCCAAGTGTTTTTTTTCTTTCCCTGTTTGGAAATGAATCACATTTAAGTTACTTTACCTCCCAGATAAGAGGCAGTGAATCCTCTGTGAGCATCAGTTCTGTCTGTGTTGAGTACCACCAGCAGCTTGTTTCCCTTAGAGATGAGAGACGGAGGCTGCTCCCTGCCACACCAGCGCCCCAGCAGGGCGTTTGTCTGGCTGTCCCCGTCGTACACTGCCACAAAATCATAGTCACATTCCTCCGATAAACTGTTTCGGCCCTCCAGGTCCAAGATGGGAAAAAAGAGTTTGATCCGGTACCCAGCTTCCAGGTTGATGCTCCAGTGGCAGTTGATGTTATTGGGGTAAATGTTGGGGAAATGTGGGCTGCTGAAGTTCCCACTCACAGTCGTCAAGACCTGCTGGCATTCACCTATTAAAGTACATTTAATAAGTTAGTCTTTATGGAATATATTACTTCTTGTGTGATTATTTTGTAACAGTTTTTTAAGAATGCTTTATAAAGGCACACTTGGCAGTTTTGTCTCGCTTCTAGCCCTCCTTAGTGTCCGTTTAGTAGAACCAACAGCGAAACCTATCTCCTTGCTGTGCATTGTCTTTTTAAAGAGCAAGTAATGCCTAATTTTTTTTCTGATAACCTGTATAGATGAGTGTCTAATGGTGCTGTACACATGTGTAATCATTAGTGTTGCAGTTTAGTGCAACTTACTCTAAATTTAATATTTCAACCCAAAACCATCATTATATCTCCATCTTCAGGTTAAAACTCTGCTCCACATTTATGTAGAACCAGCTGTGGCTGATGGCTAAGCTGAAAAACGTGACATTGTCAGCAAAGTACTACGTGGCTGCACCACACTGGTCTCCAGGTGAGACAGCCGCACCTCCGCCTGGCTCAGCCACTCACCTGCCAATATGACAAGCTGGCTCTGAGCCACTCGCCCATGGACGTAATTTTTGTTTGGGGGGGTTGTCCCCCCACTTTTTCCAAAGTCAAGTTTTGACCCCTGCACTTTTTACCATCCCAAAACAATATTACGCTATATTAAATTGACACCGGTTGAGCTCTAGGACCAAGCGGAAAACAACCGTTTGTGTTGAAGCCTGTTTCCCATTAGAGCATACTGTAAAGATTCACCCCCCCGCCCCCCACCCCACTTCTAAAGGGAAAATTACGTCCATGCGCTCGCCTCCTTGAAAAAAATGCCCTCCTCCCCTTTTCATCTAATGATCGCGTTTAAGAGGAAATCCTCCAGAATGCTGCAGAACCTGTGTCTGCTCTTCTCCTGAGCGGTAAGTCTTGTGTGAGTGCGTGCTTGTGTGCACGCACTCGTTAACAACTCGTTTTTAGACTGAGAAACTGTGACAGCACACGCGGGGAGGTTGAGTGGGGTGCGGTCTCCCACTGCCTTGGTGCCGCTCTCTCGGCCCGCCAGGAGAAGTGTTTTCCTAACAAGAAGTGTGGATAAAATACGTCTCCACCCAGGCCTTGACCCTCACCTTAACACCTTAGCAGCTGAAATGTCTCCCCAGTCTTTATTTATGTTTATGTATTTAGCAGACGCTTTTGTCCAAAGCGACTTACAAGTGATAATCGGCATGTTGCCCTTGAGACTAACAACAACAACAACTTGACATCAATCATGGAGAGGAGGGAACAAGGAGTGGACAGTAGAGAGGGGGGACGGGTGCAGGGAGGGTGCTAGTTAAGAAGATGCTCTCTGAAGAGCAAGGTCTTCAGGAGTTTCTTGAAAATTGAAAGGAAGCCCCCGTTCTGGTAGTGCTTGGTAGCTCATTCCACATTTGTGGAACGATGCACGAGAAGAGTCTGGATTGTCCTGAGCGTGGTGTAGGCACTGCTAGCCAACGATCTTGTGATGACCGGAGCGGCCGGGCCGAGACGTCTACAGGAGTGATTCATCACTAAATTAAACAAATCAGCTGTGTTCATGATGTAAAATGTGCAGACTGCATTCTCTAGTCCTCGAGGGCCAGTATCCTGCATCTTTTTGTTGTTTTCCTGTTCCAACACGGTTGAATCACCTGTGCAGCAGCTCATCAAGCTCTGCAGGAGCCCGTTAATCACCTGCTGATTGAAATCCGGTGTGCTGAAACAGGGAAAACACTAAAACATGTGGGATAGCGTCCCTTGAGGACCGGAGTTTGACACCTGTGCTGTAAAGGGTCATTTTAGCACATACTGGCTCAAGAAAATGATGCAAAACTATAAAAAGTTGCAAAGCATCCCTTTAAAGAGAATGAGTTTCACAAAAGGAAAAGTGTTTATAGTGAATCGTTTGGGTTTATGGGAACTCCATTAAACAGTTCATAGTTTGATGAACATAAAGCCTTTTGTTTTCAGCTAAATTAGCTTATGCATTTTCATGTTTAATTTGTCAGAATGACTCAAAGGCAGCATGAGATTTCATAAATTAAAATGAGAAGTCAGGCCAAGAAATGAACTATTCGTTTTACAAAGAAACTATTTATTCCTGTGTCATTTGTTAGAACATTGTTCCTAGTGTTGGCATTTTAGAAATAAATAAAACAAATAAAATATGGTTTTTGCATCAACTGAATTTGTTCCTCTCTGCCAGCTGGTTTATGTTCAACTAAGTCAAATGGGAACAATCTGTAAACAGCTGTCTAAACGTTGTTCTGCAGACCTCCCATTGGCTTCACGTCTGCATTTTGGCTGGACTGATGAAGGACTTGGATGCTTTCTCTGCGCACGGACTGGTTTTGTGAGAAATTGAGCTTTGCATTATAGCTGGACTGTTTAGAAATGCCATCCAAGTAAACAGAGTATGTTTCATGCCTTTGCACATTGATGTGGTTTGTTGACGTCATTCAGTAAAGCGTAATAAACTAAAGTTCTTGTAACTACAGCCACATCACAGATCCAATTGTTCTTTTCCTTCTCACTCCATTTTCCCCTCATTACCATGTATGCTTTCATGGGCTTCAAAGCAACACAAATACACATATTTAAAAAACACAGACTGTTTAAGATTTGCAGCAACAGCATTTGACATTGGGTTTTACTTCCCCGTGGTTGCAATAAAAACACAAACACTGGAGCAAAGAAACTACCAAATTCGAGTTTCCCACCTGAGTAGTAATACGCCTTGAACCCTTGTCCTCCGATGTTGAAATCCGACTTGAAGACAACTAGGAGTTGATTGGACGTTGTGACTGTGTTGGGAGGTTTATCTGCCCCGCAGTATTTCCCAAGATGTTGATGACTGACTGTCGGGCCATCAAACAGAGCAACAAAGTCAAAATTACATCCCTCATTATTTTCCAGCTGGAAGTCCAAGAAGACCACAGTGACTACGCTCGTGTTGGACACTTGGATCGACCAGGAGCAGTCTGCGTTGTTGCTGTACTCCTGAGGGTAACCTGGGCTGGAGATTATACCTGATAGTCCAGTCAGGACACCACCACACATATCTGAAGAGCAGAGGAGGAAAACTTGTTATGTAGTTAGACAAGGCCATAGATGTTAAATATTCTACATGCAAATCAAGAATAATTACTTATTTTTTGGGGTGATTAAAGGTACAATATGTACCTTTAATATGCATGAATTTTACAGTGAAATAATCACAAAACAGTCTAATGTCTTGATTATGCTGGAAGGAAGGTTACTTTGAAATAGATTTCATTCTCAGGTGCCTGGGAGTTGTCAGGTTTTCTCCTTTCAAAAAATCTATAGAACAACTTGGTCTTTGTTTACAGTCTTTGAGCCCCCAGGGTTTCCAAGTCTGTGCCAGCTCGCCGTGCCAGCATTTGTAATTCCACATTGGCCGGCAAAATGAAGCAGTGTTTTGTAGCGGACCTAAGCCAGTAACAGGAGTGACCCAGAAGTTGTTTCTTGTTACCATTATAAGCCACAGCATCCTTTTTTTTATACTCTAACCCTTTATAGAGCCAACTTCTATTTTTAGACACCAACATCTATTTTTAGACTCTACTACTGACATCATAAATGATGTCAGTGTGACTTTTCGAGAATTCTTAGAATTACAAGATTTCACCCAACACATCATCAGACATCAAGCTAGTCACAGTTGGCGCCACAGCACCATTCGACCAGTCAGTGCAGATCTGATGCACCACGCTGGTGTGTCTGCAGAACTGAAAAACTGCCTTCCTGCAGCTCGATCTCTCCTGGTGTTTACAGTATGATCTCGAAAACTGACATTGCTAAGTTTCTGAAACTCTCACATCACAAGTTTGACTAGTTGTGCTAAATAAGGATATTTGTGTTGTAAATGTTAAACGTAGCAAAGTAGGTGAAATCATAGCATGAAAATCAAAGCTGCCGCGTTTGATCAAGTAAAAGAAATTATGTATATTTTTAGGTAAAATCCATTATTTTTTCTAAATAATAATCTTCATATTGATGGTAAAAGAACAGGGCCACTTTGTTTTCTCGGATTTTCTGCAGGAAATTTTTTTTTTAATTGTGAAAACAAAAGAAAACATTTACTATGAACCTCAATAATACCCTAGGGTTGAAATTTTAAGTTTTAAATTAATTCAATGAGTGCCCTATAAAGGGCTAATATTGGCTTAAGAAGGCTAGAGGCTAACGTTGAGCTAACAATGCTAATGTTATTGTCTTTGATAGACTGGTTTTGCACATTTCTAGACAGGGAAAGATGAATAAAAATAAATAGTGAAAAAGTCTGAGATTTTAATTATTTGCTTAAACCATGTTTAGCTTTGTTAACATAACCATGCGCTGCAAAATCAGAAGAATCCTGAAATGTGTAGACTCGACACAGGGTGGGGCTACACATAGGGAGCCTTAGTCCCGCCCATCTACTTCCGGACCATGGGTCCCCGGAAAAATGAAAAAAAAAAAAAAAGAATGCAAGTCAACGGGGCTAAATATGCTATTTTCTAATTCTGCATGTGTTGTGCCATTGATTTCACATATGATGTCTGTGAATTTTAAAGAAGTATTTTGATACCAAGAGCGCGCTTATTTTTGAACAGAGGAAACGATATTTTAGGTTTTGTGTGAAAATAAGTCCAGAACTACAAATGCACTTCACAAAAGTGACATCATCAAACCAGACACGGAGAAACCTGAGGGAAAATGGCTGTAAGTTAAGCAAACTTCTCACAGGAGGAAATAACCACCATAAATCTGGCTATGTGGCAAGTAGCAGCTACGTTAGGGGAGAGGAGATTGTGTGGTGATGTCACAAATGCGATGTGCCAATTTCTGGTGGGTAGTCATGCTAATTACAAACTTTTACAAGCTAATAAACTTCAAAGTACGTGACTGGCGTGGTCGAAACACCCATCATTAGTTTTCATTTAAATTGCAGTACAGCATATGTGCGATCCAGGGTCTAGCAAAGCAGATTTGAAAATAGCGTTTTTTTAGCCCCATTGACTTGCATTCGTTTTTTCGTTCTTCCGGGACCCATGAGCCGACCGGAAAGAGAGGAGACTTAGACTCCCTATAGAGATCTGGCTGCTGCCAGGTTATTGTTAGCATGCTCAAAATCAGCTATTATAAGTTATATAAATTTCTGTGGAACCAATACAATCGATTCTATTCTATTATCAAGACTGGGCAATAGCAGTATGAAAGATGGTTCAGAGTAGTACCTCAAATTTAGATGACAGTATGTCCAGAATATGTTTTAAAAGCATTGAGAGGGGTGTTGCAATTTTGGATAATTTCTGACGTACTCCTCACAAAAAAAACAAGATACCTTTTCTGAAGCCAAAGCTGAAACCCCGGAAGGCCACATGGCGGTCTGAATGGAAAATAATGGATATTACATTCCAAGAGGAGGTGAACTGAGGTGGAGTGTTATCACCACAAAATGTCCCGAGAAGGTTCCCTTCATCTTCAGATACACCGTTGTAGATTTTGATGTAGTCGTAAGAACAAGTGTTGTGGTACTCCAACTGAAAGTGGTGAAATGTGAGGAGGATTGAGGAGCCTTCTGGCACTACAATCAGCCAGGAACAATGAATGTTGTAGGGATACATTCCTGGGAAGTTCGGGCTGGAGATGTTTCCAAATGGAGCAGAAAGGATTCCTCCACATTTGACACCTTAAATAAAATAAGTTTGAATAAACCTCAGATGTCTGTTTTTCCATTGCACATTTTACTGTTTTCTTGCAGATAATCTATGAAAATGCAAAATAAGCTGACACTGAACTACTGAGGCCTAGCACTGTCTGCATAAACAGTACACACAAAATAAAACACTCCTATTATATCTGCCGTACAAAAAAGTCAAAACTCACCTTTTTTAGTAAAAGCCTTGTCAACGAGCAGCAGTAAATAAATGAGTGTGGCCGCCCTGAAACCCATTGTTATTGTGAATTCAGCTTTTCTTAACCTCAGCTCCAGTTCTTGCAGAGATACACAACTGTAATGTCGCAGTCGCAGCACACTGCCTCGAGGTAATAGGACTTTGAAAAATTCATCCATGGCCTGAATGGGGAACCTGACGCCGATACCCACAGGCCGAGCTTTGCCCTCTTTGCTGAATTTTAATGACTGATATCCAATGAGCAGGAGAGGCTTGTCAGGACACTGTTTCAGAGAGAGCTGATGCATTTTTAATGATGGTCACACATACACAAACACACTCTGACAACCAGCTGGAAATGGCATTGATGAAGAGAGAGGAGGAAATACTGTATTTTTAGGAGTATATTCTAGGAAAAGAATAATCTCACATAATCTTTATTTATCAACATCTAAACTGATTATCTTTACCTGAAATGCAAAGAGGCAGAGAATGATTTTCATGGGTGTTTATTTTTAAATTAACTTAAGACCCATTGAATTCAATTAAAACTTCAGTATATACATTTACAGCTGATTAATGTTAAGGGGAAATCTAATTGAAGATGGCCACCAAAGCCAACTGGCCTAGAAGATCCTATATAACTGGTTAAAAATGAGATAATTTTAGCTGATGTGGAACTGAATTTTGTATTAGCTCAGAGTCATTCAAGTGCTAACACATTGTTCCAGCATAAGATTTCAGTTTGAAACTTTTGAATGGTTGAGGTCTAAGCCACTGATTCCCTACCCTGACTGAGGCCCAACCCTCATAGTGGGTTAGGGTTAGGGTTGTGGCGCAGCTACAGCATACCATTTCCAGCAACTAGAGGTGAGCCACATCACAGTTGAGCTTCAAATGACAGGATTTGGAGTCTTATTTCTCAATATTTGGACATCTCACCTCTGATTAGACAACAACACGACTCTGACACTGACTTGCAACATTGATGTTTGATCTCCACAAATGACCGAAGTCTGGAGGAGTTCTGCTGTGTTGTCGAGTTGCTAATGTTAACAGTTAGCTTCTCTGCTGTTTCCTGGATGCTAAACCAACAACAGTCTTCCCCGTTATGAGTCAAGATGGGTGAATCATGAATGCTAAGCAGAGGTGTGGACTCGAGTCACATGACTTCGACTCGAGTCATTATTTTAATGACTTCTGACTTGACTTGATAAAATCTATAAAGACTTACGAGTTACGACTTGACTTGGACTTGAATGCCAATGACTTGCAACTTGAATCGACTTGCATCTGTTCATTTGATGATGACTTGAGCATATTTGATATTTTAGCACAAAAGTGGCACGACAGGGACAAAAATCATGAATCATTGTTCATTCTGGGTGTGATCTTGTTCTGCTAAATGCAGCACTTTGTTTATAATCCGTTTCAGTTTCTGATTGTTTGAGCAAATAAATTAAACTTTAAGAAGCTTTAATTCTGGAATTTATTAATTATCATTGTCATTAAATTGAAGTTGGACAGTTGGCTTGATTGTGACTTGAAAATTCAAAGTTAAGGACTAGAACTTGACTTGGACTTCCACATCATTGACTTTGGACTCGACTTGGACTTGACTCGAGACATGACTGGAAAGACTTGTGACTTACTTGTGACTTGCAAAGCAGTGACCTGGTCACACCTCTGATGCTAAGTGACAGTGTGATCGATCAGGCTTTTTAACTCCTAGAGTTTCACTTCTATTTTCTATCATATGCTAATGCAGGAGATTTTTCCGTGTTCCACACCTTTAAAAAACATGCAATCCTCCTTTAGTTTTAAACCCTTCAAGGCAGACTTTTCTGGTGTTGGATAATTAGTTTGCTCTCTGAGACATGACCTAGGTCATGTCCTCATTTGATATCTGTCCAGTATAAAAGTAGGTCGGTATGTTCATTCTTTCCACAATCAGACTAGACACGCCTGTGGTTTCACATGGTGTTCTTGTAGGGTAAGATGTGTGACACACACAGATCTTGACGTGTACTGATCCACATCTATATTAGACACCGAGTCATGTTTTCAAGACCACCTAAAATGTCCGGGTCCTGTTTTTTGTTCAAATTTCTCTGCTTCTACATAAACCAAGCTAAAACTGAACCACTACCTCATTGTTTTTATTGAACTACTGCTGTGTTAAAGTGAAAGTGAGCTTCCATAGTTACAGTGCTCTCCCGAGCATCTCTCCAATGTGAGGACCAGAACCAGGAAGGCTCAGATGGATTCACATTCTGAGAACCAACACTGGAAACTTTTAGACTTTATGTAGACCCGTTTTGATCTATCGTAATACACATTCAAGCTTTTCTTTCAAACAAACATGAATACAGTGGCTCAAGCACACACATTTATACACCCATGTGTCGAATGCCAATCATATTCCATGACTCACTCCCCCCTTTCGGCAGTCTTATAGCTGAAGAGTGCAGACACATGTACATAACCATGACCCAATGAGGCGTTTTAAAAACAGAGAGATAAAGTACCCTTTGTGAAAACCATCTGCAAATGAATATTTGCTGTGAAGGCAGACCTACTGAAGGGACATTTAATAGCTGCTGCTGAGCTCCACCAGTCCCCCCACAAACCAGCTAGATGGTGCTGTTGCACTTTAAAAACAAAGACAAAATCCCCACTGGCTTCTAAATAGTCACGGCAAGCTCCGAGCTGAAATAAATAGGAATGTGATGAAAATCAGTCAAGTGTTTTCCACACAGAGGTCTGTGAGAATGGAATGAACTGCCTTAGCTTTGAATTTTAATTCTGTCCTCTCCTAAAGCTCGTCATTGTTCAAGGATGTGGGGTACTGGGCAACGGTACAATGTGTTTCAGAAAGATACCAAGCATCTGGAGCAATTTAATCACCTATTAGCAGGAAAAAGCTAAAAAACAAAGTATGGTTGAAAATGAATTACAGTAATTCAATAGCAGTTAACTACTATGGAGTATTCTACGTTTGTGTTTATGTTCAGGTAAAAAAACACAAATAAGAAAATAATAGCAACACCTAATAAATAAGTCAGATGCTTTGACAATGTGTTACCTGACTTCCTCTGCTTGTGTCTTGATGTGGATGGGAACTCTTGATAGGGAGTCACATAAAGTTAGCAAGCCTTCAGAAAATTAATATAAACTAATTAGCTTTTAAAACACCCTTTATCTACATCAAAACACATTTTATAGCATACTGAGTGTGTGTTAAGTCAATTTACCTTCTTGCTCTGATGATTCTCAGCATCTCCTGGTGTGAGAGGAATGCATAAGCATAGATGTCAACGGACAATAAAAAGTCTTCAACAATACAAAGCATTTTTGTGAATAATTTGGGAATTTTTGTCTTCCTTTTGCTAGAATAGGAGGTAAAATTACATTTGTTAACGACTTGGTGACCTTTTTCTTGTATAAATGCTTAAATCTTGTTTCACTCTGAAGGCAATAATCTTCCATTTCCAGTCTGTGCTGCCTAACAGCCAGAGGTTTTGTTTTTCCCCTCCCATGCTGAGATTTTGTTAACATTTCTACCTCCGTCATACCAAGGACGATGCTGTTATGTCATTGCGCTGCCAATTCAGGGAGCTCAGATTGGATTATGGGCCGTAATGAGCTCAGCCTCCTTCTATAGTTATGAGGGTAATGAAATCTGTTATTCGAGTTAAGGAGCAAAGAGGAAAAAGGACAGACTTCCATTGGCAACTGCTGCCATACCGTCATCCCTCGTCAGGTGAAATAATGTTTTGGATGAGTTTTTGTGATTTCTGTGAGTTTGATTGGACATATTGACAAAATAAACAATGAAAAAAATCTGAGTTTGCAGCTTTTTGTGCTGCAGAAGTTCTTGTTGTAAGGCATTAAAATGAATTTTACAGTCTGGTTTAGACTCTGTGCTTTTTACATGATTCCTGCATTGTTTTACATGTGTTAGGGCGAGTATCCACACCAAAGGGGGTAAGTGTTTGCATGTACAAACAGCCCGTTAAATTTCCCAGAGCAAGACCAGAAATGACCATGGAGTTAGGTAACAAAACACAAAACGCAGTTTGACCTTTTTCACCGAGACTTGAGTGCAGGAGAATCATTTGGAGAAGTGAGGAGGACTGCAGCACCTTCTAGCATTTTACGGAGTCATTTTAGATACACTTTATCCTTGACATTGTGCTGTTATATGATTTTCTTTTCTAATACCCTGGAAAGGTTGACCTTTGTTATTTTTGTTGTCCTAGTTGATGCTGCATGTGTTATTATTAGCTCTCCTTTTGCAGAAGACAAAAGACTTCCTGATGCATTCATGGCAGGCCCTAGAGATTTGAATCGTTCCTATGCGTGATACATGTTCAGCTTCATACGTTTGCCATCAACCAAACCATTTATGTTATTATGCTGATGCACCTCACCCTTGTATTTATATAATTTTATCTTTTGTCATTCTTTTCCCTGCACACTTCACATTTATGAACAACCTAACTGTTTATAACTTCATATTCAACCCCAAACCCACCCGTATCCCCCAAGTGTCAAAACGAGCAACGTGTTGGAGGGAGCATATTTTTACAATCTAATAATTGGTGTCAAATAACAACATTTTATATGTATATGTTGATGATGTATTAAATACTTTATGAAGAAAGAACAGCACATTTTAGGCTTTAATGATGGTTTGCTGAAGAGTCCAGTTTGGCAGGTCTTTTGAACAACAGCTGGTTTAATGTGTTCACACTCGCCTCAGCCACACAACTGAACATGGGCTTCTACCCAGATTGACTGTAATATCTATGCATGTTTCCTCAATGGAGTTAGAAACAGGAAAATGTATCAGCCAATAAGACGTAGTATGGCACAGGAGGAAGGGCTTAAAGACAGTCCTCAACCATAAAGTCCCATCTAGTGTGTGTGTGTGTGTGTGTGTGTGTGTGTGTGTGTGTGTGTGCGTGTGTGCGTGTGTGTGTGTGTGTGGAGCAGTGAGCAGCAGCAGTGGCTGCATTCGGGAACTATTTGGTGGTTTAACCCCCCAATCTAACCCCTTAATTCTGAGTGTCAAGTAGGGAGGCGTTGGGTCCCATTTTTTAGTCTTTGGTGTGACCTGATCTGGATTTGAAGCCCGGTCTCCCAGTTTCAGGGAAGACAGATACTGTTTAACCAGATTTTTATACAGTTGTTGATGAGGACAATATTTTGATAAAAAAAAAAATGAATAAAAGAAAGTGCTAAGAGCATGGATTAGTGTTTATATGCATGAACAGAGAGACAGTGGGGTGGACAATGTCAGGGT